TCATGCAAGTGCAAGTTTCTACATAACCTCGGAAAACTATTGTATAAAAATCAGGACCACCCTGTATTGTGCTGATCCCTAATGACTGGTGCTGATTTTTGCTGATAGTCCGAGAGCCAGCTGGAAATTCCGGCCCTCATCTGATAATGAAATGTTATATGTACAAACATTATATTTTATCAAATGGCACCTGTGCCAACTACTATCCTGAGTAGTGGTGCCCGCGAGAGTCTCGTTTTCGAGAGTCTCGCATGGTCTCGTCTCGTTTTCGAGACAAGACTCGAGACGAGACTCGGACTAGACGAGACGAGACTTTTATTGGTCTCGTCTCGAGTCTCGTGCAAGACTTCTCATGTCTCGTGCGAGAGTCTCGCAGGTAAATATTTTTGCGTGCCGACTGCATACTTGACAATTTCATTCATAAATCAACATATTTAAAACACAATCCATGATTGTTGTAAGACGACGTAATGCGTGAAAGGAAAACGGACTATTCTCTCTCTCTTACGGCGGCGGAATGTAAACGCATGCAATTCTGCAATAACGACAGATCGCGAATTGAATGACTACCTGAAAATCTATACATAAGTCGCTGTGGCGTGGACTTGGCTCAGATTGAGGGGTGGCACAGGTCAAATGGCATATTTCTCATCTCGTTTTCAAATCTTGAAATTCAGTGCAAATTACCGCACAGTAAAGTTCCATTTTTCAATCATTTTGCTGAAGATAGTAAGGGCACAAGTGCCGTTCGATAAAATAATGATGGAAATGAGTAGATGCTGTACTTACTGATGCGCTTTTGTTGAACTATGACATGAGTCAATTTTTAAATTGCCGCAGATTTTTCGAATTCAGAGTTAAATAATCCCATTGTTACATAATGTTCTGCCTACCTTAAATGCCATTTGAAATGGCGAGGTGACGTAGATAAATCGGGAGTCGGACAGTTCGACCACGGGCCAGGTACTTGTTTTAAGTACACCGATCAGTTGGACCACGACCATTCTTCGAGCGGATTAAGGTTGTATCCCAAGAATTAAAACAATCACTATTTTCTAATATGTTATTTATTATTGAGGTGAATTATAATGAGACATACTTTTTACAAAATCTTTTTGTGATAAAAGGCCATTTCTTTATTCTGATATCTTAGCTTTGATAAAATCTTTTTTTTTTCTGTGTTGCACTTTTAGTTTCCTGAAGGAACATCTTACGGATATTATATTAATATTTGTTTCTGCTTGAAAGTTCATTGAAATATTTACAAAATTAAACAAACTTGGATGAGAACTATAAAAACTAGAATTAAAATGAGAATGAAATGATTCACACGCGTTTGTGGTCCTGTACATACTATCTGTAGTACAAGCCCACATACTTGGGGAAAAATTACTTCCTTCATCGATATAAGTTTCCACGATTTAATCGCAAAATTTCGAGAGACTTGGATTACTGGGCATTATTGAATGAATTTCTTCAGAAAAAAAGTTTCCTACTTCATGAGGGTCCAAAAATGGAAAAGGTTGATTCAGGCTGAGTTAGGTTAGATTGTTTAGAAGAAGTAGTATTCCTTGTTCCCTCGAGCAATTCATCGAAGAATATACTTTTTAGGAAGGATTATTTAGTCCGAGTTGGGTTAGATTGTTTTGAAAAAGTATAGCCTTTTTTGCTCTCTCAAGTAATATTCAGAAAAATATTTCCTAGGAAGGAGGTTCATTTAGGCCGAGCAAGGTTAGAATGTTCAGAAAAAGTAGTCTCCTTTCTTATGCAGAAAGGATATTTCTTTACTGGAAGAATTTTATTAGGTAAATCGATTAGAAAATACAATTTCAACCTGGTCGAACTGCAGGGTAGGCCTAACTCGACCTTTTTCAAAAAAGGATTAATACAGATACTCGTGGTCCAACTGACCGGTCCCCGATAAATCATAGTAGGCGGTTAAAAATGGCCGACGACGCGCACTATCTACTTATTTCCATTATTGATAAAATGCAATACTTCAACATGCCTTTGGAACATATAACATCTCGTTATCAGATGACGGACGAATTTTGCAGTTTTTTACTATGATTAGTGCTGACACAAAACATGAAGTTTACCTCCGTAGATTTTTTCTTGTAAGGATTGAAAATCAAAAGCGGTGGTGGATTGAATATTTTATCTCTCGGTAGATTCCAAAAAGAGTTGTCATCGTAGAAAAAGTGTCTATCCAACGGTTGAGATATTTCCAGGATCATGATTCGCCCTGAGAATTGTAAATAAAATTAAAGGACCCCGTCAAGACCGAGGTCAAGGTCTATACATATAGAGAAAAAATCTATAAAAATTGTTTACTTTGTGTCATTTTCAATTTTTTTCTCGCTCATTTTATTGGTTGAAATTGAGCATATGAAAGAGGTATTTTTTCAAGTGGATAATTCTTGAATTAGTCTCTTCGTATACCGGGTGGCTACGGAAGTATTGCCTACGGAATATCTCAGTTATTGTATGAAGTAGGTTTGTGAAATTTGGAGCGTCGATATAATGACATAAGAGCTAGAATTTGAGCATATTGACTTATTGACATGTCGAAGTTGACTTCCGGTCTGACCGGAAGTAACATCAACTTTCTTATTTTAAATGGAAACCCTATTTTTTTTCTTTTCGCTTTATTCAGCATTCAATTCCCTTTCTAATGACATATAACAAGTTGGTATCTAACCAGAAACTAGATCAGAAAAAAATTATTATTGAAATTCACCGAGTAGGCCATGGAAGCAAAATGAAAGCCAAAAATTGAAAAGTTGGCTATGGAAACCATACGTCACTTGATAACAGTTGCTACTACTGTGATATTTTATTTTCATAAATCTGTTTTTTTGTTATTTGAAGAATAATAATTGGATTTTTTGGTACTTCATTTCAAAAAATGACTTTCTGTTATATCATTAGAAAGGAATGGTTATGCTGAACAGTACAGGCAAGAAAAAGTTGTTTGTTCCTATTTAAGTTATGGACCTATACAGAGTATTGTGTTTTTCCCAATTTTTCAAATATTTTTTTTGGCGGCTTTTTATAACGCCGACGAATGAAAATAAAAAATCACAGTAGTAGCAACTGTTATCAAGTGACGTATGGTTTCCATGGCCTACTCGGTGAATTTCAATAATAATTTTTTTCTGATCTAGTTTCTGGTTAGATACCAACTTGTGATATGTCATTAGAAAGGGAATTGAATGCTGAATAAAGCGAAAAGAAGAAAAAATAGGGTTTATATTTAAAATAAGAAAGTTGATGTTACTTCCGGTCAGACCGGAAGTTAACTTCGACATGTCAATATGCTCAAATTCTAGCTCTTATGTCATTATATCGACGCTTCAAATTTCACAAACCTACTTCATACAATAACTGAGATATTCCGTAGGCAATACTTCCGTAGCCACCCGGTATATCGAAAAAAAAAAAAAAAAACTCTCCAGCCAGCAGTCCTAAGACCGCCGTAATCTAACATTGTTGTTCATTTCATATGACTTCGAGCTTTTTGTATTTATTTAACATTTTATTCCACTCTTAACATTGTGTCTATTTCGTAGTTGAAATTACGCCAGTCGGGCAAGCAGCCACTCCCGTGTGGGAATTTCAGTCATGGAGTGTTTATTTCCTTCTCTTCTACTCAGATGGCGTTATTGCTTCCATATTGTCTATGAAATACGCCTCTGGGGGAATTTAATGCCGACTTGATTTTTGTTTGGCTTGGATAGCCTTAGTCGGCGGCCTTAGGACTGCTGGCTGGAGACTGCCCTGCACTGATGAGAGTCAAACAGCTCGAAACCGGTCTGTAGGTGTCTAACGTGGCCTGGCTAAACCGAAATCAATAGGCATTCGTTTATACGAGTCGATGCATAGATTTCTGGAGAATTGAATTCAATGTGCTGCGTGGCATTAGCCAGAAAAGTAGATGGTTTTCTCTCGAAATCTACCATTGTTGTTTATTTTATGAACATTGTGTGGATATGACTTTGAGCTTTTTGTATTTATTTAATATTTCATTCCACTTTGAACATTGTGACTATTTCGTAGTTGGAATTCCTATAATGTTCGTGGAACATCGTGCGTACCTAGGGAGGATAGGGAGAGGAGGTAATTATTGGGATTTTTATTGAACTTTTGGAGGTTATAAGTTCTTGGGAATAATTCCTTCTGCAAATAATTCCAAAGCTTTGTCGTTCTATAGAAGACCGAGTTTTGGTAGAGTGTTGTTGGGTATATTTCAAGGTTGACAACGAAAGGATGTGCTGATTGAGCCTGTCGAGTTAGTATGACTGGTATTGCTAGTGATGGAATCATAGCAGAGATTTCTGAGGAACATTTCCTGTGGCAGTAAGTATCTAGAGAAAAGTGAAAGGTCGCCGACGTTTTTGAGGTGTTCTGAAGAAGTTAAAGTATCAGTGAGTGCGGCATCATTTACCAGGCATATTGCTCATTTCTGGATGGAATCTGGCAAAAATTTAGGTAACTTGTGAATTTCAAGTGAAGTCGGATCCTGGATATCATCTTCTGTTGATGTCTCAATCAATTCGCCAGGATAGATTGAGTAAGTGTACCAATTTTCAACAAAATATACAGATTGTATCTCGGTTATAAGATGTCGAAGACTCATTAATCACCTCATTGCCCCCCATCCACAAATGGAGTATTTACCTTTCCCAATGAAACACCCTGTTTAACCCTTGAGAGTTAAAAACAAATCCAACACCTACCTCTTCACCCTATCCTCCCTAGGTACGCACGGTGTTCAACGAACATTATAGGAATTTCCTTTCGTGCGCTCCAAGAGTTGAAAAAATTATGACAAAATATATTCGTGTTATGTGTTGTAACCTCATACTAAGTTTCGAGGTTTATTCTAGATTCTAGATAAATCGTTTAATATTATGATAATGATAATTAACAATAGTCACGCGAAGATGTTATACTGGAAGTATAATTCCCCTCGACCCTCTCGAATGGTGGAACATAGTTTTCCACTCATTATTGTTTTAGTATAGCATGTTCAAAATTATTTTTAATTGAGAATGGCAGATATTCCTCTGATATATATTATTACTCGGGAATAACAGATCATTAGAGGTATATTGGTTTAATGGATGACAAGAAAATAATATAAATTGATTTACATTATGAAGAACAAATCCAATTGAGAGACACAGGTACCGTTTACTCGCCCAGAATAAGTCATTATGGTTGCTGAAATTTTGTTTAAATCTTTGGTACTCATAGCAGCTGTTGTACGGGGTTACGAATTTCGTGAGTATTGTTGCTGAAAAAATAATAGGGAAAAAATGATCAAGGGAAGTTTTATTCTCTCATTTTCTTCCATCATATCATGCAGGAGCATTATGGAGAATGTTAATGCAATGATCACTAGAACAGAACAAGCATTACAATAATTGCATATAACGTATTATGTTCATACATATATTAGAGACAAACGTCATGAAATGCTACTACATAGTATATCTACCATTTTCAGCTGAAGCTTTCAAAAGATGCCGAATGAACGATAAAGATTTCGAAATCTGTTTAGCAAAAACAATCGAGAATGCTTTCCAGCTCATTGGAAGCTCAGGTGAGTAACTATAGTTATAAGTGAATTGTACCTATTATACAGGGTGTTTCTGAAATTGAGGCAATACATAAAATAAAGTGTAAAAACTTCACAAACAATAAGATTTCCACATAATTCTCAATTACACGACATGTTACGCTAACACAGTTAGTAGCTTCATCATCAGGTGAAATACTGTACAATGAAATAAACTAACCTTGGCATGCCCATGCCAAACTTTTGTATATCCAACTTTCCCAACCTGAAGGATTAGAATTACCTGTGGAATGGTTCGATAAACCTTCATTTTCGGAAAATAGGCGCAATATCTACATTAAAATACGGTGTACAGGATTAACTTGAAAGGGTTGATAGCAAATACAATATATTACCTACTAAGAAAACAAATCCAACATTGTTGAACTAGTGAGGTCAAGTTGACCGTTAAGTAAAATGTAAGAAGTAAAATTTTTGCGTTTGTTAATTTCCAATGATGAAAATGACTATTCCTTTATTATCTACGTCTAGAATTTCGAAATTATCATCAGAACTATTTTTATATAACTATTATATACTAATATATGGTTGGCGTATGTTGAATTTGTTTTCTGTTTCAAAAAATTCATCTTAGGTTCATGAATGCGCTGATTAAACGTACGACCTCTCTGACCGATATACACTACACTGTTTTACCACTAACCAAACCGATTTTTTAACGCCTCGACACGTGTTTCGCTAACTATGTTAGCATCTTCACGAGAATATTAAAACTGACCGATATAATATACCTTTATTTCCATGGTAGGATAAAATTCTTGAATAACTTTATTACGGAGTTCCATGATATTGAGTTCTTTATTGAAATTTACTTCTGAAAGAGGGACATTCAGCCTGTGTATCATACTATTATATTCAGTCTGTGTATCATACTGTTATATGCTGCAGTTTCAAGTTGATGAGGGTGTGTTGAATCATTATGAATAGTGATATCAGTGTTGGAAGGTTTATGGAAAATTGAAAAATTATGTTTATCATTAATTTTACTTATTGTCAAATCTCAGAAAAAGATTGTTTTTTCTGTTTCAATTTCGTTGTTAGATTGTATAAACCTCAATATAAACGTATAATTGAGGATCAGACGAAATTTTGTTGCTGTTGGATGAATTTTCCGAAAAAAAGGCCCCCATGTGGCGAATTTATTCCAGTTAAAGTCTCCACCCTGTATAATGATTGAAACATATTTTGCTAGAAAAAAATTGAAATACACATTGGTATTGGAGAATATTATTACCACGAAACCTTATATCCCTCGGATGAAGCCTCGGGATTTAATCTTGGTCTCTGGGTAATATTAAAATATTCTTTTCTACCATAGTGTATAAATAATTATTGCTGCCGACCGCTATGTTTGAACGATCCATGAAATCGTAGGGCATTCAAATGCCGTTTTTTTATCAACCTATTAGATCATATTCTATTAAAAAATGATATATTCATGTTATGTGACTACTATACCGGGTGGCCCATTCAAGACTATACACCCTGAAAAAATGCTTGGACACGTCAACTTTGATTTCTAGGGAGACATAATTCTAGATTGATTTGTCATTTGTCATGGCTCTCCCCTTTCCTTGAGAACAACCCTTTCAAGAATGTCAAATGGGAAGAAACGCCGCGCGATGCCTCATACAAAAGGTATTTTCACTCTGATAATAGCCGTGTTTTGTTTTTGCATATCGCTTGATTAGTTTTTTGAATAATCTGTGTGTTCACTTGAAGACCATCCATCCTAAATAACTTTCGAAGATATGATCGAAAGAAAAAATGCTAAGACACGTCAACTTTTATTTATTGTAGAATATTTTTCAAGATGAATGTGTCATCTTTCATGGCGTCCCCCTCTACCCTGAAGAACCATCCTTCCAATAAGAAACTGATCAAGCAATTTGCAAGAACAAAACACAGATGAAGACCACAGGAGAAAAAATGGGCATATCACAAAAATTATGTTTGAATTTTAATACCGCCTAACTTTTTGGAAGTTGAAGAAAACTGAAATGAAACCACCTGGATCCATTTGATGGAGTTTATTGAGCAATATAGTCAAACATCTGAGAATAAAAATCGTATTTAATTAAAAAAAAAATCATAGATAACAAAAAATGAGTCCAAAGATTCAAGGAAAAAATGGGGAATGTCCAAAGGAATTGTCGAAAAAGAGGATTGTTTACTCTTGCCTAACACTATATAATGAGCGGTAAGTTGTCATTGTACTTCTAGCATCTTTATGATTTGATAATTTTCTATGAATTTCACGCGATATGAATAGGAATTACCATGTACCAATCTCATTATTTTATTCCCATCACTCAGACGTACTCGACAAGCTCACTTAGCACACCCCTTTGTCCTAAACCCCGAAAAACGGCGAACAAGTCTTTACCAGAACTCGTCTGTCTATATAGAACGGTGAAGCTTTGGAGTTTTTTACCAAACAAAGTAATCCCAAGTACTTATAATCGTAAAAAATTAAAAAAAATACCATTGTCGACCTGCTCTTCCTATACTCCTCCATAGATCTAATACTCCTCGAACTTTTGACAGTCTGAAAAAAACAACCTATTGAAATCACCAAGAAATCTGTATTTGAGCAAGAAATAAGCTTGGACGTTCCTCTTTCTTCACAATTTTGATGTGGACATTCCACGTTTTCCACATGTTTCCGTATTTTCACACGAGCATATTAGTTGACTATGCTACTACTACTAAATTGCGACATTCCCCCTTTTCCCCTTGTGGTCTTCAGATATTATAGTTGTGGAAATACCTTTCGAATAAGGTATCACTCGACCCATGTTCCAATTTGGAATTCTTGGAAGGGTTATTGGTTCTCAAGGAAAAGGGAAAGCCATGACAGATTCCAAATCATAATCTCGAATTATGCATCTTCCCCTAGAAATAAAAGTTGACGTGCCTGAGTATTTTTCCATTCGATCATGCCTTCAGATGTTATTCAGGATGGATCGACTTGAATAGGCCACCCGGTATATAATTCAGTTATATGAACAAACAAATTGAATTTACGCATTTGTGTGTTTGCCTATTGTCGTCATTCTGCTACTGAAAATTGGAGCACCCTGTATATGTACTTGGAGACTAATTGTGTCCTCATCTTTCGCTCAATTATGGTTGTAAGTACGCTATACTGAAATTAGTGAACATGATGCATCATTCATATAATTACAACCTATGTTTTAATCACTATAATTATATTAGTTTTATTAATTGATATACAAAACTGGAACAATTAAAATATTTATGAACATATGATCACGCAACGTCGTCGTCGTCTCCTTCTTCTTGGGCCAATTATCCAAATCAATATTAATTGGGTCAATGGGGTGGCAAACCCTAGTCGAATTGACGCCTCATACCTATTTCATATTGATCATTTCGTTTATAAATAGTATTTGATGCAATCATTCGGTATTTAAAATCATAGAAAATATTTTTTTTTCCAAAACGCCAGGTTCGATGACGTCATGAACCGAATTCTTATTATATTATTATATTATATTTCAACACTGCCAGATTTGTGACTAGTAATTACCTCATGAGATTCATTATATGACCAATGACAAAAGTATTCACATTCACAGGAGACAATAGTTCGACTTATTGAATACTTATATACTTGCAAGATGCTCGGTACCAATGAAAATATCCTAGTATTCCTAATAATGATCGAGATTTTATTTAATCCCAGATTATTTCGTGGCACGACAAGTGTGATGCCTAAATTCCAAGAAATACAAAAAATGGAAGAAGAACAACACAAATTACATTGACAAATATAATCCTCATATTATGTGATTCTTTAGTTGTGATCTCTGTTATCTGCAGTAAGCATTCAATCCAGAAGATTCATTCCATATTCTGATTGAAATGACAATCAGAAATATTCTTGTACTTCAGAAATAGAGAATTGATAAGTAAGTCGAATCTTATATAGTGTTCTCGGATGATTACATCTCGCGTTTTCCCGCGGTTTTCATGTTATGAAATATCGTGAATTTCAACAATTATTTGAAGAAGTTACAGAGCTCTGAGGAAAAAAGGGTATGCGACAGTGAACTAGGTTTAGTAGGTACTTCGAAATAAAATGTTTCACTGAAACAGGCCTATTTTCCCAGCGAGCACAAAAACATCTCAGAGATGTTAAAAGTACGAGATTTCGAGACATTGAACCTCCACTGCGATGTTCTGTTCACACATGAATAGAACTATTATAGAACAGCCAATGTCCGCCGCAGGCGGCAATTATCCTTCTCCCTAGTTCTTTTTAAAGCCTTTTCATGGACACAACAAAACGTTTTCAACGCCCAACGCGTCTTGCGCACATTAAATCGCTGTAAAAAAAACATTTTCGAGGTACTTTTCTGAAGCCTTTTGTCAAAATGAACTTTTGCATTAGGATTCCATTTCCCTTGAATGAAAAAATGCATTAAAAATAGATTGAACATAAAAATATTTTCTTGATATGAAATTACCTTCTTAATCGGTTCCTGAGTAGTGCTTACTACACACAGACATATAATTGGAAATAGGTTTCCCAAATTTTGAAATGTTCCCCACAATGCATAATTTTGCAACTGCGGAGAAGCTGTGTATTGATAAATTCGTACTTTTATATATTGATTACACTGAGGCACCGAACAACACATTTTGCATCTGATGGTCATTATTACAAACTAAATAAGTCTTCTAACACAATAAACTCCACCAAATTCCTTTCTGTTCGTTAGCAGCGTGACACGCTGCAAACGCGAATGCCAATGGCGAACAAGAAGTACAAAATCGAAAACAAATCAGAATTCATCGTATTGAGACGTAAGCATATGAGACGTTGTGGTGGGGCAAACAAAGAAAGGGCACAAAAGAACAAGAACAACACTTTCAATATCCTTCTAAGACCTCTTTGGGAAGTGCATATTACACCTCAAAAAAACATCCTCATTCCTACATTTCTAAAACATCCCAAAACATCCCAGGGATACCTCTCAGTAGGCAAACAAAGAAATGCCACAGAAGAACAAAAACAATACTTCAATATCCTTCAAAGACCTCTTTGGTCAGTGCATATTACGTCTCAAAATAACATCTTCATGCCAACATTTTCAAAACATCCCAAACCTTCCCAGGGATGTTTGTGCTCGCTGGGTTGTATCTTCCGAGGCGATGTTCAGCTTGCTTTGCCATGACAGGAACACAAAGCCAATAGAAATTAGAGCATCAAATTATGCATTATCATAATGAAACATTCATATTTCAGTAACGAGTGTGAAGATTCCGAAATATTTTGTACAGTATCGGGAAAACATATGAAGCAATATGTTTTTGACCCAAAAAAAATTTTTTTTCCAAACGGAAGGCGTTTGAAATTTTTGGAAAAATACACAGCTTTGATCATCATCCTGTAGAATCACATTCGGAAAAGATGAAATAGTCATATCCATAGGTTCCATAGTCAATGGAACGAGCTTTCAGAAACTGGGAAATAATTGAAAATGATTCAAATTTGATCGAAAAAATGCGATTCTACGTTTCATGTGTTGAGCAGTTTATTTTTTTGTAGGTATTCCATCTTTGAGTCTTCCTTCAATCGACCCAATTCAAATTACCAGTCTCGAAATAGGAGCTGGTACTAGCGCTGTCAACCTAGTGCAAAAGTATAAAGACGTTAAAGTCTATGGATTTTCCAAAAACAAAGTAGAGGAAGCACAGTAAGTAATAATACAATTACGAATAGTGATTTGAAGGAGTTCGATTATTCCTCGATTATAATAGCTATAATTATCGATTCGTGGTATAATTTACTATTATTCATAACAAAATATCATTTAAATGTTGGAGACTTGGCAACTTTGTGCTGAATGCTGAGAACAGACAAGGTCACGCCCACAATTCGTGCCCCGTGTTGTGATGTTCACCGATTCATATGTCCTCTAGTGTGATTAAATATAATTATTATATACACAAACATATTTATTGAAATAAATAAGCCACAAATCATAATTGAATATTTTGAGACAATTGCATTTTTATTGCTAATTAGGAATATTTCCAATACCTAATTGGGAATTTATGAATTATCTAATAAAAAATATCTCTGAAGTTCCCAATAAATTTCTAGCCGTTTGAAAAAAACCATGACATTTTTGGTGATTCACCTAAGGGGTGAATCACCAATACACAGTAAAAAAAAATAGAGTGAAATTTAACACTATACCTGTTCCCAGAAGGACCACTAAGCTTTATAGTGAATGATTTAACTCTATAGTTTAGAAACTTACTCCATTTATTTCTCTAAATATATTGCATAAACACAAAAATAGGGTTGAAAAAAATAATTCCGAGAGTGAACATTCCACTCAAGACCCAAGCTAGTGTAAATATCATATCACTCTAGAGTGAAATTCAATAACCAAACATTACATAGTCACAAAAGTTGAAAGTTGTAATATAATAGTAGAGAGTAGATTCCACACTATAAACAGTGTCGGATCCACCGGAAATTGATTGAATTATTTACTCTATGTGGATGTCAGATTGCTCCTGCATTGTTCAAATTGACACTACTATTTGTTTAGGTGCTAATGAGGAGTTATCATTTATTGATCATTTTAGATTGATATAGAACACTAGTTGAGTAAACTAGTCACTACTTACTGTTGAGATTTCATTCAAATTGAATTACTCATTCTTTCACATGTCGCAGTACTTAAAGCGAATTTAAAGGCCTCCGACAGACGTTCAGCGGCGAAATCTCGGCAGTTTCCGTATCAGCGCCACCTGCATGCAGTGGCGCGAATTGACGGATGAAAAGTAGTGTGACCATATAATATTTCAATCGTTTGATATTTGAAAAATGACTCGAGTCCCACTAGACTAATTAGTAAACCTAACTGTTTCATAAATCGTTCGAAATAATGATTCTAAACGGAAAAAACGAGAAATAACTGAGATAGATATACGGAAATATACGTTCATAACTCAATGTTGAAAAAAATCTCTCACTACGCGGGTATAGATAGTAAAAAAGTTATTTAAAGCTAATATTATGATCAATATATCATCGACACTATAATCTGTATTACTTATTTCACTATCTAGTAGACTCAACGATCTGAAACTGTATATATTGATATTTCATCGTATATAGATTGAATTGAACAATGATAGAGTGTCAATTCAATCGACAAGAGTGGAACATTCAAGTTCACTAGTGTCAGTAAACACTAGTATGAATTCAATTCCAATTGTTTTCGAATTGAGTTATCTGAATTGCTATTTTATTGAAATTTTAGGAATATAGAGTGAATTCAATACGGCATCAGTGAAAATTCAATCTAGAATTAGTTTCAATAGAGATAATCTGCGAGAAGTGTAGTGATAGAGTTGATTGCCGTATCAGAGTGAGTTTGCCAGAGTATTTTAACTCTACTCTGCGAATTTAACTCGAAGCGTTTTTTCACTGTGTAATCTACCCCTTAACTTAATTGAATATTATGGTTCTAGTTCCCCATAACTTCCAATTTTTCACTTCCAACTGTACTACATTTCACCCGAAACCAATTTTTTTCAGTATGGATTTCGACAAAAAAATTCTAACATTCACAACTCTATATCCAGAGTTAAGACAGGAGGGTAAATACAGCGTGAATGGAAAAATTTTGGTTATCCCAGTGTTTGGAACAGGAGATTCAGTTATTCAATTGAGTAAGTCGAATACGAATGTTGATGTTGGAATCATTACGCTATGATCCTCAGAAATATCTATCCAAAACCATTTGAAATAATATTCCATAACATGAAGAGTTATTTCGAGTTCAGAATCGATAGACAATAATTAATGTAAAGCTCTGTGTGAAGTATGAAATTACCTCATACTTAATAGGCAGGGAAGTATTTCAAATTTGCCCAGATCATCACAACCATTTTCATGAACTTCAGGGAATTTAAAAGGTTTCTTCGATCCCTCAGGGATAATAGTGAATACTGGTATTTTTTTTTCAAACGACATATAGCAACAGCTTTAAGGCACATCACTTTTCGATGTCAACAACAATATAATATCCAAAGGAAAGAAGGAACGCTCAAAGTCATTTCCACAAAATTCGTAATGATGGTAAGTTATTTAGGGGGACATGTTTCGGATTTATAGAACTGCATCTTCAGCCCACACAATCGTCATAATGACGTCGAAAAGAGTTATCAACGGGTTCTCATGTAAGATGAAGGGCCCCGTGCCCTAAGAAAGCGGTTCTAGTTGAACATCAAATTTCTAGTCCCTGAAGGGGAACTTGAAGAGTATTTGTGGAGAAATAACAATCTAAAACATTTTATGGAATAATATACGGGAATAAGGACCCCGTGCCCTAAGAAAGCGCCACTTATTGAATAAAACCAAATATCAATAAAATTTATGGGGCAAAAAGAGGTCAAACACGTGTTGAATCTAACAGATCCGTATATAATTTCGAAAAATGTCCTAGAACATGTTTCAAAACAGTAAATTTCAACTTCACTTCATTACTGTCTTGTTTTGGGCTGAAGATGGATTTTTGTAAATCCGAAACATGTCCGCTTGAATAACTTACATTATTAAAGGAGTTGTGAAGATGACTTTTAGGGTTCCTTCTTTCCGTCGAAATATTTCATTCCACTTTGAGCAAACATGGACTTCTACAAGAGATTAATATGATATCCATTCACCAATTAGCAAAGTTAACATTTTGACATTCTGAAATTAGAGTACCGCTACGAGTACGAGATTGGGTAGTGTCGTCTCTCATTATATTCTTGACTTTTTGATCGCCTGGAGTGCACGAAAGGAAATTCCAATAATATTCGAAGAACATAGAATAGTATACAAGGTGTCCCTTTGGGCAACGGAAATACTCCAACGGTGGGTAAGCTTATCAATGTGGTTCTGAATATAGCATATTTGTAGAGTCTCGCAAGTTTTCTATCATAGATATGGGAAGTTCCATCAAATTTGCTCGATTATTTGTGAAGTCATAACTCACGAAACACCCAATATATTCTTCTGGAATTACACAATTGCTCCTTCTTCCACCCAAGAGACTGTGGGGAGGCTGTAGCCAGGCAAGCAGGCCCCCTTGGGCCCTTTTTGCCAACCCCTGCTCTCCACATATCTACACATCCCTCTTCTAGTTGTCCTTTTCGAACCGTCCCGTCCTTCTGATGAAGGTCAGGATGTCCGTCCACTCTAATTCGACCAAATCTTCCTGTTGTAGTTTATCTACTCCAAAGATTTCGAATCTCATCCTTCCATACGCCTCACACTCTCCGAGGAAGTGAAGTGATGTCTCCTCATCTTCTCCGCATTCGCGGCAAGTGGGACTATCTTCCACACCTATGAGTGATAGAGGTGCCTGCGTAACCTGTTGTGCCCTGTCAGTATCCCTATAAGAAGGCGCAGGACTTGGCGATCCCTGCCCAGTAACCAAGCCGTCTTTGGCTTGCTTGGACCGGCCACCAGGTCTCTCGACCAATAATCCGGACCTGGATTTTTCTCGTCACTGATAGGTGTGTCTTCTGGGTAGAAGAAGGAGGACTTGTGTACCAAATTTCAAGAAATTGTCCTATATGATTATAAAAAAAAAGTTTTCAACGGTACTTTGGATTTCTTTCAGTGGATCCGAGAATCGTACACACCGTAGTATTCAAGGAACTCACGAAGAATGGCAAAAAACACTTCCATGTTGAAGACTACAAACTGGGTATCAGCATCAAGGGGGCACATTACGATTTCCAAAATCTCTTCGATGGAGACAAGAAATTGGCCGACAACATTCTGAAAGTCATCAATGAAAATTGGAACGTCATTTTCGAAGACGTCAGAGCTGGCGTAGAAACTGCTTATTCGGCTGTATGTAAAGCAATGGCCAACAGGTTGTTTGATACCGTTCCTGTTGATGACATTTTTCTGAAATGAATTCGTTTAATTTTTTGCTAATTTTGTAACTTGTAGAATTATGTTAAAATAAAGTTTCTTTGATTTTTTTTCACTTGTACATTACTGCTTTATAATATCTTGGCAACGGTTGCTATTAACATACCCATAACGGCATTATGAATCATAACACCCGCTGATTCGTATTCATTGCCATTATTTTGATAAGACTAGACACAAAGAAAGCAGCAATGACATTCTTCAAATTGAATGATGACAGCAATATTCAACAAACGTCAAAATATCAACAATGAGAAGAAAAAAAAATGCTAGAGGCTTTTTTAAATCGATTGTTCATTATAATGAGATGATTTTTTTTCGTGAGAAATAAAATCTTGTATACTAGATCCTAACGCTCATGGGGCAGCATTCATCTTTGGATAATGGGCTTTGACGTCTTTTTCCGACCACATATATATCGGAAATATCGAATAACAAATGAATCATTTAATATTGAAGAGGTACTTTCAATACAATACAACGCTACTGAGCTGTGACGTCAGTGTCTCCTTGCAATCTGATTGGTTGTAGTTTATGACGGCTGGGAAGCACGCCTCTGTTACCAGATGTCTATAGAATCATCGGATTGATACTATGTGCAAGATGGTGCAAGGAATGCCACGATTGACAATTACTATGGATTAGGTAATTGGTTAATTGGTGATTCACTTCTGATCTGAAATGTGATACAGACATCCAACAATAAGACGCTTTTCACATGGTTTCCCGTTCTGCTCAGTTTCTTAATTTGAGTTACGGTGTAACGATTTCGTTGACTAATTGTTACAATCATCAAACTGATCAGTAGGTATCACTTTATCTCAAGTCAAGTAGTCATCTCCGGAAAATTGTATAGCTTATATGGCAACCATGTCGACAAGAGTGAACCAAGTGAGCTAGTATTGATTTATGATTGATTGATTGATCAGAATTTGTTCCATTCCGTATGGTAGATAGGTATGAGTGGATTACCTAGGTAAGTACCTCAAATTGAAAGTACTCTGCTGGGATTTAGAACTAAATCTCATGAATGAATATCTGCATTCAAATTCAATGCAAAATGAAGTTCCACTCATAATTTTGAATAATCCACAAACATAAATTAATCATATGCAATGCAATTGTTCAGTACCATGAATATTTAGGTAGATAGGTAATGATTATTAATTGAGTTACCTAAGAGCTGTCAGATGCTAGCATCAGTATCATATGCTGAATGGAAAAAAATCGGGAAATGAATATCCGACTGATCATAGTTTCTGTCCAAATTGGCAACATTGTCACGTCCATTGTGCATTTTATGTCCCCCCACTCCAACGGCAGCGATGGAAAACCTCCTGAACCTCATTCCCCCTACATTGTCTTGGAGAGGAAAGCTAGGATGGTTTTCTATAGATTTCTGTCATTGGAATATCAATACTGTGTGCAATAAAAAATCACCAAACTCCAGGAATGGTTCCCGACATGTTGGTCACTCATACACACGTACAAAAGTCTTTCAAAGTCCTCTTTCCGAAGAGAGACGAGTGGGTAAAAGGATCAGTCTGATTCCCAGAGACCCCTCTTGGAGTTGGAACCGGTTTGTTCAGCAGAAAACCGGAGATGGCAGTCTTCGAAATTGAATTGTGTGTTAGAGAATTGACGAATACACCTCTAGTAAACAAAAACATCAGTATTGTATCAGACAGTCAGGCTGCTGTTGAAGCACTGAGCTCCACCAAAATAAATTCCAATCAAGTCAACTTCAATGTTTTGTGTATTTGATAGATGACATTTGTCATTTGTTTGTCAAAAAATAATTTTTATCTACCATTTTTATCTTTCAAATCAAGTAGTCTGTCGGTTTGTTTACTTCATACTCGCGCCATTTGCTGTACACTATGTTTATTTGATCCAAAAAGAAGCATCTTAAGAAAAATGTTTATCTGGGGATTCAAAAAACCAAAATTCAAAAATGTTTCTTTGAAATTATTTGTGACCTAAAACCCTTACGAACTATGTCATCAATTTTATAGTTTCCTTTCCCCTCCTACCTAGCAAGGTATGTCACCCATTTCTCAATAGTGATGGAACTTCTCTTATTTATAAGTTTTGTATTTCAGCCTGATGATGACTCCTAGGAGTCGAAATATGTAGCACAATGATTTGATTAAAATTTACTTGGAGCGAGACTTTGAGTTTGTTCTTTTAATTATATACTGTCTGTTGGATTTGGTATTTTTTGGTTCACTATCATTCATACTTTCCTCGATGGATTGTATGGCGCACTTTCCAAAATGCGACATTTTTTTACTTTTTGAAGTCTATCTGACATCGATTTGTATATTTGTATTATTCACTGTCGTCTAGCGAAACGGTCTCAAATGTGTTGTTATGGCGACGGGATATTTTCGCAGTGCATCACGTTTTTTTTTATATTGGAGAAATACAGAATTATGAGGAGATATTCATGACAGAGTGGTATTTAAAGCCAAACTGACAGACTTTGCTTCGCTATCCATGCTTATACATCGTTGAAAACACCAACGCTGATACACCTGATCGGCCAGATTATCTGAGTGAAATAGTCACTGAAATTTTTTTCATTTATTTGTTCAAATATTTTTTTATGGTGGAGATGGTGGTACCAGACATTGTGTTATATCGGCATTCCTAGAGAAAATACAAGCTTGAGCTTTAGTGGAGTTGAATTATTCAACAAGGTAATAGTTGAGGGACAAAGTTGAATTCAGTGATATGTATATATAGATACACAACCATGAAGTAATATAATTAAGTCAAGGCATACTCGTCTACGAGTCATAATGGGTGCATCTATTTACTTTATAGCATTATTGATTGTTGCAGCAAACGCTTATGAATTCCGTAAGTAAGGTTGATTTTCAATATTTCAAAATAATTATATTCACTATGGCCAGGGGTTTTTGTGAGGATTTGTTTAAAATTCGGCATAATTCGAAATCTATTTCTCAAGATTCAATTCAATGGAAAAACACCTTCTGATTATGAAGTCATTAGTGATTCTATTACCAAACTCATTATACCGGGTGTATGAGGTTTAATTTGTCTTACTTCGACGATCCTTGGAAAAATTGAGAAATTGTATAGGTACGTGATTTTTCGTTTTATTGTGGAGAATTTGGTTTGAGAGATTCGAATGTTCTCGTATTCCCATACTGTTATTTTGATTAAACGGTATTCAGATGACAATTCAAAAGTTAAAGTTCACAGCCTCCATCCGTTGAGATTGTTTGACGGCCAGGGCCATTAAAATATTATTGTGATATTGTTAAGCTGTTCCATGACAACACGATGTTGAGATTTTTCTGGAGAATTACGAGGTGCGCGGTTTGTTCTTTCTCCGAAATGAAAATGTAATCTTTCAGCGGGATTACGAAAAGCCTTGAACGACCCATGGTCGATATGCAATTACCGGATTCGGTTGTTATAATCCTCGGCTGCGCCTCGAATATTCAATCTCATCCTTTATTTGCTACATATCGGCGTTGTAACGTTGATAACTATATAATTTCTGTTGAAACAACATAATAACAATTCGTAATTCAGCAGTATAATTATTCCGTCTTGTTTGATTTGTCTAAGCTATACTGGGTGCCAATCTGACATTGATCCCATCCTGATTATGTACTGAGGCAATTCAATCAAAAATTATTTTCATTTCTTCACCTTACTTTTTGATTTCCAACGTGTTTTAATGTATATTCAAGGCTTCTTGTTATTGGAAAAAATGGAAAACCAACTGTTTTTGAGAACATTTGTTCATCTCACATCCCATTACGATTCAAACATTACAACAATTCATGTTATAGTTTCCAATTTAAAAGTTAGATAAAAAATCAAAGGAAAGCGTTTTATTTGTAACAATTATGAATGGAACTCTGAGTGACGATGAATCGAAACTTTCGCATATTTCATCAGAAACACAGAGAGAAACAATTTTTTGAATTTAACAAAGAAATCTGAAGTTTGAATAGGTCCAACAAACAAGCTTGATTGTTTCGAAGTTACCATTTATTTACATTTCTAAACAAATGATTTCTTCAAAATCAATATTATTTGTGAAGTTTTTACATTTGCCATGGATTTCAATTTCAATATTATTTATTTGAGAGGATTAATTGATTTAACATCATAATTACGATATTGTATATTCTAAATCCACCTGTGAAGCAAATGGTAGTAAAACGTCATCTAAACTATTTTTCCTTGGCACTCCAGATTGAAATTGGAAAAATGATAATTTCAGGATGATAAATGTCAAAAGGTTGCAAATAGGGTTTCCTTGTACTCACAATGTTATTCTCTATCGAAATAAGTAAACGTATACCGGGTGTCCCATTTGGAATAAGAAATTAAGGGTCATTTACGGCCAAAGCGAAAGTGACAGGAACAGTTGAATACGTTCAATAATGCATATTTATGAATTATACTCACACAACCAATTTCATTTGTTTATCTGTGAAAACAAAAAGGTTATAGGAATTAGCCACATTTGAGAAACACCAGGTATACAGGGTTCCATTCAAAATTCTCGACCCAGCAGGTCTATTCTCTGTTAAACAGGAAGTGATATTTATTTGCATTTTTATGAAAAATATGGGTTTCTAATAACTATATCTTTTCGATCTGAATGTGAAAAGACTAACATAGAAGACAACTGAAGGACACCCTAGCCAATGATATCTTTGTGACACGGTATATAGGTATAAGTAGTTTTTCTGTAACTGCACCTGCTAAATATAGAAAACGTTTATTCTACAGATTTTGCATAATGCGTAATATACATAGATATGACAAAACACTCAACTATATATCATTGTGAATTAATTAAATTGATTGTTAAAACCGGTTTGGAATTCAATGATTAATTGATTTACATCTGGACATACCTTTTTAGCCGCTAGTTTCAAAAGATGTCAACTGAACGATATGGAAACATGTTTGGCCACAACAATACAGGATGATCTAAAGCTAATTGGAAGCTCTGGTGAGTATAACTGTCGAGATAATAATTCGGTGTCAACGAATTCAAAAATAATATACTTTTTACACCACTAGCTTTAGAACCTACCATTATTCACTTCTCTTGAAGGCGTAAAATTTGTTTTTACTACCTAGGTAGTTTTCGTCCTTTTATGAACCACTATAATCAATAAAAACATTGCCACCTCTGATATAGATTCGCAGTAATGGCACTCGAATCTAGTAGGTATTTATCAATAACGTCTTGTCATAGGCTGCCATGGTCATGGCTACTAGATTGATTGAAAAGAAGTTTTTGTTTTATGTCCTGGTTCCCATCGCTCGAAAAGAGATATCCTGTAATGTTCAGAGAACATCGTGAGAACCAAGAGATATAAGGTAGGAATTGGCGTTCTTCTTGAATTTCTGGAGGTTTTATGCTTCGGCGAACACCTCCCTTGGCAATGTGTTCCAGAGCCTTGCTGTTCGTTGGATGAACGAGTCTTTGAAAAGAGATGTTCTGCAGGTCTCCAAAGTGACCACGAAGGGGTGCCTCAACTCAGTCTCGCGGGGACTGCGAAGAGAGGAACAATTGTTGATATTTCGGAAAATATCTATAAAATAGAGCCAGATCGCCAACTTTTCTACGGTGTTCCAGAGAAGTGAGTGAGTTTGTGAGCGACGCATCACCCACGAGACGAATTGCCCTTTTTTGGACAGAATTCAATAGTTTGAGGGTATGAGTGCTGCACTCCTAATATGGGGACAGTATCTCAGAACAGATCGGATCTGTGCATTATAGATCATAAGTAGCTGACTGAAGTGAAATATCTCCTGGCTCCTGGCCCGAAACAGAAAACCAAGTTTTTGGGATGCACTTTCAGCAATTGATCTCACGTGATTTTCCTAAGTTATTGCTGATAGTAATACCAGGCATCGAAATGGATGTCTTCAAAGGTATGGTTACTCCTGACAAGCTTATGCTGGGCACAGTGAAATGTATAGAAACATTCATAAATACTATTATTGACGAAGATTTCAATACCCAAAGTACATTTACTAACCATGTGCTTAACTGTGAACACTCATTTAACATTAATAGTGATTTGGAAGTTTTACATATTTGCCAGTAGGGTAGTTTGCTGAATCTGTTGGAAATTTTTAGACCAATTCATCTTCAAAGGACAAAAGTATTCTTTCACTCAATGAACAAATCCATTTAGATTGCCAAAAATTCTTAAATGCCTGGATTTTCTGATGTTTGTTTTATCGTTCCCTCATGCTTTGGTCTCCAGTATAAGTTTCCTTTTAATAATTCTCATAGCATTGTTAACCTCAGGTTGTTTCCCCTACTATCTTTATATTCTGATGTCACCATCCACAAGTTTGTCATGATTTTCATGGAACCAATTGTCTCTTGTCTTGCATCACCGTTGACAGCTGAAGTTACAGTTGTCTGCCAGAGTTGGGTTTATTGTTGGTTTGTTCTTTGTAGAATAATTTTCTCAATCGGCTATAGATCCAAAACATATCCCCTTTCTATTTATGATTTGATGATTGATGATATTAATTGCAGATGATAGTACCCTCCATACTGCGTTCTCTTCCAGAATTCCCATTTCTTCCCAGGAAACTAAGAACTCACGGCGCAGGCAGGTCAATGCTGTCAATGAGGATCTTGCTGAAATCACAGCCTGGGGAACAAACAACCTAGTTGAATTCAACGCCACCAAAACTCAAGCCTGCATTTTCTCTAGAAAGGCGGAAATCAGTATGCCCGATATCTCAATGTCTGGCTCCACCATCCTCACCAAGCCCACCATATCTATGCTCGGTATTTCCATCAGCAACACTCTTTCATGGGATAATCATGTCAGATCCATCGCAAAAGCTGCTTCACAAAAACTCGGATTCTTGTTCCGTGCGAAAAGCTACTTTACACCTCAACAGCTTATCATGATCTACAAGGCGCAAATACGGCCTGTTCTAGAATACTGTTCCCACATATGGTGTTCAGCACCAAAACATACGCTGATGCTCTTAGATTCCATCCAGAGAAGAGCCATTCGCCTGGTGGGTGACGCCACACTCACTCACTCTTTGACATCATTGGAACACCGTAGAAAGGTCGGCGACCTTTCACTTTTCTATCGATACTTCCACGGGAAATGTTCTTCGGAAATCTCTGCAATCATCCCTTCACTAGCAATACCAATCAGACGAACTAGACAAGCCCAGTCAGCACATCCTTTCGTCGTCAACCTCGAAAGATGTCGAACAGCACTTTATCAAGACTCCTTCATCCATAGAACGGCTAGGCTCTGGAATTCATTGCCTGTGGAAGTATTCCCAACAACATATAATCTCCAAAAATTCAAAAAAAATTCCAATACCTACCTCCTGTCCCTATCCTCCCTAGGAACACACGATGTTCTTTGAACATTATAGGGATTCCCTTTCGTGCACTCCAATCGATAAAAAAAAAAAACGTTGTGGAAATGACTTGGAGTATAATTACTATATGAACTACTCCACTCCACTTCGATATATACAGGGTTATGATAAAATAATGCACAAAATTCATAAAACGTACAACGATCACTTTTGAAAAAAATGCAAAAACACGTCAAACTGTTTTTTTTATTCCGCATCTTTTGACATAAGTTACAAAATAAACACGTCAAAGTTGTCAAAGTTATGACGTCATCAACAAAATTTTTTAATGGGAAGCTAAGATTTTTATTACATTATGTGATAGAGCTTGTGTTACACAAGGGAAAAATAGTTGCAGTAGGGCTCACATAATGTAATAATAATCTTAGCTTCCCATTAAAAAAAATTTTTGATGACGTCATAACTTTGACGTGTTATTTTTGTAACTTATGTCAAAAGATGCGGAATAAAAAAAAACAGTTTGACGTGTTTTTGCATTTTTTTCAAAAGTGATCGTTGTACGTTTTATGAATTTTGTGCATTACTTTATCATAACCCTGTATATATCCCGAGGCTTCAGCGAGTCCTAGCGTAATACTGATATTTTTGACTACCTTGGCGTATGAATAACTATTATCTATATATCTGAATCTGATGGTAGATATGAAACTGCAGATATAACAATTTGGCTATACACTCAGCTCAGTTGAATAGTTGATACTGATAGTTTTAGAGGTAAATTAAGTTCTGACAGAAATAAAAGCGCTTTCATTGCGTTTGTAGTCCACAAAGCCTACTTTCCAGAATTTCACATTTGCAAATTGAAATTCAAACGGAGATGGTCAAATGGACATTAGTTACTTTGAGCGACACAGAATACACATTATTGATAAAACATGAATACACAAGGGCCTAGGTAAATATGAATAATTCTGATGGATTTTTTATAGGTATTTCTTCATTGAATATCCCTTCGATAGAACCTCTCAAAATCCCTGCTATCGAAATAGGTGCGGGTAGTACTGCTGTCAACCTAGTCCAGAAGTACAGTGATGTGAATGTCCATGGATTTTCCCAATGTAAAGTGGAAACAGCCAAGTAAGTAATAGTACACGGTATGCGAAAGTTTGACTGGAAAATACTAACATGGACCAGCTTAATTTTCAATATATACCCTCTTGACTAGTACACAAAAATTTAATTGAAGAATATTGCGTGATTTCAACAGAATATGAATGTCATATTGTAGGCTGACTCAAGGTGGATGGTACATTGGCACATTATACGTTTGATGGATAGTATATTCGAACATTCTCTAACCAACTGTCATATTTTTGGCAATGCGGTGTTGCCACTTCTATTAGAAAGTAGTAGAAACTTTGATTTTTCAAATAGAACACACTGTATTTCATTGCATTCTTAGATACTCTCTAGAGAGCTGATTTCATCAATATTTCACACTGCGGAGATGATTACAGAGATGAAGGGTTTTCGAAATCGAGATTTATCAACTTCAGGATTTTTTTCTGTATATTCAATATTGGTCAAAACAGCTTACATGCCCCTATCTAACTTCTGGTTTACTAACTACTGACATTCAATTGGAATAGAATCAGAATTTTGAATCTTGAAACTGAAATCTGACTTCATTGGAAAACATTTTAGCCTCTGTTATCAATTTGCAGAATGCTAAAAATCGCACCTTCAATATTATTATATTAATAATGAATAATTTGTTGATATGGTATTCATTGATGAATATTCCTTTATGATAAGTTGTGGGTTATATTCGTGCGCTAGTAGAAAAAAAAAACAGTTGACAATATCACTTTCCGCACTTGTTAGGTAAACTACTATACTTCTGTTTCAGCTTGAATATCGACAAAAAAACTTTGACATTCACAGCGATATATCCAGAAATCAGACAAGAAGCAAAATACAGCTTGAATGGAAAAATCTTGGTCATTCCTGTCCATGGATCAGGCGATTCAGTCATAAGATTGAGTAAGTATCTCATACCGGGCGACTCATTGGTCATGTCTAATGAGATATAAACACTTTTTTTTTCTGCAACCGACACTAATTAGCTCTTGAATTGACGTTACTATTACTGACACAAACATAGGTATGTTGCTAGACATCAGAATTACATCCTAGGAGCTAAACTTGGACTTTAGCTCTAAACACAGTGGAGTATGGAGATTGAAGAGAAATGAATAATCGCTATTATTATTACTGCAGCGTTGGTTGCAGACACATTTTGGTCACGTGATGTTCAATCATTGTCGAAGACCAGGTATTACCGACCTTGTATGTCGCCCGATGCACCTGATGGCTCCCCTCGTATAAAGGTTCAGGAATTTTTGGAATTTTTTATTCGTATTATGTACTCCGAACATATCCTTATTCTAACAAAATTGTCCTCTTCCATTGACTGAACTATATCTCAGCGTTTTTTTCAAATAAACATTCACCCGGAAGTTATCCAGTCTATTTCGTTTCCTTTGGCCCACTCTGTATGGAGGTTAAAAGTATAATTCTGGAATAGGATATATCGTGTGTCCCAAATATGATCCTTACTATAAGGATCTCGGTAACTGTGAGAGATAAAGGGGCGGTTAAATTACGACAGCTTCAACAAATTCAATCGTGATTCAGAATCCGTCAAGAAATCTTGACTAGCTCTAGTCATTTCTGAGTTATTGAAGAAAAAGTGAAATTTTGTATTTCTGTTTTTCTCGAATATCTCGAAAACAATCGATCGTATTGTCAATAACAAGTACAAATGCCTATGGAATAACATCACTCAAACTATCGTTCATTTCGAGATCTTCAATGATAAATTAACTTCTCCAAATTGAAACATCCAGTAGGGTGTAGTTACGTTCTGGTCTAGCGGAGTTCATAGATTTCAGTTCCTGTAATATTTGTGAACCGTTTACCATGCGAAACTACCTAGGTAAGCAATACCGCTAGGTAACGGCCATTTTCATTGCGGAAAATCGCACACCTAGCATCGATATCGAATATAAATAGAACCCAAATCGTTAAGGTATGGCATTATTGGTTATTAATTCGCTCATAATTCAATAACTCGAATTCATTTATTCGTCAGTCATTACATACTCGATATTCGATTTTCAAAATTGAATTAGTAATTCACGAGTTGTTGTCACAATGTTCGCCGTCTCCCCGACTTCGATCCTGCTGGTCAGCCCCCTGCTTGACGTCATAATGTATGTAGTATTTTTTCATGTGTTCTCTCTGAATTATTTTGTGTTGTGTTCTATTTCGCATTCACTATGTTTATTCTCTGCTATCTTGCCATGTGGCAGCATTTATTCATGCCTTTCCCATTTGATCAATAAATGTCGATTTTATATAAAAACTGTCTCCACTATTTAATCGGGAATGAATATGATTGGGTAGTGAAATGATCAAAAACCTATAGGATAGGAGGGTCGATATTCTGATTTGCGACACATGGTAGAGGCACCGTTTGTTCTCAATAGTGCCGTATAAACTGCTAGATATGAGTTCTGACAGTATGAAAATACGACTTCAACATTATGATGGTCCTTTTCAAGGATCTTGGAAATGGTTTTGTCAATTTCTTAAAAAATAAGAAGATGAAGAAATAAGTTAAGGATCATATCTCAGAAATTTGATATTTTCAACGAAAACTGACGAAACCATTTGAAAGATCACTCAAAAGTACTATCAGAATGTTGAAGTCATTTTATCATAAAAACAATGTTTTTCGAGATACTCGTGAACAAATATACAAAATTCAAATTTTTCTTGAATAACTCAAAAATGACTGAAGCTAGTCTAGATTTCTCGACGGATTCTGAATCAAGATTGACTTTACTCAAACTTTTGTAATTCAACCGACTTTTTATCTCTAATAGTTACCGTGATCCCAATGGTGAGAATAGAATTTGGGACACACTGGATAGTTTTAATTCAATCTTCTCCTGATGCTGACCTAGTTAGAGAAACACGTGCGGAGGAGTCGAAAAATCGGTTTGGTTAGTGGTGAAACAGTGTAGTACCATAGAATTGGGTGACATGGGACGATTGTGAGATTCAATTGACCGTAGTTGAAAAACTTTAAAATTGTTGGTCCTTCAAAAAATACTATATCATGCCAAATACTTGGGACTACAAGTTGGGATGGAATTTGGTGCAGAAAATCAACCCGTTTTGGTGAAAGAAAATAAAAACATGCTGTCCCAAGTCACCCATTAATTTTGAAAACTTAGGACACGTCATTATTCTGCATGTTTTTCGTCAAGAAACGTTTCATTAAGGTGTCTTGGGATGCCGAAGCGATTAAAAAAATATATATCTAACGAATGCATCGGAAAATGAAAAAAAAAATTATGTTGATGTTTTTTGGGGCTACTAAGATATTTTAATGATGAAGGCACAATATAACTGTGATTTTAATATCTCATTCAAATACACTCGAATTCTTAACAAAAAGTTAAATACTAGAGCGATTTCATGAAGCCATTCCTCGTTTCCTTATTCTTTGTGGAGGTGGTAATTTGTGCCATATCAATGCATGCCCCAAATGACCCTAAAAGTAACCATCAAAAATGAAAATCATAATTCCATAAAATATATTGAAAAGTTAGGTCAATAATACTACGGTGAACTATTGTGATACTAGAAGTACCTGTGTCAAATATCTCATCGTCTGGCATAGGAAGTCATAAAAACTTGTCATTTTCTCACCTGCACTTGAAGGTGATACACACCGACACTAAACATAAAAAATATCTTATCCCTCGTGAATGACTATACCCTGACATCTACCGAAGTCCTCTGGTACTACAGTTTTAGTTTCGCTACCAACCGATAAATGGTAGAACATGATTCATAATTTCATGTTATTTGTCCCAAGTCACATCCAACCTACGGTATGTTAATTTATCTCGTTTGTCCTTTTTAGAGGAAGCAACCTTTGTCCACACCATCACATTCAAGGAAATGATGAAGAAGGGCAAAAAACTCTTCCATGTTGAAGACTACAAATTGAGTATCACCATCAAGGGGGCACACTACGACTTCCGTAATCTCTTTGATGGAGACAAAAATTTGGCCGACAATATTCTGAAAGTTATCAATGAAAATTGGAACGTTATTTTCGATGACGTAAAGCATGGCGTCGAAAGTTCATACGCAGCTGTGTTCAAAGCCTTAGCCAATAAGGTTTTCGATAATATTCCTATGGATGATATTTTCCTCAAATGAATTAATATTTATAGATATATGGTTTGTGATTTGTGATGCCAGCTCTCAAACTAGTTTTTCTATTATTATATGTATTATGTTAGACAATCATACATTTATCCTTTACTTATCATACATTATATTGAAAATCATATACATGCCAATAAAAATTGTATTTTCGAAGATTTCGTCACTGATGATTTATAATATGTAGAAATGTATGTCGAATAGTTACATAATTTTCTCCCGTCATCTAAGAACCATTGTTTTTATTTTATGAACATTTGTAGAAATTACTTTGAGTATGCTGTTCTTTGAGCTTTTACTTTACATTCAGTTACACTATTATTCAGTTTTACATCCTCAAATATAAACATTCTGAAAAAGCTTCAGTTCGCAGCCTCTTCATAAACTTAAAACAAAAATTTAAGTAGCGAGAGAGGAGAAAAAAAGATCAATATCAATAATTTGATATAATATACAGGGTGTTTGAAAAAAACTGACCCGCTTGATAGAGTAGGTAGAACACTGCAAAATAAGTTGGCTTTGTTCAGTAAAAAAATTTCGTAACGGCATCCGTTTTCAAGGTGTTGAAAAAATGATTTTTTTACACATTTTTCACGATTACGTCGAAACTACTGGCAACATTGTGATGAAATTTTGTATGGATGTTTTCTGGAACCTGACACATCGCATGAATTCGTTTTTATATCTGAATCTCATAGAGGACGCTAGTTACACGGTTCGAACCGATTAGTTTTGAACATAACTTTTTTGAGGTTAAATTCTCCATCCCAAATTTGATGTGAACTCAAACATCATTCAATTTCACACCAAAAAGGTACTCTTGGTAAAACTCGATACTGTTGCTCCGTTTTCGGAATATTTCGATTTGAAAATAATGGAGTAATAGCTAATGCTCGTTTAAAATGAATTTTATTGAGATCAATTACTTTTCTATTCAGATTCAAAAACGATAACATCATTCTTGTGCTGTGGTTATTGATTGAACAAAGAATCACAAGTAGAAAATTGAGAAATATTTGACTAGAAACATAAAATATTGAATCACTTGGAGTAAGTATTCAAAATGTTCTCCGTTCCCACGAATACACGATTCGATATTTTTTTATGAAAGCATTATTTTTCTAAACGGTTGAGGATCAGCTGTAAGGTCATCTAAGTGATGTTCAATTCTGACTTGCAACTCCAGACGTGAATTTACCTCTGTAGCATACACTTTTTGCTTGATACAACGAAACTGTGTAATCCATGTTTTTAGTAAAATTTGTTTCAATGTTATTCTTGTGAATCATTGTTGAATCAATAGATTCAGCATTAGAAATATAATAATAAAATAGGTGATGATTTTTTATAATACTCACTCTAATACATATAGCTTTATACCAGCAACAGTTATCACTTCATCATTTTCAAATCGGAATATTTCGACAACGGAACACAGTATCGAGTTTCACCAAGAGTACCTTTTTGGTGTGAAATTGAATGATGTTCAAGTTCTCATCAAATTCGGATTGAAAAATCTAACCTCAAAAAAGTTATGTTTGAAACTACTAGGTACGAACCGTGTAACTAGCGCCATCTATGAGAGTCAGATAGAAAAACAAATTCATGCCATGTGTCAGATTCCAAAAAACATCCATACAAAATTTTATAACAATGTTGCCAGTAGTTTCGACATATTCGTAAAAAAGGACCCCGCACTAAACTATAGGGAAAATGGCTCTCGATGAAAATCGCTGAATTTTTGGTATGTTGCAGACTTCGATATACTGAACAGATATTCCATTGAACTAACCTCAAAAAATGGACAGTTTTTCCGATATTGGCCTCCAAATGTCACTTTTTCGGAAAAAAAATGTATCTGAAAATGGTTGAATTTTTGGCATGTTGTAGATAGGAATGAACTGATTAAAAAATCCAATTGACCTAACCTCCAAAAATTGACAGTTTTCTCGATATTGACCTCCAAATAGAATCTTTTCAAGAAAAATATCTCTGAAAATGACTGAATTTCTGGTATGTTGTAGATAGGAATGAACTTATGAAAAAATTCAATTGACCTAACCTCAAAAAAAATTGACACTTTTTGGATATTGACCTCCAAATCGACTTTTTTCGAAAAAGAATCTATAAAACGGCTGGATTATGTAGGTATGTTGTAGGTATGAATGAACTGATGGAAAAACCCTATTGACCTTAACTAAAAAAATTGACAGTTTTACTGCTACTGACCCCTTAATGGCATTCAAACAACTGTATGAAAGTAAACCTTCAGAATGTTATTCTGTACAATTCCAAGGTTAGGAGAGTCAGGGAAAAATAATGCTTCATCATCATCGACGTTTCGTCCTTTATTATGAGGCATCCTCAGAAATCTATGAGTAAACCTACTTAAAAAATGAGTCGATTAAACCATGTTGCAGTTTCGATTTTCAAACATATTTACCTGAACATCATCATAATAGCTGAGTAGATGGGCCTGTTTCAGGAAAATATTTCATTTTCATTCATCATTTTGAAGAACTAACCCAAACTCGTTCACTCGTTCACTTGTCAATTGTTAATAATAATTATTGAAATTCACGATATCTTATCTCAAGAAAATCGCGGGACAACGCGTGTACATATTGTAAATAACTATCGGAATTCACGATATTTCATTACATGAAAATTGCGTGACGTCATATACCGGGATCAATCCATTGCGAATATTTTATTTTATTCCATAATTTTGAAAAGCTAACCCAAAGTTGTTCACTGTCGCAAACCGTTTTCTGTGCAGATCTCTGTACATATTGAAAATAATTATTGAAATTCACGATATTTCATAACATGAAAATCGAGGGACAACGCGTGATGACGTTATATACCGCGACCAATCCATTGCAATTATACTATACGATACGATTTATGTATTGTGTATACTTCAGTACACAACACTCCACTCAGACCTCGACTCAGACTATGGAAATAAATCCTCAATTCTATGAAGAATTTGGAAATATTCTCATTGGTTGTTGAGCAATAAAAATCTAAAAGTGTTTATCGTAATCGGTATGTCAATGTCACGTCATCTGCGGCAAAAGTGTTGCTGAGAGGTGATTATTCTGATTATTTAAAAAAATATATTTGGTATCATTGTAAGTAATGAATGAGTGTATCGACTTCTTTTATAATTTTTTTTAACGCTTGGAGCGCACGAAAGGGAATCCCTATAATGTTCAAAGAACATCGTGCGTTCCTAGGGAGGATAGGGACAGGAGGTAGGTATTGGAATTTTTTTTGAACTTTTGGAGGTTATATGTTGTTGGGAATACTTCCACAGGCAATGAATTCCAGAGCCTAGCCGTTCTATGAATAAAGGAGTCTTGATAAAGTGCTCTGTTCGACATCTTTCGAGGTTGACAACGAAAGGATGTGCTGACTGGGCTTGTCTAGTTCGTGTGATTGGTATTGCTAGTGAAGGGATGATAGCAGAGATTTCCAAAGAACATTTCCCGTGGAAGTATCGATAGAAAAGTGAAAGGTCGCCGACCTTTCTACGGTGTTCCAATGATGTCAAAGATTGAGTGAGTGTGGCGTCACCCACCAGGCGAATGGCTCTTCTCTGGATGGAATCTAAGAGCATCAACGTATGTTTTGGTGCTGAACCCCATATGTGGAAACAGTATTCTAGAACAGGCCGTATCTGCGCTTTGTAGATCATGAGAAGCTGTTGAGGTGTAAAGTAGCATTTTGCACGGAACAAGAATCCGAGTTTTTGTGAAGCAGCTTTTGCGATGGGATCTGACATGATTATCCCATGAAAGAGTGTTGCTGATGGAAATACCGAGCATAGATATGGTGGGCTTGGTGAGGATGGTGGAGCCAGACATTACAATATCGGGCATACTGAGTTCCGTCTTTCTAGAAAAAATGCAGGCTTGAGTTTTGGTGGCGTTGAATTCAACTAGGTTGTTTGTTCCCCAGGCTGAGATTTCAGCAAGATCTTCATTGACAGCATTGACCTGCCTGCGCCGTGAGTTCTTAGTTTCCTGAGAAGAAATGGGAATTCTGGAAGAGAACGCAGTATGGAGGGTACTATCTTCTGCAAAGCTGTGGATGGGGCAAGTTGTTACTACCAACAGATCATTGATATGAAGCAGGAATAATGTTGGTGCCAAAATTGATCCTTGTGGAACGCCGGAATTGATGCCAATGGTATCAGACGATACACCGTCCACCACCACGTGAAGCGATCTGCCTGAAAGAAAACTCGATAAAATATGGCATAGCTGAGGTGGTAAGCCGTATGATGGTGGTTTGTAGAGGAGTCCTTCGTGCCAAACACGGTCGAATGCTTTCGATATGTCCAACGCGACAGCTAGAGATTCCCCGTGTTTTTCTATTAAAGATTGCCATAAATGGGTGACGTAGGCAAGTAGATCTCCAGTAGATCTCCGGTGGCGAAATAATGATAATAGATGGAATGATCGAAATGTGTAAACCTTCAACCTCATTGACTCCGGAAAGACTATACTATAACCATCTTTTGAATAATATATATTTCATTACATCCTCTCTTCGGCGTTCTTCACCTGTGGGTGTATCATATGAAGAAGATTTGTTTTTAGAAGAATGAAATGCCAAATACCAATTCGAAAACAGCAACTTTGTCCAGCATTCATCTTATTTCCCATACGTACATTTGGAGGTCAATATCGAAAAACTGTCAATTTTTTGAGGTTAGGTCAATTGAATTTTTCCATCAGTTAATTCCGATCTACAACATACCAGAAATTCAGCTATTTTCAGAGATTTTTTTTTTCTTGAAAAAATTACATTTGGAGGTCAATATTGAGGAAACTGTCAATTTTTGGAGGTTATGTCAATTAGATTTTTTCATCAGTTTATTCCTATCTACAACATGTCAAAAATTCAACCATTTTCAGATACTTTTTTTTCTCGAAAAAATGACATTTGGAGGTCAATATCAGAAAAACTGTCCATTTTTTGAGGTTAGTTCAATGGAATATCTGATCAGTATATCAAAGTCTGCAACATACTAAAAATTCAGCGATTTTCATCGAGAGCCATTTTCCCTATAGTTTAGTGCGGGGTCCTTTGTAAAAAAATCTTTTTTTCAACACCTTGTGTTCTGAAAACGGATGCCGTTACGACATTTTTTTAATGAGCAAATCCAACTTATTTTGCAGTGTTCTACCTACCCTAGCAAGGGGGTCAGTTTTATTTAAACACCCTGTATATAATATACATAATAACTTCTGTTAACTTGGGCAAACAGGAGCAGAGATCGAAAAATACACATAATTGTTAATGTTCAAACAGATAACAGTATAGTTTCATCAGCATTTGATTTGGTAGTTCTGATTATGGATTTTCAATATAGGTATTTCATCAAAAAATCCTACAGATGTAGGAGAAAAAATTCGACGAAGTTATTATCTCTAGCTCATTCGCAATTATACAGGGTGCATTAATCTCCATGATTTGTCCATTTTCTCTCACTTGCTTTTCCAATCCTGCATATCAATATTTCAATTATGAATCAAGGACAACAAAATCAGGCCCAAGTTATCGATTTCTTTGAAGGAGAGAAAAATGAAAGCAGTTTATCTAAATATACTCCACTGACCCATGCACATGACTAAAAATTGAAAGTGCATTGGATTTTCTGAAAACTTACTTATCCTATATAGTACTAGATTAACCTACCAGAAAGTATTGTTCATAATCATCATAGATGATGATAGATGTAGATGGTATAGACTCGTAGAGCTCTAGTAGATAAGATGGTTCTATGAAGTTCTTCCAGATACAATGATTATTAAAATCGGCCCCTTCCATAGTTTCGTGAAATGCATATTGTTTCAGACTGTTCCATCCTGTTCTACACTGTCGTGAGTAATTATCGATTTTGCTGGTCTTCAATAATTTTTAATTGAAAATCGCAGAAATACCACTAATGTTCATGTCGAATTGACCATAAAAATTTTATGGAGAACATAAATAATAGTTCTTGAAGTTTTAGGTATATCTAGACGAGAAACAAAGGAACGCTACCATATAAAGACGCAGATTAGTGCGAAGACAATAAATTTATCATTTACTTCTCAAAACTCGAAGTAACTAAAATGGGTGTCGACATTCTGTTCAAATTTGTGATACTTATAGCTGTTGTAGTACATGGATACGAATTCCGTAAGTGGATATCAATAATAAGATCATGATTATTATATATTTTGATTTGAAAAATTGTGTGAACTTCTAATGGAAAGTCCGTTCAGCAGTTGGATTTTTTTCTATTTCTTGGAGCGTACGAAAGGGAATCCCTATAGTGTTAAAAAAACATCGTTCTTGCGGGAATACTTTCTTTGCCAAAGAACTTCAAAGTTTCGCCGTTCTATGGACGAACGAGTCTTGGTAGAGCCTTGTTCGACATATTTCAAGGTTGACAACGAGAGGATGTACTGACTGTGCCTATCGAGTTCGTCTGAATGGTATTGCTAGTGATGGAATAATGTCAGAGATTCCTGAAGGACGGTTCCCCTGGAAGTATCTATAGAGAAGTGAAAGATCACCGACTCATATACGGTTTTCCAATCACGACAAAGAATTAGTGAGCGTGACTTCACCCTTCAGGCGAATGGCTCTTTTCTGGATGAAATCTAAGAGCATCAGCGCATATTTGGGTGTTGAACTCAATGTGGGAACATTATCTATTCTAAAATAGGCCGTATCTGTTCTTTGAACAGAACAAGCTAGCCAGGTCAGGTATTCAGGTTGAAGATAATACTGTCTTCACGACCGCCGCGGCGGTTGTATACTGATACATAAACAACCGCCGCGACGATATTTCTTCCTTCTTCATAGAGAGTACTTCCGAGCAAAGCGATAGCTGAGTTGACTGTGTATCTGACCACCACGGCGGTGACTCGGGTTCAACCCCTGCGAGGCCTTACTTTTTTAAATTCTTTTTCACAAGTTATTTTTCGAAAAATATACTTCTCAGGCAAATGGTTTCATTAGGCGAGTTAGGTTAATTTGTTTGAAAAGAGTAGTCTCCATTTTCATGCATAAACGATATTATCCTTCTTCATGTTTCATGACGGTTTCCTATATAAAATTAGTTAACCGCTGGCGGTTGTTTATGTATCAGTATCCAATCGCCGCGGCGGTTGTGTAAACGTATCTCAGGTTAAAACGTATTTTCCTCTTTTACTACCTTTTCACGGTCTAGTGTCAAGAGGGCACCATAATTTTTTTTTCAAACTGTCGTAACTGGTTTTGGACGCCTTTCGTTTCTCTCTCGAACAACGCTTCGTTTGTGTGAATCCGCCAAGCCGTTTCAAACTGACAAGCGTGTCTGAAATCATTTACCTCGGAAACATTGTATAACCGATTTTTTTTCTGTCAATAAGTGAACGGTGAACATTTCGAGCATTCTCGAGCACTTTTTACAATTAATACTTAAAATATTGTTGCACTTAAAAATTTAAAGCAATTTTGCCCGGTTAACACATATTGATCGCAGAGATATAAGAGGGCATCACTTTCATGCCACACATCACATCCGTGACTCGGAATGAGCAGAGTCCCAATGAAATCACAATGACTGCTATTTCGGACCCTTTTGGTCATTCTATTATTCACATTATGATGCTGAATAAAACTCACAGTACGTATTAATCGGCTCCCCATTCAACATCAAAACTGATTGATTCAGTTTGTTACATTTCAACTCAAACCATGTTTATAATGATCCATTCATACATAAATAATGATTGACGACAAAATTCGATCGAAAAATTAACTGGAATGTTCGATTTTTGGACATAAATAATAGTACCTTCTGAAAACAGACCCTCTTATAACGTAGAAACCTCATCTCGCCATAGTTGAAAGAAAATACCAAATGCCCGACGGAGACTGAGGCAACTGATATATTAATTCTTTCACATTCTTTCAACTGTGATCTCGCGCTAATTCACTCTGTCAGAAATCATGTATCATTCATCTCTGTCTAGAATAGTCTTGTTTCAGTACTAGGGTTTTGACGTCACATCATCGCCTAGTTTTCAGAGGTCCAAAAAATCGGGGATTTCAATAATTTTTTATAAATCGTAGGGAGCTCACAGCAAGAAACGGTTTGCGGTGGTGAGCTAGTTTGGGTGAGGTCTATCGAATTATGAAATAAAAATTTCTTTTGATATAAGCCCATTCCAATGAAATGTGACGAATATTGCGAATGTTTTTTGGCCTCTGGCAGCACTAATGATGTTTTCTTGTAATTCGCATTGTTACCTAGCGAGACATGAATGTGATATCCCGGAGATGTTCGTGTTTACTGGGAGCTCTTTCATTTCTTTGTGAAATATTTGTAGCAAATTTCAAACTCTTGTCAGTTTGAAACAGCTTGGCCAATTTACAAAAACGAATAGACTTTCAAAACCATCAGGTACCACGTGATTTCCTTTACGTTTGACAAAAAAAGCTGATGGTGGCCTCTTCACACTGGGTCACGTGACCATAATAATTTTCATACCAAAAAGTTGTGAAAGACGCACTTTTTTACCGGAATTTTACCCGATCTCGATGGCTTGTTACCCTCAAAAGTTAAAGGGGGGATGACTTTTTTTTCAAGTGGTTATACAAATAGTATATCGATTTTAACAATAAACTGGATTTCAAATACTTAGTTGTAGTTGTTGTTTTTTTAATAAAAGATTCAGAATGCTGATTTTGATTAATTTACAGCTGAAAATTTCAAAAGATGCGAAACGGATGATAAAAATTTGGATACCTGCTTGGCTTCAACGATACAGAATGCATTTCAATTGATTGGGACATCCGGTAAGTATCCGTCAAGTTCCGCTCTTGAATAGAGCATTCTTGACAGTCAACCCCGATATGTACATACATACATACATCTTACGAACTATAGCAACTCCAACTCTGAAAATTCCAATGAGACAGGTTGTTAATGAATAAGTGCGACACACTTCAGGGGCTGATTCCTTGTGATATTTTAGAAAATAAAGTTTATATTAACATGTGTCCTAACTTGCTTCGTTTTCAAGATACATATTTCCATGAAAAATCGTTTTTTCAATCATTACTCACATGTCTTTTCACCAATTTTAATGCAACCTGCTGGTTTTGTTGAATGTAACATGAAGCTCATTTGATGTGATCAAATTCGAAAAAATATTTTCAGTGGCGTCACAGTGCGTTAATTTATCGATATTTGCGGTTGATATCATTGTACGCCACTGGTCATTCTGACTTTCAAATTCTTATTTGATTGAACAATTGAAATATCAACTTTCCTAACCTTTGTGTTTCTTTCGTATTTCGCTTAGTATTCGGGGAAACAATAAAAATTCAATTTGACTCCTATAATTTTAATTTAGGTGCCCTCGAAAAATTCATCGAGATTACTCAATAACCTCAATGAGAATCATTTTTAAATTTTGGGACTTTTTCAGTCTCCAACCATACTGAATTTTGGCACCATGAAAGCTTATACAGGGGCGTTATGAATGAAAAGAATTAATACTTTCAAATTCAACATCCTGTATATCAAAAACGACGAAAGTTAGGACACATCATGTTTACAAGAACTTTATTTCCTCAAATATCACGATAAATCACCCCCTGGAGTTTGTCGCACTTATTCACTAACATCCTGTATACTATACAGGGTGATCCACGGTAGATGGCCTATTAGAAGTATCTGGAGAACGAAAAGACAGAACTTTCTGAAAATTGGGATGCTTCGATAATTGAACATTCTCTATCCGTCTGAAATATTTTCATCGATACAGTGTTGCCACTTCTATCAGAAACACCTAGCAAACTTTGTTATTTTGAATGAGGCACCCTGTATTTCATTGTATTTTCAGATTCTTCCTGAAGAGCTGATTTCATCGATGTATCACACTTGGGGTCTAGCAGGAATGATTACAGAGATATAAGGTGTTCAAAATCGAGATCTTTCAATTTTAGGATTTTTTTGTGTCGAAACTATACATTATCGATCGAAACGGCTCACATGTCTTCATCTTAACTTTTGATTCACTATCTACTGACATTTAATTCGAACAGATACAGGGTGATCACAACTCTGAATCTTGATGCACCCTGTATTTTTTTCAATTGAATTCCAGTAGATAGTGAATCAAGAGTTGGGATAGGGACATGTAAGCCGTTTTGATCGATAATTAATAGGTTCGACACAAAAAAATCCTAAAACTGAAAAATCTCGATTTTGAATACCCTAAGTATATCTCTGTAATCATTTCTGCTAGACCCCAAGTGTGAAGCATGCTCTTCAGGAAAAATCTGAAAATGCAATAAAATACAGGGTGTTTTATTTGAAATAACAAATTTGCTAGTTGTTCCTGATAGAAGTGGCAACACTGTATCGAAAATATTTTAGACCGATAGAGAATGTTCAATTATCAATGCATCCCAATTTTCAGAATGTTCTGACTTTTCGTTCTCCAGATACTTCTAATAGGCCATCCACCGTGGATCACCCTGTATAGGTACCACCACATCATTTCAGAACCATATTCATTGCGAAATCAGCGCTACATCATTTTTCAGAAGCGTTAGAGATTCAATATATTTTTTGGAAATAGATTGGTGAAACAGAACTCGAAATCCCAAAAAAAGTTAGTTTTCTAAATACGGGGGGTAATTTTTTGTGGAAACATCTGGCATTTTGAGTGCAGTGACACCGGAAGAGAATATCCTAAAAATCTAGAGGATTGATTATTGTAGATACTTATTTTGGAATGAAAGTACTGTATAATATTTCTGTTCTATTCGCAATTATATACGAATGCTTATATATGATTATCAACCATACCAACCATCTTAGAAAAAAACATTGAGTACATAATTATGTCTAAAACGTTTACACTAGTGAACATCATGTTCTGATATGGCCAATTATTTATAATATTATTTAATTTTTCCATCGATACAAGACTATGAACTGGTGATATGTTTGAATACGAACATAAATTCAATAAGCAAGGACAAACATAAACAATAATAACTCAAAGATGAGTAACAGACAATTTTGAAATACAGAAACATTCTTAGGAACGTGTTTCGGCTTCCTATATTCCTTCTTCAGTATTAGATTTGAAAGTGAATGAATTCTGATTACGAACAATATTTTTAGGTATCACATCGCTAGGGCTTCCCTCAATTGATCCTCTGAAAGTGTCTAGCCTAGAAATAGGAGCAGGAAGCAGTGCAGTCAACTTGGTTCAAAAGTACAAAAACGCCAGAGTCTATGGATTAACGAAAACCAAAGTTACATCAGCACAGTAAGTTGACGTCAAAAAAAACTACAGATACTTAGACTGAATGAATATAGATTGAGGATAAAATTACCGAGATATATAGGTTTTACCGACCAGTCGATCAGTGTGGATTTAGTAGACAGTCCGCAGTTGAATAATTGATCACACCGTTTGGCACCAAGGAGCCAGTCCTCCACAAACTACCATCATACGACTTACCATCTCGGCTAAGTCATCTCTTATCGAGTTTTCTTTCAGGCTAATCGCTCCATGTGGTGGTGAACGGTATCTTCTGAGACTATTGCCATCAATTCCGGCGTTCTACAAGGATCAATTTTAGCACTAGCATTGTTTCTACTTCATATCAACGATCTATTGGGAGCTACCACTTGCCCTATCCACAGATTTGTGGACGTTAGTACTCTCTATAGGTACTGCGTTCTCCTCTAGAATTCCCATTTCTTCCCAGAAAATTAAGAACGATGTAGGCAGGTCAACTCTGTCAATGACGATGTTGCTGAAATTACAGCTTGGGGAACTTAAAACCTATATAGTTGGATTCAATGCCACCAAAACTCAAGCATGTATTTTCTCTAGAAAGGCGGAACTTGGTATGCCTGATATAACAATGCCAGGTACCACCATTCTCACCAAGACCACTATGTCTATGCCACCAACTTATTACTCTACCTAGATTGCTAGTAGTCATATCGCAGTAACCCGAAAATGTAGGGTCAGTTGCTCGCCTGGAAACTCTTCTGCTCGACACGCAAGAGCCCTGAGCTGTCGTTATTGAAATCAACGTATATAGTATCCATTTTGTTCATAGTCGGCGACCAGGTGAATGGCGTCGTTTCACGTGTTTTATTTATGTCAGTGCTCAGCTTGGTAAGAATACAATATCAAATTAATTGGTGATGTTGATGTTTTAGTTTTATTTTCGCCAATCCTAGGAAATATGAAGTGGTTTGTTCTTTGCTGTGAGAATTCCATGATTTATAATGCTAAAGGCATTTCTTTTCATCGGTGAGTTTGTGGGTAATTTATAATTCATTACTTTGCTTTAATCAGTTGAGCAAGTATTTACATCGAATGGAATCATGCATGACTTGTATAATCATTCAGCTGTGAAGAATTTGAGTTCAGGTGGTAGGTGCTATACCTACTCATTTATTTTTGATCAAAAAGTCACTTATTCAATAATGACTAGAATTCTTATATGAGAGAAATGGATGGTTTGAGGCTATTAGAAGACATTGAAAGCATACGCAAATTCGCCGTTTTTGAAATATATAGTTCTCAAATCTGAGTATTGAAAGCTATGAGACCTGAATACTGTATATTTCATTCATTTCTCACTACTTTATGTATGGTTTAACAACCTTCCATAGTAGACCCCTCCCATCCTTTTTCTCTCGATACGCCTATGTTCCTCGAGTTGGCGGTCTAGATTAGTCTATTAGTCGCTGGTCTATGCTCGGTATTTCCGACAGCAGTATTCTTTCACGGGAAAATCATGTCCCATCCATCGCAAAAGCTGCTTCACAAAAACTGTGATTTTTACTCGGATTTTTATTCCGTGCGGAAATCTAAATTACACCTCAACAGCTTCTCATGACCTACGAAGTACATATACGGCCAGTTCTAGAATACTGTTCTCACATATGGGGTTCAGCACCCAAACATACGCTGATGCTCTTAGATTCCATCCAGAAAATAGCCATTCGCCTGGTGAGTGATGCCACAATCACTAATAGTTTGACCTCATTAGAACACCGCCGAGAAGTCGGCGACCATGTTCCTCAGAAATCTCTACTATCATTCCATCACTACAAATACCAGTCAGACGAACTCGACATGCCCAGTGAGCATATCTTTTCGTTGTCAACCTTGAAATATGTCGAACAACACTCGACCAGAACTCGATCGTCTAATAGGACAGCAAAACCTTGGAATTCTTTGCCAATGGAGATATTCCCAAGAACTTATATTCTCTCCAAATGTAAAAAAAAAATCCTCCAACTACCTCCTTTCCTTATCCTCCTTAGGTAAGCACGATGTTCTTTGATCATCATATATGTATTTCCTTTCGTCCGCTCCAAGAGACAAAGACAAAAAATATGTCTGTTATATTTTGTGCTGGTCGCCTGGCTGGTAACTTTCGTCAAAACGCATTGGCAATTCAATTTGCCATCAATTTTTGCCCCAACTCTATATAATTTGTTGAAGTATCCCAAATGTTTCATGGGAATATATATTTTGAATATCTATCCAATGCCTCTATGAAATTTTTCAAGTCATCGTATTCAATTGATATATTCGATTCGAATATCCAGAATATATACGAATGAATTCAAAAGCCCTTAATTGGGATATTCTCCGAATGGTATGGAAAAATATACCAACAGATGGAAGATGAAAAAATCATAATTTGAGGGATGGGTAGGAATCTGAATAATGAAGGAAGTTCGAATACATCTCTTATTTTTATGGAAATATAGAATATTCATTATTGAAACTCTTCACAGAGTGTACCAATAATTCTGATTTATCCAGTTATGTCGTTTATGAAATAACTCCAGTGGTGTAGATTCCGGGGTCACCTGAAAACTTCGACGCCATAAAAAATGTCTACAGATTTGGAACTAGAGGGGCAAAATTGTCATATTTTGATACAACGCACCGAAATAAAAATTAAAAAAGTGATAGAATATTTCATAAGTTTTTTGTGGGAGCAAAGGTGTCAGGTGACCCCCAGAATCTGAACATTTTTCTAATAATGTCTGTTTATTTCATTAGAGCATAGACCCATATAAAAAATAATTGATTCATCACTCTGTAGAAAAATTCATTGAACTTACTGTTACAGTCGCCGATACAAATTCATTTCCACAGAAAAAAATGTTTGTAATTACTTTCAACCAGAAACTTACTTCCGTTCATGAATACTTCAGACAGAATCTGAGTATTGCCAACATTGTCAATTGAAAAATAATTGAAGAAAGTTTAGGTTTCCTGAAAAACCTTCAACATGTCTGTTGACAATGTTGCCAAATATCAAATTTATTTCTGAAATTTGCATAAAAAGTAGGGTCCAAAAAATTAGGCTGTCGCTTTTTATTTCCAGTTGAAAGTTAAAGTCCGTATGACGCGAGCCAGTTTTTCCTACATTTTCTGAATGAGAATTTGTATTCAGAATTTACTGCACCGTGTATTACAGAAACAGAGAGGCTGAATGCAAAACTGGATGAAATATAGGACATGTCCTATATTTCATTCATTTTATGTTGAAGCGCTTGCGCATAACGCCGTTATTTAACCTTCGAATTGTTTGTTTTGTTTTGAGATCAAGACAAGATCAAGACAAGATCTTGAAATTTTCTTTGAGATTATCTAGAGCTGATTCACAGAGAGTGTACAGGGTGGGCAAAATTGGGCGTTTTCACGTGCTATCTCAATAACTAAAAGAGTTATCGAAAAACCGATATACATGTTACGGGTTCGATTTTGAAGAAACCTAAAATGGTGCATTCGGAATTTTGATATCTTCATTCGTTTCAGAGATACAGGAAGAAATTTTTTATTTTCTGAGTGCTTTATGGTGAGGAATATTGGAAATTTTCGAAAGTTCATCCGTATAGTATGATGCGAACAATCCATTGGCACTATCAGAAATTTTATACAGGGTGAGATTAAAAAGACACATCATCCAATTATATTTTTTCTAATGGAACACCCCGTATATTTTGGCACAGTTAGATAGTTCCAGGCGTTCTAATTTCAAATATATATATTACTCGACCTTTTTCCTCCACAACTTCAGAAATATTCGCAAAAATATATTCAGCGTGTCACATTATTTATGAATACCTCCGTATCATCCGCAATAATCATTGAGGTTGGATTCATGAATTCGCAACTGTGAGAGAGATGACAATGATACACTCGCAGACCTTGGGAGAACATCTTCAGTGATAACACTGCTCGCCAGCAGCTATGGAATCACCGAGATTTCTGGAAAATGCTATCAAGAGGAAGAGTATGGGTTGAAAATGACTCTCTGTATATATTGATCAAAGGAGGAAAATAAATATCAATGAAAATTCAATTCAAATATTTTCATTTCCAGTTAAATGAATATCTGATAAATAAAAGAGTAATTATTCGATTTGATATCATTGTTATCAATTCATTCAAACTATTTAAGATACAGAAATAAGACAAATAATAATTTACCTAATTAGGGAATTAGTATAGGTGACGTTGAGAAATAATGATCTATAGAAGATGTTCAAATTGTCTTCTGTTCTGGCCTGAGCAAACTTGACATCGTTTTCTTACAGAATTCACTGCGTTAGTAAGGTGAATGGATGTCACTTTTTGGAATGCTGAAATAACGTCTTCACGCAGTTCTTCGGCATTTTGGTGATCTCGACGATATATATGGTTTTTTAGAAATCCTCCTTCGATTAATATATACAGAGTGTCATTTTCAATCAATATTCTTTCTCTTGATAGCATTTTCCAGAAATGTCGGTGATTCCATAGCTGCTGACGAGTAGTGATATAACTGGAGTTATTCTCCTTAGGTCCTCGAGTGTATCATTGGCATCTCTCTCACAGTTGAGAATTTATGAATACAACCTCAATGATTATTGCGGAAGATACGGAGGTGCAACCATGAAAAATGTGAAGCACTGAATGTATTTTTGCGAATATTTCTGAAATTGTGAAAGAAAAATGAAGAGTTATGGGGAGTTATATATATATTTGAAATTGGAACTCCTGGGACTATGTAACTGTGCCAAAATATAGGGGGATTTCCATAAGAAAAAATATAATTAGCTGACGTATCTTTTTAATGTAACCCTGTATAAAATTCCCAATGATGCCAATGAATTGTTCGCATCATACTATATGAATGAACTTTCGAAAATTTTCAATATTCCCCACCATAAAGTACTCAGAAATAAAAAACGAAATCGGCAATTTTTCAATTTCCCCCTGTATCTCTGACACGAATGAGAATATCAAAATTCCAAATGAGCCATTTCAGATTCCTCTAAAATCGAACTCGTAACATGTATATCGGTTTTTCGATAACTCCTTTTGTTATTGAGATAGCCCGTGAAAACGCCCAATTTTGCCCACCCTGTACATCATCGTGTTCGTAAGCTAATGAGCTACTCAAACATGCCATAATAATATTGGGGTGTAATTTGAAAAACGAAAGTTAGTGTTATGTACTAAGGAGTGGTTTATCGAGGGGTACTTCTAATTGATAATTTTTGTGCAACACTCTTTCTCATTTGAGCCGGTTTTTCCAGAACATTGATAATGTCACCCGTTTTCGAGAAACTGCGTATAAAAGTAGGATTGGGTTATCCGGTACCTATATACATCAACTCGTCTTGATTATTCACCATTTGGCTATTGAGTTTCTTCATAAATCACCCTGTATATCGTCTCATACATATTTCTCTCATATTTGGTTTATTATAATCAACAATTATCGAAATAATGTTTAATTATACCAATTCTATTTAAACGTCTCGTTTAAATTTATCTATGGCCTGAATTATAGATTATGTATATTTCGTACTTTATACCTTATAATACCCTGTCACAGCTTACTCTGATTTATTACTGAGAACAACGGTAATTTAGGACTTCTTGATATTTTTTATGCCATATAATTTCCAAGTACTTACCAAGAAAATTATTTATGTTTCAGCTTGGATTTGGATAAAAAAGTTCTAACATTCACCTTAGTACACCCTGAAATGAGACAGGAAGCTGAATATAGCCTTAACGGAAAGATTCTGGTGTTCCCTATGTATGGAAGTGGAGATTCAGTACTACTATTCAGTGAGTGAAAAAATTCATTTCTCATACTAGGTGTTCTTCTTCTTCTTCTTCTTCGAAGCACTGGTGGGCGGGTGAATCCCCTGCACGTGGGCCTCCTTATTCGGGCCCATTGTGCGCCCACATGTTACGACATTCAGCTGGGTATGCCGACTGCCTTGGAGAAGTTCAGCAGCTTCCTCAGCTGAATCTCTTTTACGTCCTCTGGCCTCAAAATTATGTGGCCAAGGACAGCCCTCCTCTGATGCGTCAGTGCTGGACACTCAGTGAGGACATGTGATGACGTTTCATCATCTTCCAGGCACCATCTGCAAAGGGGGTCATCCTTGATCCCAATAAGCTCTAGGTGCCTATTGAGGTGGTTGTGCCCCGTTAGGAGCCCTACTACCATTTTAAGGTTTCGCCTGTTTAGGAATAAAACCTCTTTTGCGAGCCTCTTCGAAGGTTCCTTTATGTGGAGCTTCGATTGTCTCATTCCTGGTGTGTCCTGCCATATTTTGAGGAATTGCTTTCGCAGCTGTTCCTCTATAGAGGACATTGCCAGGCTATTTGGTATTCCCAAAATTGGTTCCGGTCCGACCGCGGTCCGTCCGGAACCGATCTTTGCCAGTCTGTCTGCCTCCTCGTTTCCGGGTATTCCCGAATGTCCCGGGACCCACATGAGGCTGACTTTTCTTGATTTTGCCAGGTTTTCCAAGGCTTTTCTGCACTCGGACACCAATTTGGATGTGATCCTATTGGATTGCAAAGCCAGTATTGCAGCTTTGCTGTCCGAGCATATAGTGATTGGTCTACGACCTCTCATAATTAGGTTTTCTTGGACGCAGGTGAGTATTGCAAGTACTTCTGCCTGGAACACTGAGGCATATTCGCCCAAAGGAACTGAAATTTCTTTACCTGTTTCTTCATTGTATACCCCTGCACCTGAACCGCCCTCAAATCTTGAGCCATCCGTGTACCAGATTGACTCATTGGGAGGAGGCACGCCAGGTGTTGTGTCATTCCATTCTTCCCTCGTAGGGATGACAGTGTTTGGGGCTTTGTTGAAATTCAGAATTGGCAAGGTATTATCCCTTCTCATCATGAGGATGGGACAGTTTTCCTTTGCCTTATTCCATATGAGGGAGTGTCCATGATCTGCTTCTGTTCCGACCCACTGGTTTGCACCGTTGAGTCGGTAAGCAGTTCTCATGGCTTCGTATTGTATGAACAGGTGTAGAGGCGGCAGACCTAACAGAACTTCAAGAGCCCTGGTAGGCGTCGTTCTCAAAGCACCTGTTATTCCCAGGCAGGCCAGTCGCTGGACTTTATCCAGTTCTCTGTTGGTCTTGCCCTTATTGGTACTGGTCCACCATACAATGGACCCGTACGTAAGTGTTGGGCGTATTACTGCCGTGTATATCCAGTGAAGGGTCTTGGGTGTGAGACCCCATGTTTTTCCAAAGGCTCGTCTGCATGCCCAGAAGCAGCATACAGCCTTCTTAGTGCGGTTTGCAATGTGCTCATTCCAAGTGAGCTTGGAGTCTATTATAACTCCAAGGTACTTTGATGAGCTTTTATATTGGAGACACTTTCCCGAGAGAAATATCTCAGGAAGTGTTCCTATTTTGCGTTTCTTAGTGAATAATACCAAGTTCGCCTTTTCTGGATTGACTCTCAATCCACTGGTGGAACACCACTGTTCCACTTTATTGAGGGCTTCCATTATTGGATTCCCTAGCCGGTTCGCCGATTGATTTTGGGCCATTATTACCAAGTCATCTGCATATGCTTGCGCATATAGCCCTGGCCTATTCAAATCTATGAGGAGCTCGTCTACTACCAGGCACCATAGTAGTGGTGATAAAACCCCTCCTTGAGGACATCCTCTTGATACCTTGGCAGCAACCGACCTCCCACATAGTTCTGCTTTTACCACTCGCTGCGATAGCATGGCCCTAATCCACCTGGTCAAGGTTTGATGGACCCCATGTCTATCCGCGGCATGGCATATCGATTCAAATGACGTATTGTCAAATGCTCCTTCTATGTCTAGAAAGACTCCCATGGCTGAGCGTCCACCAGCTAGCACTCCATCTATCTTATGGACAAGATGATGGAGAGCCGCATCTGTGGACTTCCCAGTCTGATAGGCATATTGTTGTGCATGCAGCGGGTTTATTTGCAGTGGCACTTCTCTGATGTATCGATCTATCAGCCTCTCCAGTGTTTTCATGAGGAAAGACGTGAGGCTGATGGGTCTATACGCTTTGGCATCGGAATAATCTGTTTTCCCTGGTTTCGGGATTAATACGATCCTAACCGATCTCCATTCCACTGATATGTGGCCCAGAGCCAGACAGGACCGAAATATCTTCATAAGCAGGGAAATGATGGTGTCCAGTCCCTCTTGTAGGAGGGCCGGAAATATTCCATCTTCCCCTGGTGATTTAAATGGTGCGAATGTCTTTACAGCCCATCTCACCTTCTCGTATGTAACCACCTTTGACGCCGTTTGATAGTCCATGTGAGTTCTTCTCACTGGGCTCGTCCTCAAAGGTGGTTCGTTGGATATTTCTGAATCCGGAAAGTGTGTGGAGATGAGGTGCTGCAATGTTTCCTCTGCCGTTGTGGTTTCTCGACCATCTGACAGAGACAGCACGCCCACTCCTCTTCCCGGTTCTTTGGAGAGAACTTTGCATATCCTTGCCGCAGAAGAAATTGTGTTTATTTCTCCGCAGTAGGCACGCCAACTGTCTCTTTGTGCTTGCCGAATGGCTTTTTTGTACGCTCTCTGGGCAGACCTATATTCTTCCCAGTGTTGCGGTACGTTTGTGCGTTTCGCTTTGTTTAGAAGCTTTCTTGTGAGCCTGCGGTGGTTTTCTATTTCTGAATTCCACCATGGCGTTCTAGCATTGGTAGCTCTGTCTTTAAGTGGACAGCTGTTTTCGTACGAGGAAGTGATGGCCTTGTTAAGATACGACACCACTGTATCTATTTCGGCCTCACTCCCGTACTTTGATGGCAGACCCACAAGCCTTCCTTTGAGTTCCTCCCGAAAGAGGTCCCACTTGGTGGCACGAGGGTTCCTATATTTTTCTTTTTCTGGAGCGCTTATACCCCCCAGCGTAAACAGAATGTGTCGATGATCTGATAGAGATTCATCTTGTGACACCTTCCATGAATGAACCTGGGTCAACATATCTCGAGTGCATAGAGTAAGATCTATAACAGATTGCCGCCTAGGCGTGAAAAAAGTAGGTACTGAGCCCTCATTTATGATTTCCAGATTACTGGTGGTGAGGAATTCGAGCAGAGCACTTCCCCTCGGGTTCGTGTCCCGGCTGCCCCACAGAATATGGTGGGCATTCGAGTCACAGCCGATGAGAAGGCCCTTCCCAGATTCCTCGCAATATCGTACTAACGATTCGATCTCCCGAGGCGGAGCAGCTGTCTCGTACGGAAAATACGCTGAGCAGACTACTACCTCCTGGGTGCGATCATTTAACGGCATGAGGATCTCTACCGCCACCAGGTCTCTGGTACAGAATCCTGGGACAGGGAAGACCTTCATGCCTTTTGTATAAATACACGCCCGGGGGCTGGTATCGACAGAGGCACAGTAATGGGCCGTTCCTCCGCCCATTCCTAGCCCTCTTATCTTGCCCTGGTATGTCCAAGGCTCCTGTATTAGTAGGATATCTATGTCCCACTCTCGGATCCTTCGGCATGCCAGGGCCGTTGGGGCTTTCCCATGTTGCAAATTAATTTGTAGGACTTTTACAGACATAAATTAACTTACTTGTTGTGGCTCCTCCGCAGCTTGGCTCCATCGCCCCCCTTCGTCGGCTCGGCCTCCTGTTATTGGTCTGACTGAGGTCCCCCTTCGGGTTCCTCAGTCAACACTCCGAGGTCCATTGGTTGGACCTCATCGCTCATAGGCGACTCTGACCGGTAGGAGATCCTCGAGGGAGTTCCTCCTACCATGTCGCTCCTGGAGGTATCGTCTGACGATCCTCCAGTTTCAGGTGTAGGAGCCCCGACCTCAGCAGTTCCTCTTTCACCCACGACTGACGTTTCTGTACGCGCCTCCTCGGCCACCGTTTCAGAGATCCCTCGTGAGGTTCCTCCGGTTTGGGGGGCCGAGGCAGCAGGCACAGCTCGCCTGGTCCGGGTTCCAGAGGTCCCTTGGTCGGTACCCCTAGACACTCTTTGTTGAGCCATGGGCCCTTCAAGGATGGTCACAGTTGCCTGTGTCGCACTGTAGTAGGGCTGGAAGTTCATCAGGCTGAGAAGCCTGATAGACTCTTCGTCCATCCCCACCACGAGGCGAAGTCCTTGCTTCTCCTCTTTCCTCTCCCAGATTCTCCAAGGAGATACCGAGAGGCTTGGATTCTGCTTCCCCAGTCTCTTGAGGATTTCCTGGTTAGGCAGAAACCTTTTGCCAGGGATCCACAACATTGCCCGGCGTAGCTTGAGCCTTGTTGGGTCCATGACAATAAGAGTGGCGTCTTTCCAGGGTTTGATGTTCTTCAACTCCCTGGTGAGCCACTCCTTTGAAAACTCGTTGGTAGCAGTTACCAACAGCTGCCTTCGCCACAGTCGTGTAGACTGGAACTGTGGAGGTGCAGTACCCGCTGGGATATCTGCAATCGCATCCCCCACAGCATCGAGGAACTCTAACAATTGATCCTCACCGAAGCCTCCATCAGGCTGATCCTCTTGGGTGATGACCAACTGCAGAGCTTTATCTCCAGCGGCAACCTGTGCGTAGTCCGCCCTCCACTGGCCGGGGTTGCCGACCCTTGGTTTTTTGGACTCCCGCCCGGTCTCCACTGGAGTAGACCCTGGTGTCCTGCCTCTTTTGGAGGCAGGTGTCCGATCCTTCTGAGAGGCTCCTGTTGAGGATCCTCTCTTGGAAACATCGGAAGATGTGCCAGCCTCTGCTGGATCAGGAGCTCCCCCTGGAGGAGCCACAAGACCCCGCTGTTGCTCCCTCTTCCTCCGCTTCCTCGCGGCCCCACATACGTTGGGCTTTTTGACTCTTGCCCACTGGAGTCTTTCATCTACCGAGGTCCGTTGCCGTTCCTCGGCTTCTTCTAGGGAGGTCTGAGGGAGGTTAGGGGTGGGGGTAGGGAGAGGGTTTGTAGGAAAGACGGGGGGCTCCGTGGAGGAATCCCCCATCGTTGGGGTGTTTTCCGAGGTCACCGGGGTGACCTCGGGAGGGGTGGTGAATGAGAGCTCCGAAGAGCAACTCTGTGTGCCCTCTGATCCCTGAGTGGTTCCAGAGGAAGGTAAGGATGGGTTGGAGGGTCCTCTGAGAGTTCCCTCCGGTAAGGTAGAGGGTCCCGAATCGGTTCCCTCGTTTGGGGTCTGGGGTGTTACCTCAGTCCTCCCTGGTTTGTTTTTTTGTTTTTTGGGTTTCATATTGATCCCACGAGTAATGGGGAATTGACTTCGCCCCCTGCAGCGCCCCTTGCAGGGGGAGGGCTTTTACTTGGGGAGGTCGCCAGGTGTCCCCAAGGCTCCGTTCTCGATAGCACTCCTACCATCCAGTCCTCGGCACGGAATTCTCACACCTTGACTTGGGGGATTGTTTCGACTTACCTTGTCTAGATCCGCTGTGTTTAGTTTATGCAGGGCCACCTCGGGCAGGATGCGATTCTACATCGCGCACAGACGGTCTTGGGAATAGCTTCCTCGAAAGGTTTGCCCGACCTCCTCCGCTATTCCCCTGGAGTCGGTGGCCATGTAGCCGACCCCTTGACCCCATACTAGGTGTTGTATGAGAAATTAAGGAACATTCTGTTCTTGAGAGTGTGAAATAAAAGCCCTCTCTCAATTTGTACTGATATCGAAAATATCAAATGTCATTGATACAATTGATGCTTCTAACCTTGCCTCATAAATAGTTGAAAACCTCTTATCAAAAATATCAGGCAAGAATTTCAAATGAAGTATCTTCGAAAATATTGTATCATAAAAATGTACTACCATTTGCCTTCAAGAACACACTTTCATCCACTACGGAAACACCCTGTGTATGTTTTTGCGGTTCGAGGTCGAATTTGTGTTTTGATTGACATGACAACAATAGTTTTCCACATCAGATCAATTGAAGACCCTATAGGGGGACTTATATAACAATCAATTATTATTTTTCGATATTTCTTCATTTTCACAATAAATAGTGCAATTTGATGGATGATGATACTGAATAGTGAAACAAAAGAACCTTAAATTTTCATATTGTGTCACCCACTACTCATATTTTGCGAGAATATTATGTAAATGTTTTTCCCGCACTAGTGTGGGAAAAAAATTACCGACCTAGTGTGGAAAATGACACTTCCCAACCTAAATTGCGTGCTGGTATAGGGTGAATCACGCACGCTTGTAGAAAAAATCACAAACAGTAACTAATCAATTGTGATAGTAACAGCATTCTATTGATTTTATATATGGTGCCAACCAGACGCCAAATTGATTCTAACCTAAGTTGGATTGCCTTATATAGGTCGCGTGCCAGAACTGTCAGATGACCGACCCTGGAGGCAAAACATATTTGTTTACAAGTGATCGAAATAGTTTTCCACAATTATTTTGGCATATGAATCGTATTTTTCCGCTATTCATCAATTCGCTAATGCCATCACACTGTGCTGTTCTAAAATGCACAAAAACTGCAGCGGAAGATGGTACATTATGATTCAAAAGTAAGTACCTACTATAGTCACTCACATAGTTTTCATTTTTGAAATATGGTTATTTCTCTGATTTCTCATCGGAATTCCTTCTGCAATAGGATCAGCTAATAGAAATATACCTGAAATTTCTAGAATAATGCAAGAAGATTGGATTCATGCAATCAATCGGTAGGACTGGTCTGACATGCTGAGGATCGTGTATGTTGTAGACATTTTCAATCTATTAGCAGCATTAGCTTGTATTGCAGAAGTGGCAGAAGGCAGAAGGAATTTTAATAAGGAATGACAACATTTCATAATGCTAATGCTAATGCTAATGTGAGATTACTATTTACCTGAAAAATCATATTCCCTAGTCTCTTGCTGCATTTTTTGTGCATTGTACAACAGCACAATGCGAAGGCATGCTTGAATTACTGAATAACGCAAGAAACACGATTCGTATGCCAAAATATTGTGAAAAACTATTTCAACCTTTTGATTCCTCTGTAACCAAATGAAAAAGTGAGGTTGTGTTTCAATAATTCACAGAAGAATGAGGTTGTGTTTCAATATTTTGCCTCCAGAGTCGGTCTTCGTGCACGCGACCCATATAGGTCGCGTGCACATGATTGTGTCAGATGACCGACCCTGGTGGTAAAGCATTAAAACACAATCTCACTTTTCTCATTTGTTTACAAAATATTGAAATAATTTTTCACAATTATTTTGGCATGCGAATGGTGTTTTCTAGGCTATACATGAATTCAATTCAAGCATGCCATCACATTCTGCTGTTGTACAATGCACAAAAAATGCAGCAAGAGGCGAAGGATTTTTTAGGTATAGATACTGTTCTAAAAGTAGCAGTCACTAACATATTTTTCATCATAAAATTTCGTCAATTCTCAATTCCTGCTTCGACTTCTGACTGATAGAAGATTGCAGATACTGCTGATGGAGTGATGTCAGACTATTCCTCCCGTTTGGTTGCACTTGGAATCGCTTCTTGAGTTCTTTTAGAAACTTCACAAGTATTTCTATCAGCTCCTATTACAGAAGGAATTCTAATGAAAAATGACAAAACCTCAAAATGACAGCTATGTGAGTGACCACAGTACTTTCAATAGATCACAATTATTTACCTACCTGAAAGATCATATTCCTACGTCTCTTGCTTCATTTTTTGTGCATTGTATAACAGTACAATGTGATGACATGCTGTAATCAATTAATTGCCTAATGAACATGCTTCGTATGCCAAAATAATTATGAAAAACAATTTCAATCCTTGTAAACAAATAAGAAAAGTGAAAAGTGAGGTTGTGTTTCAATGTTTAAACTCCAGAGTCAGTCATCTGACACATAATGCAGGCGACCTATGGAAAGTGATGGATGATGAATACTGACAAATCATTGAAGAGTTGGGAAAGGCATGTAAATGATACCTCACAAACTTTTTTTTATTTTTCAGAGGAACCAACCTTTGATCATACAATTACTTTCAAAGAACATACCAAAAATGGCAAGAGATACTTTCACGTGGAGACCTACAAATTGAACATCGCCATTAAGGGTGCGAAATATGACTTCGAAAATCTATTTGATGGTGACAAAAATTTGGCAGAAAGCATTCTGAAAGTAGTCAATGAGAACTGGGACGTTATTTTCGGCGACGTCAAAAGTGGGGTGGAGAATGCCTATGCTACTGTATTCAAATCAATAGCCAGAAAATTCTTCAATACTATTCCTGTTGACGAAATCTTTCTCAAATAATTCTCTTGATGATAATTATGTTATCATCAACTATCTATGGAAATATTATGAATATCTGTTATTGTAATATAATACGTATTATGAAATCTGTATGGGTACCTAATTTTATGTCGATCCTGAAATGTAGTCTCAAAAGTAAATTTTCGTGATTCTCTTCGCTACACTGAATATTAGTTTTCGTTTGGAAAACCCTCGGGAAAACCTCGACTAGTCAGTCACCAATGAAATCTAAAGTCTGAAAAATCAAACCAGGCATGAAATAGTACTTTACATAACTAGTGAGGAAAGTGGGATATTTCATGCGATTGACGAGTGCAGGAAATGCAGTTTCCGACGAGTTTTGTACACTATTTTTCTGGAAGCAGTGACATTGAGTTCAGAAGAATGCAAGAGGATTTGTCTTAATTTTTCCTATATTCTGCTTTGTATACTTGGAGTTTCAGGCATATCTCCTTAATGACCTAACTTCTACTTTTTTCAAGCGAGATTTTTCTTCCTTCGATATCTTGATGATGATCTTTCATTCAATAATATGTTTATTGGCTGATTTTAAACTGTTTTCAAGATGTATCTTCTGCTCTCTCTCTACAATGAATTCAGTTTTTCTTCCTAAGTTGCTCTAATTTAACTTCCTTCTTGATTCTGATTTCGAGTTATCTGATGATTTTTTCATTCTAAAAATGATAATTTTTTACTATTTTCTCCTGTTTTGTTCGTTCATCTATGTCAGATATTTTATTACCCCTGATACTTCCATCGAATCATTCAAATTTATTTTTCGTTACAGCAATTCCAATATCTGTTTGCGTGAAAGTTTTGAACAGTGTAATTGTGGAATTGACAAATAAAACGAAACGAAATAGTGAGACAAGATGAAATAATTACAGTGATGACTAACATAAATTGAGAAATACTTCGGTATTATTTTAATATTGTGAAGTAGGATTAGAATTCGTCAACAGTATGAAAGCATCTACATTTAAAAACAGCCGGGGATCCCGAGTTTTCCATTTCATTCGGCAGACAGTTGAAAAAACGGCAGCCTGCATTGATTGGAGATTTTTTGTAATAGAAGTGTTCAGGATTGTTCAGTTTGATATTATTCTCATTTCTAGTTTTGTATGAATGTGAATCACTATAAATAGGAAATTAATGTTTGTTAATGAAAATGTATGTTGAAAGTTACATCAAATAAATTGATGTTATTGTATTGATCCGTTTTGATTTAAAGACCTGTCTACATGACGCGACTACTTATGTTAAAATGAGCCTTATGATTCGTTTTTGAGCATCAACAATTGTTATATCCGATGCCTGACCACATACTATGATGTATGAAAGTGTGGAATAAACAAATGCATAGTAAACCTGTTATAATGAATCTGTGTTCAAAATATTTCTTATAGTCTTGCCAAAATGTAAAAGCTTTTTTGATGTTTTTACAGACCATTTTTTTTTGCTATTACACAGGGTGCTGGACTCGAAAATTATAAAAAAATTTTTAAGGAATAATATAAAACACCTGAATTTTTCTCAATCGATCCTGGTATATGTTTTTCTTCATGAAATCGATTCTCGATGATACAATAACTTTGGTTGTAATCCTTCCATCCACATTTTCCATAGGCCACTGACAAAATTTAGATCATTTTTAATTATTCAAATGTCCTGTTCAATATTGTTGGAAAAACGTATGATATTTTACTCGGAGTGGGGAAATGAGCAGTTTTCTAAACATTTGAATGAAAATGGGAGTTTAGTAGAAAATTACGGAAAAGTTTTCTTTCTGCATGAAATACCTATGTTCAGCTATACGGAATGAATTTTACGCAGTATATTATCAACTCACTACTCATAGAATATTTTAAATAATCGTAAATGATGAAAAATACTGATGCAAAATTTCAATTCGAGCGAATATTTCGAAAATCGTATATTTCAGCTCGGTTGAAAATCATACTCTTTGTATTCAACAGTCAATTCGAGAAATTGAAATCGACCAAAATTTCATTGGAATGCATTTCACTTGGATTCAATCAGAAATAGAAAATCAGTTAGACACCGACGGGAATAGGAATCTGAATGAAAATTCCAGACATTTTCAGCAAAATGGAGCAACCAAACCGTGTTTTTCATTTACATTTCGCAAGATGTTCGCATTGGAAGTTTTCAAATCGACACCCTGTACAGGGTGGGCCAAATTGGACACTTTTGAAGAAAGATAGAAAAAAACTGATGTTGGTGCCTGTTGATCAATTCACATGACAAAGTCAATGGTGAGAACTGCATATCGGTATCTATCTTCGTTTCAGAGTAACAAGGTGTTTTTCGAAAATATGAATTTTCGAAAAGTGGCTGAAACTCATTTTCCTGTCGAAAGTTCTTCGTTTCCATGAAAACATTTTCAATCTCAAGAAGAATCGAATATAATGCATTCAAATTCGGTATATGGTTTCATGTTTCAATGGTTAATTTCTTGACCAGACAGATATTCCGAGAATTTTATCCATAGGTGCGCTACAGGGGGTTGTGATAACTTTTCCTCCCATATTTTCTACGCCACTGACGAAATTTCGATTATTTCCAATTTCTCGAATTGATTGTTCAAATATGTTGGAAGAATGCATCACCTTCAACAAAGCTGAAATGAACAAGTATATCGAGATATTCGACCCAAAATAGGAGTTTGCATAGTAATTTTTCATCTTCCTCAGTAGTGGAAAATCACAAAAATGTATGCGTGGAATAACTATTTCTGTTCAGCCACAGGATGAGATCTGAATAGTATCTAATCTACTGCAATTTTCTACTACCGAAAATGATGACACATTACTATGCAATCTTCTATTTTGGGTACATTATTTGAACAAAATTGAACAACAAATTCGAGGAATTGGGAATAATCGAAGTTCAATCAGTGGCGTAGAGAATATGGGAGGAAAAGTTACCACAACCCCCTGTAGGGCACCACTGGATAAAATGTCCGGAATGACTTTCTGGTCAACAAATGACCCATTCAAAGATGGAACCATACACCGAATTTGGATGCATTATATTCAATTATTTTTATTTCTTTACTCCAACGCCCTGTATCTCGAAATCTAAACACTTGGAGACCATATGTCCCTATCCCAGTGATTATGAAATCAGGAGGGCTATCACCTGTCAAGCGTTGTAGGTCGAATTTCGCAACACCCTGTATTTAAAGAAATACATTGAGAATTCGCATTCTCCATGTGATGAAAATATATAGTTGGAGAATAGGACTGTGAGTAACCAATTTGACCCACCCTGTACACATATATTTGATTTTTGCACTGTGAGGAATTGGGATAGCATTATATCATCAATTTTTGTTTCGTTGCTGATGATTAACGGATGGTTTTGTTAATGTGTTTTTTCAGAATCCGAAACTTTGCTCTTGACCCTGGAAAAAAATATGTTGTGTACGCTCATCAACATTGGCCTAATAGTTTCCTCATGTTCTCTACTTTCACTGATATTCTGGTATAGCGGCTTACAGTGACGTAGCTAAAGGGTCTGGGATACGTTGATAAGAATTTCTAATAGTGATTTCTGATGATTTTATTGATTGGGTGAACTTACAGTTGTATAGTTTGAATAGATTTCACAATGGAAATTGGGGCGAATAATGGAAAGGATGAAATTTTTTTCTTATGTTCTGGTTCCCACTAAAAGGGATATCCTGTAATGTTCAGAGAACATCGTGAGAACCAAGAGGAATAAGGTAGGAAATGGTGTTCTTCTTAAATTTCTGGAGGTTATATGCCTCGGGGAACACCTCCCTTGGCAATGTGTTCCAGAGCCTCGCTGTTCGTTGGATGAACGAGTCTTTGGAAAGAGATGCAAAACGGAATGAAAGAATACATTTTTGTCGAAAAAACATTTCATTGGAAGATATTGAGCATCAAAGTTTGCCTGAATTTCTTGTCAATCATCCATCAGAGGTTGATAGCACAAGCACCGGAAGTATCAATGGCTTTTGCTGGAAGATGGAGTTATGATGGGAGCGCCCATTTTCTGAAAAATCTTCAAACCATCGTTTATCTTGTCAGTATGTCATTTTATTCTTCGCCCCAATTTCGGAAACACCCTGTATCACAGAACTCGTGCCCTGTATAGAGAATACAATTTTGCCTAATAGAGAGTTGAAGTAATCACTGTACGTAGACCTCCACGTAGACGTTAACGTACGAAAAATAACGTTTACGTATTGTCGTAAAATTGAGTTGAAGTCGCCACTTTGGTCGTCACTGTCATCATAACGTAATAATACATTTTGTTTTCGGTTTGTATTGGTCATTTTTGGTTGTGTGTTTAGATTCGAACATTTATTCCTGTCAAAATTAGAGGACTCCTTGATGCAGAACTCGTTGGTGATCTCGAATTTGATAATTTTGACTCATCGGCATATTTCGAGTATAGTTTGGTTAACGTACGTTGATATTTGAGGTATACGTGAAGGAACGTGAGATAACGTACACCCGTTAGCCCACTAACAACGCATGCGTAGCTGTCAATTTCTACGTTTACGTTTTAACGTTCATGACAACACTTCAACTCTCTATTCTATTCGAAATGTTGCATCGACTACCATGATCTTTTTTCAATTATTATGGATTCATGTTGTTCTATGCTTTGTGATATTAGGTGTACCTACTAACATGATTTAGAAATAATTATCTATAACTTTGCCAGTGAATAATCGATGTTATAATTCCTTGTTACACCACTGATATCTATATAGTACTTTTTGCCAGATTTAGCGAATAAATAAAAGAACACTTTAAGAAACAACCAGACCATTTTAATTGTTATTGTTAACAACATTAGTACGATATGAGTGTTTACATATTGTTTGGAATATCGGCATTTTGTCTACGACCAGTAATAGCTCATCAATTCCGTAAGTTTAACTACTCGATATTTTTCAAATCCAGAACAACCTCAAAAATTTCTATATCATCCTCCATAACATCATTGCATACTGGAAAGTTTGGCAGATTTCATAGCAACGATATCCAGAGAAATGATATTATTTTATATTGCCTAGTGCATTGAGAAATTTTGGTTTTTTACTGCTTCCACCAAGTGTGGAAAAAGTTTTTTCCGCACCATTGCAAATGAATGAGTTTTGAATCACTAAAAATCAACAAACTCAGAAATTTTGACATTTTACTCAACGATCAATTAGACCTCAATAGTTCACCACTGTTGAATTTGTTTTCTTAGTAGGTAATAATAATTTTCTGCAACCGACACAAAAGTCGTCCATTTTGATACCAAAATTAGCTCTTAAATTGACGTTTCTACTACTGATACAAAAATAGGTATGTTGCTAGGCAACATATTTAGTTCCTAGGAGCTAAAATTGAACTTTTGTTCCTAGGAGCTGAAGTTGAACTTTAGCTCCTAGGAACTGAAAAGGAAGTACTGGACGTCATCAATTTGTTTCCGATTTCGGCAGATTTGGCATTTCATATACCCATGCTGGAGATATAAATACATCTCATTATAGTTGAGTATTGGAATTATGAACATCTCAGTTAAGTATTTTTGTCTTGATCAGGGAAGCCTTCAAGATTCAAATACTTGCTCTGGATCTGTATTTCATTCGTCATTCTCGGGATGGATATCTTGTTTTTGAATAATCACGGCAAGCAATAGTTTTTTGTCTCAAACAACGATATTGTTTACCTTCATTTGATCACTAAGCGAAAAACATTGTATTATGGAGAGGAATAAATAATCGCTATTATTATTGTTGATATGCTCACTAACCTAACATTTTCCACGTCTTGTTCCTACAGCTGGCACTGGCGCGGTATTTGCCATTAGAGCCCCTGGTCCATACACAAATATGTCACTCTGTGATTGTATTTATATTGAAACTACAATTCGAACATCCTTGGAGATTGAATGAACCTGCTGTTGATGCAGGTAGAATGTTCTCACTACACGGATTATTTGTCAATATTTGTTGCATTGCATACATATGGCACGGCATTGGTGGTAACTTCACATATCGTCGGCGAACTGACAATACCTGCTAAGTGCAATATAGTGCAGAGCAGGTTTCTTTACAGGAGATGAATAAAACATAATCGAGTAACAGGTCAAGTCGATAGCAGATATTGTTTTCCTTCAATGAAGTAAACAAAGGATTCATCTGGAGGTAGCAGTTCATTTCAGATTGTGCGCAATGAATATTGAAAGCTATAACTGCATGAAATACCAATATTTGAAAAAAATGTTACTTAGCAGGTATTGTCAGATCGGCGACGATATTCATTTGAGTTGATTGTTTCGGTTGCAGAAAAAATAGCATGTTTCATTCGGATCAAAAGTGACACTTTGTTTGACAAGCGAATTTTGCATTTGCAAGGCGGAGCGTTTAGCGAAGCCGAGCAAATGCAAACTTCACTTGTCAAACAAAGTATCACTTTTGATCCTAATAAAACAATCTACTATTATTTGCTATCATCCCTTTCAAGTTAATCCGGTATACCGTAATTTGATGTAGATATTGTGCCTAATTTCCGAAAATGGAGGTTGATCGATCCTGTCCACAGGTAATTGATCCTCCAAGTTGGGAAAGTAGGATATATAAAAGTTAAGCAAGCCAACGTTGGTTTAGTTCATTGTACCAGTATATCACCTGACGAAGCTACTGTGTTAGCGAAACATGTTGTGTGCATAAGAATTTTGTGGAAATCTTATCGTTTGTGAATTTTTTACATTTGCCATGGATTTCTCAGAACTAAAAGGATTGAAGTGTTTTTCTAGTGGTGAGAAAATGTTAATATTCACCTTGGTAGTGAAGAATATTATTATCACGGGACCTTATGCCCCTCGGCTAAATCTTCGGGATATAATCTTGGTCCTGGGTTAACCTGATATTCTTTACTACCACGGTGTATTAACTATTTTGAATTTGATTTATTCCAATTCATTTTGGTGTTGACAGCACACTGAATAATTATTCGCAGTCTTAGGTGAATCACCCTGTATGTATTTATATCTCACTAGTATGTAATCTTAGCTAGACCCTTGGAATATGGAAAAATGATGTTCCTAGAAGAAATACGATGAGTAATTATCAATAATTAGTCTCAATAATAAAAAACCTTATTGATGTAATGAATAGTTTTTCATTTTCAAATACTGTGTAGGTAATTCAAAAGGTGCGGAACACTACTTTATTTCGGATTTTCTCTCCTCTTTTAAAATGAAAGTATGAATATCATTTCGATATCATGGCTTGTTGTAAGGACACATGATGGTGTAGCCCAAAATGTCACTGCGTTTGAAAATAATACTATTAGAGAGCCTAAGAGAAAATTTCAATCGATATAGCCAGTGACACTTTGCTTCGAGAAAAAAAAATAGATATATATATCAAAAATCTGGTTGGTTAGTGGTGAAATACTGTAGTGTGACGTTCTATCTATTTCAAATAAACAGGAAGTACTGTTATTGTCAGAAGAATGCAAGCGGATTCTTCGATTTTCCTTTTCTTATCTTCTTTCCCTCTTCAACCATTTTTTTTTAAACGATGTGTCACTGACACTCCATTTCATTTTTCTTTAAGGTTCTCTTTTAGTGTAGTTCCAGCTGAAATATCCTGACATATATTTTTATTTATCAAAACGAGGAGAGGAAATTTATTCAGACAATCTTGAGTTATGAGTATTTCCATTTTATCTACACAATGAATTCTATAAATTTGAAGGCTCTTGAATAAGTTCCCGAAGAGCAACTCAACTATAGATAACGAATTGTGGAGGAAATTTATGTTTTCATGTACTATTTTCCAGCTGAGAACTTTCTGAGATGCAATCTGAAGGATACTAATTTGGACCAATGCTTGGTTAGAGCAATCGAAAATGCTTTGCATATAATCGGCAATACTGGTAAGAAACAATCCCAATAAGGGTGTTCCAATCAAATCGAATACTAACTGCTTTTGGGTGTATGATAAATTGACATTCATCATACAGGGCGTGGAAAGAAATTCTGAATTGAGACTCTATCACGAATCTGCGATTAGACGTCTATAAAAATCACAAGTTTCCATCGTTCAAGTTTGAACCCCCTGATTGGGTATGAAAGTGTTGAAATCAGTTTTTTTTTGCCCTCCGATTACTATTTCGAGGCGGGAATCTTTCAATATCAATAAGAATCACTCCTTCAATATTTTCAAGGGCAAAAATCTATCGAGTGATACATCATCAGAGATCCATAGTTATGCAGCCTTCTCCCTACACTATCAAAAGTATTCGAAAAAATTTTAAATTCACAAATTAAAAAGCATCTTAGTAGGTATAACTTGCTGCCTGAAAATCAATCTGGCTTTAGATCTTCACATAGCTGTTCCACAGCACTGCTAGCAGTAACCGATGATATTTTGTCAGCAACTGATAAAAATAAGTTAACTACACTAGTTTTGCTAGATTATACTAAAGCGTTCGACAGGATCAATCATCGCTTACTGCTGGCAACGCTTCATAACTTTGGCTTTGGTAAGAACTCTCTTGGACTTATGAAAAGTTATATTGTGGGGAGGAGCCAGTATGTTAGCCACAAACTCAATAGGTCACCAGTACTGCCAATCCCCAATGGTGTCCCGCAAGGCTCAATACTAGGTCCACTGTTATTTTCTATATATATCTCGTCCTTCTCAAAGTGTATACACCATTTTTATGCTGACGATACCCAAGTATATATTTCTTACAAGAAATCAGAAGTTGAAATGGCTAATAGGATGCTGAATGCGGATTTGGATAATCTTTTTACACTATCAGAAAAATACTGTTTATCACTCAACCCCTCCAAATCACAGATAATGTTATTCGGAAGCAAACCAGCTAAATTGAGGTGTGTAAATCTTGTGGATATTCAAATTAATGGCATTTCATTGGTTCCAGTGAATACAGCAAAAAATTTGGGTGTATATTTTGATTCGGACATGAGATTTTCAAAGCAAGTGAATCACATGATTAAAAATGCGTTTTACAAACTCAAGCTTCTTTTCAACAATCGCAGCATTTTCGATAAAAATACAAAAGTTACTTTATGCGAAACCCTGGTACTCTCTCATCTTAATTATGCAGATACCGTGTATGGGCCTTGCCTGACTGACGAAAATCGCAGAAGATTACAAACTGTTCAGAACAGATGCGTCCGTTTCATATATAACATTAGAAAAAGACATTCGGTGTCTGGTAAACTTTTGGAGTTGAAATGGCTAAATATTACAAATAGAAGGTTTCTACACTTGGCATGTTTATTTCACAAAATTATCAAAAACCGAGAACCAATATACCTAGCACGCAGGATATCTTTCAGGAAATATATACACAATGTCAATGTAAGAAGGAAGAATATCCTCACAATTCCACATCACTCCAGTTCCATGTTCCAACGATCTTATTCTTACACGATTTGCAAATTGATTAATGGCTTACCCTCTCATCTTATGGAATTGAATTTCAAGAATTTCAAGGAAAATTTACTGTTACTCAATAATAATATTATACCGAATTTCAATGTCTAAACTTGGTACCTTTCGATTTCTCTCTCAGAATTATATTTATGTTTCACTTATATTTTAATATTTGTATATATTTGGTTGCAATCAGGACTGATTATTTTAGGTACCTACTGCTCGTTTGCTTCGGAATTGAAATATTTTTCAATATCATATCCATGTTTGTATTAGTTTATAGTTAACAGTTCTTGGTGCCAATAGAACATATTAGTATTATTAGAATATACTTATTAGGTAATCATCTTATTTACGTTCTAACTGTGCACCTCTTCGAGGGTTATAGGGAAGATTGGGATCAATGTACATTTATGTACATTGAAACTAACTATAGCCTTTTTCAGTCTCAGTAATTAATATATTTATTATGTTATGTTGGAAATGAAATGCATATTACTGTAGTTTATTGTATATTATTGCTGAATCACTGAATAAATGACTAAATAAAATAAAATAAATAAATAAAATGTAGGTGTACTTAGATTCAAATAAAATTGAAAATGTCTGGTATACCAACTTTCTTGGACTCCACATCAACAATAAATTGAAATTCAGCGAGCATGTAGATTTAAAATTGTTGACCACCATCCCTTATCTACTCGTTTATATTCCAAGATTTTTTTGGAGATCAAGAATTTGATTTCTCATCTGTTTTTCTCAGTTAATCTGTTCAATAACTTATCGCTCGACAATTATTATTGGGTTCGGACATAGGATATGCATGATATTGTAGCAGAATGCTTATTATGTATTATATACACTATGAGCTCAAGGCCGCCCGACGTTGGGCGCCAAGTTGTAAAGTATTTTTCATCCTGATAATTCTTCACTCAAAATGAAAAGATGAATCAGGATCACTTGGAACATACCTGTACCAATTTTTATCTTCATTAAATACAGGGTGTTCGAAAAATCAAATTAATATTTTTTTTCAGTTGAAAAAATATTGCCTACTTTTTCTTTTTAATTGTTTTCTCATACACATCGTATTTTTGAACGATGAAAATCGGTACAAATATGTTCATAGTGATCCTCAATAATAATGTGTCATCAATTCTTCTCAAAAATACCATAATACTATACATTTTCTGATCACCTATTGAAAAAAAACATAATTCGTTCTTTCGGACACCCTGTGTTTCATGATGATAAAAATCAGTAAAGGTGTTTTTCAAGTCATCGTGATTCAGAATCCATCATTGTTTCTTGTGAAAAAAATCCCTAATAGTACTTTCTCAAATATAGGTCAATAAAGTTGGTCGCAGTTGGCCACGATTACAGTTCATGAGTGAACTCACTCTCTTGTTGGATGGACATTTCAAATACCTATCCAACAAAAAAAAGTTTTTTGAAATCGGTCAGATGATCACAATTTTACAGGGGTGGTAAGTCCTTAAGGTGGACACACTGAATATACCATTTTTCAATCGAAAAAAATGAATATGGTGGTCGAAAAATGAAATTCGACAGGTGTCCGAGAGTTTCCCAAAAAAACAATACCCTCAATTTCAACTCAATTTGTCCTCACGCTAGGTCTCAACTTTGAGACACCTCTTCATGATGAGGGTGAAAATTTGTGGTTAAGGATAATCGAATATGTACATAAGTATTCATTATGTGTGGAATAAATTGATACCATTATAAACGGTAATTGAAAATGATTAACCTATATAAGTGTGCTTCTCTAATACTCTTTTTCCCATGATCGAGTTTAATGGGGTTGGCATCAAAAATCAATCATTTGAGAATTGGTTCCGACATTACCTTCCTACTGAGTGTATGTATGTATTTATTTTGGTCGAATGAGAGAAATCTATATTTTGTTTTGAGAACTAGTGGCCTAATCAACTAGTGCATGAGTTAGTGTTCGAGATCATTGATCGCCTTTATGATATACGAGTTGGATAGGTTCACATTTTCACCGTCGACTTTTCTCTCTAAGTAGCCCTGAAAGTCACGAGCGTCTCGGAATAGGACCGTAACATGGGTGTCGGCTTCATTCTGTTCGGACCTGATTGCAGTAAATGAGGAGGGATAATATCATTTTAAATGTAGCCGATGGTGATCCATTTTTTCAATTATATATAGGATGGATAGAGTTCTATTTGAGAAATGTAAATTCATAAATAATAAAACTACTACATTCATGTCAGAATAAAGCCAACTACGACCCGCTGTATTTCAACTCCGAGACGCCGATTGAAAACGAACTGACACAAATGATATTCGACAGTTGTCGTGGGTAATATCCCGAGACCATGACAAATAGCCGACTATTATTTTCTTCATAATTCTATCGAGAGTACCTTGTATTATGACGATTTGATGTGACCATATGAATATTAATAATCTGAATAAATCCCGAGAGATTGTGAATGTTCTCGTAAGAAATATAAGAGGAAAAAACTAGTTGGAATAGACTTCTTATTGACGCCCCTGAGATTTCAACATTTTATTCAAGTTAAATTTCACAATTCTACAGATACTATTAGAATAACAATTCTTCTTAAGGCAGTCTGGGGTATTCTCATCATATCTACGTACAATTGCAATCAATGTTCAATTCATCTGAAGTTATAGCAAAGAAAGAATATTAACGCTATTGATAGCGTTAATATTCTTTGAGTAGAGCTTCTGTACGTTCCTTTCTTGTTTGAGGAAAATATTGTAGGCTTCGCCTTTTTGCATTGTATGTATGTATGTATGTGTGTGTGGGCGGTCCGGGACCTGACGCACTTAGGCCTCCCTTTTCGGGCCCATTGTGCACCCACATTCCTGGGATCGCAAGTCAGCCATGGAGAAGGCCGATCTCGCGAGCAAAAGAGACCAACTTCCTAGGCCAAATCTTTTTAACATCCTCTGGGTCCAGGATACTGCTCCCAAAATGGATATCCCTTGCTGCCACTATTGCCGGGCATTCAGTGAGGATGTGAGTAGAAGTCTCTTCATCCTCTAGGCACCATCTGCATTCTGGATCCTCCACAATCCCGATCATGCTGAGATGTTTGTTCAGGTGGCAGTGCCCTGTCAGCAGGCCCACCACCAGTTTCAGCTCCTTCCTGTTCAAAGCCAAGAGGGCATTGGTCTGTCTTCGTGACGGGTTTCCTATATGGAGTTTGGACTGCCTCATTCGAGGAGCCTTTCTCCAGCTGTCCTGAACCTTTTCCGTCAGGATTTCCTTCATCTTGGAGTTGCTCCAGGATCGAGTGACCCCTAAGATTGGCTCTGGGCCAATCACTGAACCTTTCGCCCCCTTTCTGGCCAGACCATCGGCCATTTCGTTACCTGGTACCCCTGAGTGTCCAGGGACCCACAAAAGACATACCTTATTCGTTGCTGACAGCCTTTGTAGGCTATCTATGCACTCTGACACCAAGGCGGGTCACCCTATACGAGGTGAGCGCCTTGATCGCCGCCTGGCTGTCAGTGCATTATGCGCAACCCTGGAACCTTTGAATTCAATATATTCAAATGGATTCGTCTTACGTTCATGTTCATTGAAGTAAACTTCCTATACATATATAGTTTTCCATATCAATTTCAACTGTGTATTCCTAAAAATCCTCACCATTCTCCTCACCCAATCTTTCAGGATTTGGGCAATCACGAGAGTTGGGGTAGTCACACAAAATTCATAGTTTTTCTGCTGGCAAAAAAACATGAATTGTTCCAGACAGACTCTTTACTCTCCTTGATATTTTCGGATATCAATTCGCTTACATGATTATGGATTTCCGTAGTGGAAGTTGACCCCAATTTCTGAGTGACTGATAGGTATGAAAGTTTGACAACCATAGCACTCTTATGCTGGCGAACAGAATAGCCGCTTGAAAACATATTCCGTTTCAGAAACATTTAAAGGCCAACAAAGGAGTTACATACATACGCATACATACAGGTGAAGCTACTAAAAAAGTGTTAAAAAAAGGAAGCGTGCTAAGATGATAGAGTAAGAGTTTGACAAAAAAACAGCCAATGTTTGCAAAAACCACAAGTCTCTATCTCTATGTTCCGTATGGAAATCGAAAATGGGACAGCATCATTTAAACTTGTTAATTCGAAGTCTTCGGGAATAATTAAAACAATATTCCTTCATCCTTTTCGCAGGTATTCCTTCCCTGAATCTGCCTTCAATCGATCCGATAGGAGTATCAAACATACAAATTGGAGCTGATGGTAGTAGTGCTGTCAACATAGTACAGCAATACAAGAATATCTCCATTTTCGGACTTTCTGATGTCAAAGTAGAGAAAGCACAGTAAGCAAATTCCATTTCACTTCACTCCTACCTAACAGTACCTTGTCAAACAACTAATACTATAATTTGTTGATGTTATCTACTGAAATGGAGCAGCATAACTTTTAACATCAGTTTCAATGAATATGAAGTTAAAGAAAACAAAAACACTTTCGAAGGAAAAACCATAACAAGCACTTATTTTTTGAATGATAGTTAACGAAGCTTTTGGAATATATTATACCATAGTACGCGGGATTAAGGTGATAATACACATTTCGATTTTAAAAAATTCTTGTTCTGCTTTTCTATCAGTGATAACAAATGATCTTCTCATTTTTTTTTCAGCTATGATCAACATAAAAAAATCTTGAATTTCACTGCAGAGCATCCAGTACTAAGTCAAGAAGCTAAATATAACATCACAGGAAAAGTTCTAATATTATCCGTATATGGCAATGGAGATTCGATCATAACTCTGAGTGAGTGGCAAAAATTCTGAAAGTGGTAAATATAGAGTGATTAGGTTTTTCAGGACCTTTCTGAGAATTATTGTACATACATACTCCAGCTTGTTGCTTTAATTACGCTCATGAAATTGTTCTAAAACTTCTCGCCTACGACTCGAAAGTTTGATAACCAATGTCATTCGGCGAAATTATTAGGCAACTGAATGAATTTCTCAGATACCATGTGAATATAAGGTAGAGCATTCAATTCTGTACGAAGAACGTGGTAAAACCTAATTTGCCGGAAAATGGGTTTCGAAAAACTTAGTCGTTTTGTATTACGCTTATTCTATACAGGGTGATCCACGGTGGATGGCATATTAGAAGTATCTGGAGAACGAAGAAACAGAATATTCTGAAGATTGAGATGCTCTGATAATTGAACATTTTCTATCAGTCTGAAATATTTTCAACTTTGTTATTTCAAATTAAACACTCTGTATTTTATTGCATTTTTAGATTCTTCCTGCAGAGCTGATTTCATGAATGTATCACACTTGGAGTCTAGCAAGAATGATTACAGAGATATAGGGTGTTCAAAATCGAGAATTTTCAATTTCAGGAATTTTTTGTGTCGAAACTATTCATCATCGATCGGAACGGCTTACATGTCCCTATCTGGACTATTGATTCAGAATTCGGATCACCCTGTATCTGCTCCAATTAAATGTCAGTAGATAGTGAATGAAGCGTATCGATATCGATATCTTGTACCATTCTAGAGAAAATCACATTTTGAGAATATACATCTCAACCGTTTCAAAGCTGATGAAAACTTTATTCATTTAGTAACATTATGGTAGCAGCAGTCATTGTCAAAATTGACATTTCACCACCCAACCATATTCATCCCCAAATGAAGAGAATTGTTTTTCAAAAGTACAACAAGCAATTTATTCAATCATGAAAACATAAAAATGTGCCAAAAGGGCGGAACAGCAAAGAACAAACATGAAACGAGCAAACAACAGAAACAAGATGATGGTTCTTGGTACTTACATTATGTTATGGGCAGCAGCACCAAAGTCGAATTGATGCCACACCCCCAAAGTGGCAAAGTGCCACTTTGGGAGTCAGTAATCAATGAGTGTTATGTACTGATTTTAATATAATAGTTCTTAGTGAAGAATCGAATAACAAAGGAAATAATAATGACCATCCTTATCGATTCGGGTTCTTTTTATATTTGGAATCGATGCTCGATTCGCAATTTTCCGCATTGCGAATGGTCGTTACCTTTCGATACTGCTTACCTGGGTATTATATTATCGCGGGGTAAGCGGTTTCTTTGCAAAATATAAACGAAATGACGTCTATGAAACTACACTGTACTGAATGTTTTGAATTGGAAAAGATAATCAATGATGAAAGATCTTGCAATGAACGAGAGTTTGAGTGATGTTAATTCATAGGCATTTGTATAAGTATTTATAACTACCTATTTACATGATATACAAAACAATAATCAAATCATATAATGAGTCAAGTCAAACAAAGTACCTAAGTGATGAAAGCAATAAAAAATATAAAATGGTGTAAGAATCGTACCTACATCAATGATAAAAAAAACGTTTCATAGAAAAAATTAAGTTGAGAGAGGAAATATACAAATGAAAAGAACTTGTGATAACTGTCCATTAGATAAGTCCCTAATGGGCCTTTCCAGTCATTTCCAGAAAAAATATTTCTTGAAATATATTGCTCTGGAATAAAAGTTATTTATTATACAAGGGAAAAAAGTAGTAGATTTTAGCTCCAGGTTGTGTTGTCTCCCGACGCGTAGCGGAGGGAGACAAAAAACCGTGAGCTAAAATCTAATATTTTTCCCGTGTATAATACACTATTTTTTTCTGTGACAAAAGAAAGGACGAATCAATATTGAGAAGATATTACATTATTTCGAAATGTGAAAATTATCGACGTGAAATTTCAAGTTTTTAACAGTAGGGACACCTGCGTTTTATAGACATCTTTATCATTCTTTTGAAGTAATCAAATATCTGATGTCACTTCTGTCAGTTCAATTCTGCGATTTGATTTTATAAAATTGCGTATTCAGTAGTTGTTCAGTAATATACGAAACCGCGAAGTCGAATGGAAGATAAAAGGACTTGCAGTTCTTTCTCGGAGACGGTATTATTGACTCATTTTTCGGAACTATAGCACAACAAAAGCCATTAACAGAGTATATATATGTGATATATATCCGGGAAAAAAGTACTCACTTTTTTCCCACGGGAAAAAAGTAATTTATGAAAAGTGACATTTTATAACCTGCCAACAGAGATGAAATGCCAAACTTTTTTCCCGTCACAGAAAAAAATAATTTTTTTAGTTTTTTTTCCTCCAATTTATCAAAATAAAGAATGATTGGAAACACCAAATTCAACGAGCGAATTCAAACGATCAGACATGGCCGCGGAATGTGTGACGTCAGTCCGCGAGCTATTTGGATTGGTAATTCCCAGCATTCTTGTGGGTGCTAATAAAATGCACGATGGAATTGACAATTTGGACAGATATCTGTGATTAGTCGGATATTCATTCCCAGATTTTTCTATTTTAGCAAATAATACACTAATACATATGCTGTTAGATAACCCAACTAATAACTATTCACCTGAAAATTCGTGGAATTGAACATCTGTATTGCATAATTACTTAGTTAGCTAATTTCTGTTGGAGAATTATTCAAAATTGAGTGTGAAATTTCGTTTTTTATTGAATCACATTGCAGATATTCATGACATTCAGTTTCAAAACCCTTCCAGGGAAGAACTTTCAAGTTTAGCTACTCACCTGTTATGTAACTCAGTACCTAACTATACCTATCTACCATAGGGAAGAAATTGTGAATCAATCAACAGTTAATTGTTTAAAATGGTTCTATTTCTAGAAGAAATAGCCATAAAAGTACCAAAGTCAATTGGACCACTTTGAGAAATATGGACGGTTTCCACGATTTGGTTTTATTTTTTTTGATTTTAGTATAAGCATCACTGATGCCTTCTTGTCAATAATATTGAGAAATAAGAACAGTGCAGTCATGCGGGAATGAGCTATTTTTAACTTGGCAACATTGTGTTAGCGCCAGTTGCTTCATCTCTTCCTCTTGTAGACATAGTTGCCAGATTAGCAATAACAGTTGAAAATGTTGAATGTGAAAAACTCATTACCAATTCAGTAGTGCATCGTGTTCTGTTTTCAGAGAAGCCAAGAATCACCCACGTAGCCTACTTCAAGGAGTATACCAAGGGGGACAAAAGATATTTCCGAGTGGAAGACTATTCGGCCACATACACGATCCAGGGTGCCCACTTTGTATTCGAAAACATGTTCAATGGTGCAGAAAAAACGCTTTCCGGTATCGTTTCGAAGTTGATCAATGAAAACTGGCAACTGATTGCTGAAGAAGTCAGAGGTGGAGTTCAGAAAGCTTATGGGCAACTTTGTATGGCTACAGCTAATAGAATTTTCGAGACCGTTCCTATCGATGAAATATTTCTTGGATGGTGAATGCTTAGGTCGTTCATTTTTGGGGTTGTGATGCTGGGCGCATTTTTGTATCGAGCACGCAGTACACCAAATCGCGTTATTCGAGCTTCATTTCGAAACGAGCATCCGATATCCCGATCAGAAAATTACTAGAGAGAATAGAGGAGGCTATTTTTACTAAACAATCCAACCTAACACGACTCAAATCCATTAACCATTCTAGAACACGTGATTTTGACTAGAGTCCCTGTATATACCTTAGACAAGAGTCCGGACACAGCTATACTTTTGTCCTTATCTGTTTTCAAAAAATGCATTATTGATTGAATACAGGAATAAGACATATATATCGAGCTCTGTCTTTTCAATTCCCCCAGTATCAATGATTGTCAGAAACAATTTTGAGGGTTAAATTATTTGTCAAACCGTTCATAGCCGTAGGTGGGGCTATTTTAACTAGAATAACTATTAGATTTTCAAATCATGAACAACATGAAAACTAGGACGTGGGTGGCATTTTCACCAGAATTTTCTGACGTTTCAAAACTAAAAGTTTGGGAAGTTTGTCAAAGCAAAGGCAAGCAGTCTCTCTCAATGTCCGAGTAATTCTCTATTTTCATTTTCAAGCTAGTAATGGAGAGATTCTACCAATATTCCTGGATTGAAAGCAATGTGTTCTATTTTCCTCGATAGTGTTCTGATTGTAGGAAATGGAAATTATAATTTCAACAGGTGTTCATATCCAGTGGTACCACAAGAAAATTTGATAGCAAGTGCTTTATTAATTGTGTCGGTTCCCACCTCTTTCTGCAGTCTACATACGCCTGTAAATTTTGAATTTGATCTGAATTAGAAACACCGTGGACTGATGACATAGGACATTGCAATTTCTCTAAATCTTCTAGTTTTTTGATTTCGAACTTTCAATTTCTTACCGCATCATCTCATTCTCATTTTCTTTCTCTGCGATCGTATCATTCAGTAATTCCCAATACGATGACGACTGAACTCTTTTTTTGAATGTCTCTATCTTATAAATTGACGGCACAGCAGACTCTTTCAATTTGAAATCCATCAGCTTGAAAGAATCTCTATCAAAATCGGCCAGAAAATAAATCTTTTTTGTACTGTTTTTACAAGTAAATTTGAATATATACCTCACATATTGCGGATTTCTTGAAATTAATTTTCCATTCTGGACATTCCATTGCATTCTTCCATGACATTATCTTTAAAGGATCATTCGGAAAATTGAATAACTTGAATCCCCTTTCTAATGAATTATCGCAATAATGTACGCAGCAAAACATTGAAATGATTTGAAATGTTAAATTTTGGCGGTCATAAAATTCCAAAGTGACAGTGACAAGAAATCGAAATAATTAAAAAAAGCGGGCGGGACGACTATGGTGTTTTGTCACATTGTCAGGTGTGCAAACCAAATGAAACAAAATATTAAAAACCTCAACGGCTGTCAGTTTTGTGTCTAAGGCATATACGTATTAATAATCAATACCTCTATCTGTTTCCATAGCGAAACATGAAGCCGATTTTTGAAGACAAATGACTATCCATAAGGAAAAGTTTTGAAACGATCAGACACATACTGCTTTGATTGAAAGGCTAGTAAACGTCATTGTCCACCGAAACGCATGTCTTTGATGACTACTATAATAGCGCATGGCGCATGCGTATCATGCCACCAAATCCTTATGATTATTCATTTGTTTCATATTTTTGGCTTCATCCTGGCACCCGTTATGATCCGTATTGTTCATTAATACGTATATGGTCTAAGGTATATACAGGGACTCTAATTTTGACATGGTTTCTTGAGGAGCACACAAACTATTTGTTAGGTTACCTGCCACATCCACAATATGATAACAGTTTCACCAAACAAAATTATGAAATTCGATCCCACGAATTCTGGTTTTATATGACGAATCTTGACAAAATACAATGTTTGCCCCTCAGCAACCTGTCAAATGACGTAATTCTGGAATGATTAATGGACGAAAGGTAAAGATCCTGTCCTTGTCGCCACAATTGGAATCGTGTCGCCCGACGCCAGTAAACACTACAAATAAATGTCAGATGGACTTCAAAAAGTGAAAAAAATTTCTCGTTTTGATCTCGTTTTCTCCATTTCTTTATTCGCGAAATATTCCATTAAATTACATGTGTGCGTGAAAATGACCAGATTTTTTTGCATTCAAGAGTGTTATCTTATACCAGAGCTTATACAAATTGCCTTCGGATATTTCCAAATTTCGTAAAAGAGCCCTCCTCCTTCAAACTCGGCATCTTTCGCCAAAATATGAAAATAAACTCTCGCAATTATTAGATATCTTGCTTTGTCAGAAAATGAGCGGTAATATTTAAGCACTTGTGCAATTGTAACCAAAAATTACTTGGTACAACATAATACGGTAACTTGGCACTTATCATGCAATGTTTTTTTTGCAAACATTTTCACTGTTACCTACGTATTTTTCCTCAGAACACGAATTTAATAATCAAAATATGAACAAACCACTATTTATCAAGATATTTCACGAATAAGTTCAAAATTTCACCTTCTTTTTCGCCTATTTTTTATTCGCATTTACAGCTACTTGCTCTTCTTATTTTGTCATTGGACACTTCAAATACTCATGATGTCCTTCAATGACACACACATTTTATAAAGGAAAATCAACAAGAAATATGATTTTTTGGCGAGTTTTTCATATTCACCGAAGTAGCATCATACTATCATACCAGCTAACAGCCATTTAATTCCAGATGTCAAATGAAGGTCAAATTTCAACATATTTTTCAAGAACATAAACTCTTAGACGAATTGCTATTATGAGACGTTACATAGATTATCTTGAATGATACTCCATCTTCATTTATTTTTTCCATATGAAAAGTTGAAACTAGTTGTGTGATATGAATTTTCAGAAAGAATTGAAGTTTTCCAATTTACCTACCCACGGTGAAAGTGCATTCTTGCTTATTTGACATGTCTTTGATAATTGAATGGCAGAATAGCCGTCACCTGGTATTATGTCTTATTGTTCACTAAATATGTTTAAAAAAATTGCAAGAAACTCATATTTCTAGTCGATTTTCATATTAAAAATGTGTTATTGAAGTACATCGTGATAAATTAATTGTCCAATTATGAAAAAAAACGAGCAAATAGTTTTAAATGAGTGTCTGAGACAGGCGGAAAAAGAAGATGGGAATTAAAACTTGCTTGTGAAATATCTCGATAAATAGTGGTTTGTGGTGGTTTTTAAGTCAAAAAGACATAGATAACAAAGAAGTTCGAAAAAAAACCCATCGCATGATGAGTGCAAAATCACCCCAAATACAAAATTAAAAAAAAATTGGCATGGCAGTCAAAACTAGATCGGCGTGACAAGCGCTTACTTGAAAGAGGAGAATTGCAGAAAATACTTGGTCAAGCGTTGTCGTACTATACCGAGCGCTCGATACATACCGAGATCGGGCGTTCCCATGGCGTTCCGAATTCGGATTCCTGGGTGTTCGATACAAAATTGCATCCTGCATGCTTCACCTTATAAGTTTGGAATGCTTTTTCTATTATTTGTGAATAAATAAATGTGCCTATCATTCATTGTGAAATTATTATTGTATTCTTTACTATTTCAGCATTCTCTTCGGAAGAAACATTCTCTTTCACCTTATTTATTTTCTGAATTTTTTGGATCCTATCTCCTCTTCTCTATAAATGATCCATGGAACAATCATATGATTTGTGTATTGAAACAATGGTAAATTTCTGATATTTTGGCACGTTTCGAAAACGAATTTACCCTTACTTTCAACAGAACATAAATTGAAAGTAAAAAAAAAACATAAAAGAAGCTTTTATTTGAACGATATAAGAAGAATGCGATAGTGACATTTTCTGTTTAAATTTTAACTATCAACTCATAACCTCATTATTCACAATCGATATGATCATGAAAGCTTGTAGCGATAATCGATATTTAATTAAATTAAAATTTAAATGTAAACTCAGAAGAATTTACATAAATTTCTAGTTAGCATCTTCAGACGAAGATTAAAACTGGATGTTCTATCCTAGTGTGTAGTGGTGCCCGCGAGAGTCTCGTTTTCGAGAATCACGCATGGTGTTGTCTCGTTTTCGAGACAAGACTCGAGACGAGACTCGGACAAGACGAGACGAGACTTTTATTGGTCTCGTCTCGTGTCTCGTGCGAGAGTCTCGCAGGTAAATATTTCTTCGTGTCGACTGCAGAATTGAGAATATCATTCATAATACAACATATTTAGGAATAATTCAGAGCATTTAGCACAGATAGACAAAACATTTCATTCCTAAATACATTAAAAACACAATCCATGATTGTTGTAATATCACAAGGAATCACACCGTATAGGAATTTTCTATTTGATTATTATTAGGTACCTATACCGACACAACCAATATAGGCAACAAAGCATCAACTTACAATATTATCAATACTAGTTATCCAATTATATAATATACAAATTCGACATATTATGAAAACACCAGGTACGCTATTCAATAATAATTATTCAATCAAGATTTCCAGATGCAGGAAATTGTATAGCGACATCTATTGATTATTGGACTTTGAGCCTCAATTCAAGTACATAAGAGGGCACTATAAATCACTCATTTTCTAGTAATTACTGCACATTACTTGCTGACAACGCGAAATCAAGATGAGTGTTTACCTCTCGTTTGGAATATTGGTACTTATTGTTGGAGTTGGACATGGATATCAATTTCGTGAGTTATTAAGTAACTGTTAGTTTATATTTCTTGTCTTGGATGAAATGTAAACCTCAAAATGATCTTTCTCAAATGCATTTTTGTTGAATTTGATACAAATATTGATCTAAGAATGAATTGACAATAAATATAATTTTGGGAAAATTATATAATTTTGGGGAGAATCTGAGAGTGAATCTCCCACTCCTCAGATTATTTTCGAAACAGTCTGTTTAAACCAAAAAACGCGATTTAACTCATTTATTTCATCATCGTAGTTAGTATATATTATGTACTTCGTGTGTAATGAATTGATAATACTATTGTGGTAATCGTTGAAGTTCAGTTTTATTTTCTGGCCTCTTGAGACTCTGAATTATCTTTACTTTGTCTGGATCTGGTTCCAATCCGTTTCCGCTCAATATATGACCTAGGAACTTTATTCTTCGAACATTGAAGATACATTTGTCGGCGTTCAACTTCAGACCAGCCTCTCTCAGGATATTAACCACTTTAGATGTTATTTTATTCAATTTTTCTTCACTCTCAGCGTAAATGAGTATATCGTCAATAGAACACTCTGTGTTTTCAACATTACCCAATAATTTACTCATCGACTGCTGAAACACTTCAGGAGCTGAAGCTAAACCAAATGGCAATCTCATGCAGCAATACCTTCCCCAAGGTGTTGAAAAAGTGAGGAACTTTTCTGTTCTCTTACTGACTTTTATTTGCCAGAATCCTCTCTTACAATCCAGTAACGTGAACCAGCTGCAGTTATTTACCTTGGCAACTATCTCCTCAATTGTCTTCAGTGGGTAATGTCTTCTGAGTATGTTTCTATTGACGTCGGTTGGATCTATACATATTCTTATTTTCTTGTCTTTTTTCACAATTACCATAGGACTTACTACCGGGGTAGGTTCTTCAATAGGTCTGATTACTTCCATATCAACCATTTTATCTAACTCTTGCTTCACATCATGGCGAATGGAATGTGGAATTCTTCTGGGTGGTTTGATGTCAAATTTTGGATTTTTTACTAGATCTATGTCATATTCGAAATCCTTCATGCAACCGAGCCCTTTGAATAATTCATCATCCTTAGTAATATTAACTTCAGATACTCGATTGATTAATCCTAGTTCTTCACAAGATTGTCTGCCAAGAATTGGTGAAACATTTTCTGCAACTACTTTGAAACATATGCTCGTTTTTTTGTTTCCAATTTCACAGAGTGGTGTTACTTCACCAATAACATTGATGCTGTGCTCTGTGAAACTCACCAACCTTTTCGTAGATGATTGTATTGAAGGAACCCCCAATTGATCTGCTATTCTTTTGGGAATAACATTGCATTGAGCTCCTGTATCTAACTTCACCTCGAATTTTCGATTCTTGACCTTTACGATTTCAGACCAACTGTCTCTTGACTTTTCAGTTTGTAGTGTATGAATGAATAGGACTTCTTCATTATCGCTGTGCTCTTCATCAACTACCGTGCGCACATTCTTCTTTGATGAATTATCTTGCTCTTTTTCTTTTTTCTTCAACCAACACATTTTCGAGAAATGTCCTCTTCTATGGCAAAATTCGCATTTTTCTCTGAATGCTGGACAGCTTTGTCGTTTATGCCTGGTCCCACATCGTTTGCAGTTGAATTCTTCATTTTGTGAGGACTTTACAACATCGACTTGCTTCATGTCTTCTTTTTTAATTTCGTGTAGCTGTTGAGAAGCTTGCTCACTCGTTCGACAAATTGTAATTGACTTTTCCAGAGTGAGTTCTCTTTCAGTCAAAAGCTTTTCTCTTATTGCATCCGACCTCACTCCGAATATGATTTTGTCATTCAAGAGACTGTCGTGAAGATTTTCAAATTCACAAGTTTTCGCAAGCGTCATGATATTAGTCAAAAAATCGTCGAACGTCTCACCGTCTTGCTGTTTTCTCTTGAAGAACTGGTATCTTTCATACGACACCGTTGATTTAGGTAAGAACTTCTCATTGAATTTATTCTTGATAATTGTTATGTTCGTTGCTTCCTGATCAGTGAGGTTGAAATTATCAAAAATATCTAATACTTCAGGACCCATAGAGGACATAGAGGATAGATAATCGAAAAACTGGCAGCTTTACATTTCAAACCGAGTGCATGTTCCAATATTTGGGCAACAGCATGCAAAAGGTATGATTTTCGTTATTATGAGAGAAATACAGGGTGGGGCAGAAGTATTTCCGAGTCCAATTGAACGAGTCCTATGAAAGCTAGACACAAAATTGATAATAATGATATTCATGTAAAGTAGAAAAATGAAAAAAAAGGCCCCTTGCATATTGTCAGCTTGTCAATTTTTGACGATTCAAAAAAAATAATTTTCATTCTCATTATTTCTCAGCTGGGGATTTCTTGAAATGCGGTCTGGACCAGGAAGATCTTGACCAATGCTTGATCAAAGCTATGGAAATAATTTTTCATCAATACGGCAAAACAGGTAAGAAATAATCATAACATATTCAATATTTGAAGCAATGTTGAAACTCTGTGATGATATGGATAGAATTCATCAAAAGCATATAGAAAATATGTCTAAACTAAAAAAAGCGAAACGTTCAGTTTGAAATAAAGAGTCATAATTGTGAGTCATGAAGCCTACCACTATTTTTTACTCCTTTTCGAGTACCTATCACTGTTCTGATGCGAGTTCGCAGGAATGGAACTCGGATCTAGTATGTATTTATCAATAACGACTTGTCATATGCTGTCATCATCATGACAACTATAGATTCTGATAAGAATTGAAAAGTTCCACAGTACTGAAATGATTGAAATGTATTGCTAGTGTTGAAAAAATTTTTTTCTACTCACATAACTAAAATGGCATTTAGCGTACGGATATGTACCACGCTAAATGATCGATTAATCACGGATTGTCGATCTGTGATCTATTCAAAATATTAAACACGTTACCATGGCAACACGACTTCTTAAACACATTACCATGGCAACGCAGTTCATTAAACACAGCTTCAGTAATTTGAGACATGTCTGGCCTGTCAATTGTATTAACTGTCAACTGTTATTTTCGAATTTTGTATCAGAATTAGTCAAACAATATTCGTTTGTATCAGAATTCTTCATTAAAAATCTATGCGAAAAGTAGACCAAAGAAAAATCGAAGAGAATGTTCTGGTACTCGCATATCTCCAAAAAGTGTAAACATGAAGCATCCATCTTTGAGAACAATTTATTTATTCTGCGCTAAGCATGACGATAAACGTGAAACAAAGGTTAGTAAGCAATGGACTGGACACATCTACAACCAATATCACTTATACGTGTCTCGCTAATTGCATGCAGTTGCATGTATTATGTTCTCAATTCCCATTCCTTTCGAATTATTTTGTAGGTTAGCAGGAATTGCAGGTATGTTAATGTAATTTTTGGGGTTCGTAGAAAAATCATAGTATGTAACGCGTTTATAAACTCTTCTAGACACTCGTTTATTAAACACTCGCTCCGCTCTGCTCCGCTCTGCTCCGCTCGTGCTTAAACTACTCGTTACTAAAAGGACGTTTATAACACTTGTTACATAATATACTATAATATACGCCTTGGTACTGGAGAAAATCATTACCACCGGACCTTATAATATTGGTCTCTGGGTAATACTGATATTCTTTACTACCTTGGTGTATGAATAACAAACTATTGTTAATGAAACCACCGTATACTTCCATGAAATTGAAGTGGAATTACACTGCATTGAGTTGATTTTCTTGTTTTTGAATAATATATCGAAGTACATAATTTATTAACGGAATAACTATAGTAAATATATTACATATGATTACATTGTTTTCCTCTTGATGTTCCAATTTTTTATTCTAGATCAAGGTTGGCCAGTATCAATATAGAATAATAATTTATGCATTTATATAGGCACGTTGATAATAAAGACTCAACAGTTTCAATAGTTTTGGACTTCATCGATATCATGCAGGAGGTGATTATTCACAATATGAAAGATTTGAGTTGACACATAGTTTTTTATCACTTGGAGCGCACGAAGAACATCGTGCGTATCTGGGGAGGATATGAAGAGAAGGTAGATATTGAAAGTTTTTTCAACTCTTGGAGATTATATTTCCTTGGCAATACTTCCTATATCATGGCATTCCTTCGATGTTCCAATGGTGTCAAAGAGTTAGTGAGTGTGGCATCACCCATCGGGCCACTGGCTTCTCACTGGATAGAATTCAAAAGCATCAGCGCATGTTTGAGTTCTGACCCTTGTGGGAACAGTATTCTATAGCGCGGCGTATCTGTGCTTTGTACAGGGTGATTCACCATAAATGTCCCCCCCTCTAGCTCAGTTATTTTTGAACCAATTTTGAAATTTGAAATATCATCTTGAATGATTTTCGATAAAGTTTTTTTCCGCTAGATCAGAAAATACAGGGTACTCGGAACAAACGATCTACAGGGTACCTACTATTTGATTTTTGGAACACCCCATTGTATTTTTAGATTCTCCCTGAAGAGCTGATTCGATCAATGTATCACACTTGGGGTCTAGCGGGACTGATTACAGAGATATAGGATGTTCAAAATCGAGATTTTTAACTTTAGGATTTTTTCTGTGACGAAACTATTCATTATCGGTCACGCGGTTTTCATGTCCGTATCTTAACTTTTTATTTACTATCTACTGACATTTAATAATTGGAACAGATACAGGGTGACCAGAATTCTGAATCTTGAACCACCCTGTAAATGTTCCAATTAAATTTCACTAGATAGTAAATCGAAAGTTGGGATGGGAACATAAAAGCCGTTTTGACCAATAATGAATAATTTCGGCACAAAAAAATCCTAAAGTTGAAAAATCTCGATTTTGAACACCCTATATCTCTGTAATCATTCCCGCTAAACCCCAAGTGTGATGCATTGATGAAATCAGCTCTTCAGGAAGGATCTATAAATACAATAAAATACAGGGTGTTCCATTTAAAAAAATCAATTAGTACTCTGTAGATCGTTTGTTCCGAGCACCCTGTATTTTCTGATGCAACGGGAAAAAAATTTCAGAAAAATCATTTCAGATTATGTTTCAAATTTTTAAAACTGTTCAAAAATAAGTGAGCTAGAGGGGGGGACATTTATGGTGAATCACCCTGTACATAATGAATAATATAAAGATATGAAGATTGAACTCAATAAAAACTGGTGAGCGTAGGACCACACGTTGGAAGTGATAACTTCTATGGCGGGTCAGTATTTTCAATATCTTCTGGACAATACTGAATTGAGTAATATTGATTTTGACTGATGTAATTCAATAAATAAATAAATAATTTTCAATAATGAAAAATTTCAAATTACGTCTTGTCAAAAGTATTTATTACTCACCCTGTGTATGATAAATGATGTGAAGAGATCACAATTATGAATTTGCCGGTATATAGGTACGCTGCTTTCGTGACGCGAGTTTGCCGGTTAACTTATATCACAGAAAGTGCCCAACAGGCCTATAGTAATCTCTTCAGAAATGGTGTCAACATAAACTCATACTTCATGTAATGTAATAATAATGAGATCATTTCCGTATAATTTCACAGCATGCAGTTGTCAGAACGGAACATTTTATTTCATCAATTTGGAGTTGGTACTAATCCACACTTCTTGACCGGGTTTTCCACAGAGCACTGTAAATTAGATAGCTAATGAAATTCACGATATTTCATTCCATGGAAGAAGCGGAAAAACGTAAAATTCATCGTGGAAAATGAATGAATAAAACTGCTTCAAGCTAACGAACATGGACATTGAAGAAAGAATGAAAATTAACAACGACGCAAAACACCTTTTCAGACAATTGAAATCATTGGAATCCGCGTGTCTGTGAGGTGTCTGACTTCAAATTTTATTTCAATTCCTATTTTTTTAATAGTTCCATGAGATAATATACCTATCTTGACTCTTGTTAGAGTTCAAACTGAGTGAGCTTATCTCAATGTCACCTTGTATATATGTATTTTAAATCACCATGCATACGTAAAAAAAATAACGGTGTCTGTGAATATTTTTGTTCGATTCCTTGATGTATTTTGCAGGTATTCCTTCTTTGAATCTACCATCTATAGATCCCATAGAGATTCCCAAAATGGAAATTGGAGCTGGTACAGGTGCTGTCAACTTAGTGCAACGATACCAGAAAGCACGTATTTTCGGACTATCTGACTCAAAAATAGTTAGAGTACAGTAAGTCATTGTTAGTTGTACAGGGTGCTTCTCTTAATATTGTATTTCCTCTCAACTCCTCAGTTTTTGGAGATATTTGGATGAATATTAGATAAGATTAGATTTAGAGTGGGGCTTTCGGGCTATCTGCCTCCACACCACATCCTTTCCAGATCTATTGTGTCTTCCCTCAAAATCGTCTAATGTTCTTTGGCTAGCCCCTCCTGCTCTATGAGACTCTATAGGCTAGCTTTCAGATCCTGTGTAACTTTGGGCATAAGCGTAAGGAACCTTAGTCTTGACAAGCCTTCACAGTAGCAAAGTACAATGACGGCTTAATATCAAGTAAGCTGCCGACGGTCGGCAGCTTACTTGATATTTACTATTTAGCCGTCATTGGCAAAGTATATGTACTGCTGTTTCCTCCTCTTCCTGGCAGAACCTGCACAGCAGTTCTTTAGTCAGACCTATCGTACTCATGTGTTTGTTGAGCCTACAATGCCCTGTGAGAAGTCCCACTAGAATTCTAGTTGTACTTCGTTTCTGGCTCAGTAGAACGTGAATGTTGGCGATGGTTTTTTAATAAACTCTTTTGCCTGTCTCATTCCTGGCGAGTTGTTCTACTATTCTTGAGATTTGGTTGGTATCCATGATTTGAAACTTGTCTTTTGTATAGCTTTCGCAATACCACAAAATGGTTCTGGGCGATTCAAAACGTTGTTTGCTCCTGCTCGGGCAGTGAGTCTGCCTCTTCATTGCCCTCGTACCCTCTATGTGCTGGTACCCATGCTAGAGTTAGTCTGTTCTGACTGCCCAGTTCATTTAGGGTTTCTGAGCACTCCCATTCCAGCTTCAAGTTAGCTTGCAATAGTTTTTCCTCCAAACTCTTACCTTATCAATTTTTTCACGCAATGATGTATAGCAATAATTTCTGTCTGAAACACCGTCGCGTATTTGCCTAAGCTCAGTGAGACTGTCTTCGGCTTGGCCCCTCTCTGTCCGTTATACTTATTTTGAAAGTTTTTTCAAAGCTATATTTTGAAATTATGCCATTTGTTGGCATTTCCATGATGGGGTCGCTTTCCAACTCTTCATATAGTTTCCTGTAGTCTTTACGGTGCGTGTTGCTTATGGGTTCTTGACCCCTAGACAATCTACCCACGACTGGTCGCCTTGAATGTATATTTGTAGTGGTGACAAGTTCAAGAGGAGCCTTTGAATAGCACTGAGTCTTCGAATCACTCCAGCCTCTTGTGTTTTTGGCCACCAAACTACCGACCTATATGCTATCAATCAATCAATCTATCAAATATGCTTCATTGTCAATTACGAAAATAGATCCTTGTCGATAAAGCTATAAGCACAATGAGATGGAATATGTGAAAAACAATAACATATTCACAGGTAAGACTGACATATACCCATACACACAAAATGTTTCGTTTAAAATACTTGTGAATGAGAATCCTCAATCCATAGATTCATGTGGTCATTTTTGATTGCAGGGCCAAAATGCAATGATACATTGCCATGTCATATTTCCGTGGGATGAGAATGTGCATCCCGTTCAACTATCGACTAGTGGATATACTATATACTATATACTAATATACAAGTTTTCTCATTTTCCATTGTCACTCGGAATCAGAGCTTTTCATCTTCATCATTACTAATATTTTGACGGACGGATTTTTGTATTCAATCATCCAGTTATACGAATACAACTTATTATTTTAGGCACTTTAGTAAAGAACGTGGTATTTTAAATCAATAGGGATTTGAAGTAAATTTTACTGAGGTCGTTGACATGGTAACAATCAGCCTCTTCGATGACATTTTAGAAATAGACTACCCATACCGTGTATAGTGGCATTTAATTTTGTTTTCATTATTTTCCTATCCTAAAGTGCATAAAATATTATATACACCTCAGGACTAAAGGGTTTTCGAATCCCTGGACAAATTATAGCCCTCCCGTTGGTCGGGCTATAAACTTTTTGTATCGGGATTTGAAATACCACGTTAGTCTCTAGGTATATAATGTACCTACTATTATTTTTCCTACGGCTCGGTAGTTTTGATAAACAATGTCATTCGCGAAAAAACTAGGCAACAAGCTGTCGTACCAAGAATCGAATATTTCTTGTGGTGTTACATAATATGATGTGAGTTCATTTTTCAGCTACGACCAGAATAACAAGATTCTGAATTTCACGGCAGACTATCCAGAACTCAGACAAGAAGCGAAATATAATATGAGCGGAAAAGTTATGATGCTGTCTGTGCATGGTTTTGGGGACTCTATACTCCGCTTAAGTAAGTTATCGACATTTTCCGAAAGATAAGTTTCCAGTAGGGGTGGGTAAATTTATAGAAATATCGATAATATCGTTTTTCCAGAAGAAAATTGGGTTATTGTTGGGTCTACTTTTTCCAAATCTGACAAGTCTCGTCTCATGGCTGTTTGTTCAAAGAATTAGGATCTTGGCTCAACGCACTCCTTATGGTTCCTCTGGGAACTCTTTTAGATTCAATTCAATTCAATTCAATTTATTCATAATTCCATAACAAACAACAAAATTTACATATTGTACATTATTGATATTAAAATCGTTCAAATTACGAGGATTACACCTAAGCATAAGTATATGCTTGTATTGTGCCCAATCCCTAAATTTGAAACGAATGCATTTCATCGAGTAGGTATTAGACAACAGAAATGTGGTCAATGGAATGAGTAGAGGACGGAGGAAGAAACAATCACGTTTGTGTTTCGAATAGAATGATAATATATACAGGTGCAATTAAAGAGAGAAAGAGAGAGAGGGAGAGAGGATATTCCGAGTGAATTAATTTTGACTACTTCAGGTTCAAAATATATTATTGATTATCGAAGCATTTTCAGTGAGGTGAATTTTTAGCATTTTTTTGAATTTATGTAGGTTATTAATTTTTTTCAAATGCACTGGCATCATGTTATATAATTTTGGCCCGTAAAAAAAAATGAATCTCTGTGTTCGAGTCTTGTGGAACAGTGGGAGTTTCAGCGTAGTTGTGAATCTACTCAATCAAGATGATCAATCTATTAGAATTGCAGTTAGCCTTCGCTTGGGTAGCTCATTTTGCGTGAGCCATATAAATGTGTTTGTGGATCCACTGTTAAAGAAAATAAAACTCATGGTTTGAGTTGGAAGTTCACGTCGATTTTCAAGACATCATGCTGTGAATTATCTGATTAAACAGGCCCTGACAATAGCTGAAGTCTCATCGGTTTTAGTACCTATTGAAAGCTGCAGAGAAGATGGAAAACATCCAGACGGAATGAGCCTTATTCCTTGAAAATTTGGTATGGTATGGTATGGAACTTCACTTTGATACAGTTGCTGCCTTGCACCTCAATTCAACCAGCGAATCGAAAGGTGCAGCAGCTATTTCTACAGAAGAATTGAAAACCCGCAAATATTTCAATCTGTCTAATTTTTACTATTTTTATCTAGTTGCAATATTGACACCTACGGAATATTCGGACCCAACGCACTCGATCTTTTGGAGGAGATTGGCAAGAAAATTATGAAATCTACCGATGATCATAGAGCTTATACTGTTTTGGTTCAACGAATCAGTATAGCAATCCAGAGAGGAAATGCTGCTTCAGTTTTGGGTACAATTCCTATGACATGAAAAACTGTACGGAATTGTTTTGCAACCCAACATACCAAATCCCTGGAAGTTCCATGATCCATCTGAATCCTCCAACATTCGAAAGACTCTTTACCCCTGCTCAGAAGTCAGAGATGAATTCCTCCTAGATGATGATGTAGCAAAATTCAATCTAGTTCTTCTAAATCAGTTGATGTAACATCTTCGCCAAACCTCGACCTATTTGAAGTATCTTAGTTCAACTATGTACCCTACACCCAGATTTACAACTCGTACAACCGTAGTGTCAGTTGTGAAGAGGATGTTCGACCACGGGACACTTCATTTGAGTTCTATCTCCCGATCCCGATCAGCCGGATTTCTATTCTCGAGCTGATTTTCAGGTCCTTGTCAGCTCAAGCGAAGATTCTGGGCCTCAAAGGATTGAAGAACATTGTCAACACAAGTTTCATGAACATTGTCATTCAATGCTCATTAAACACCAGGTGGCTGTAGGAGTTTATCAGGAATGATGCCTACATGTCAGTTGTAAACACCATCACATCCAGCATGAAAAGGGAGTTATTTAATGAGTTCGCGAAGGTGATGAAGGCTTTGTGGTACGAGGAATCTTCGGATAACATCTTTAATGCAGCATTCCTGAAGACTCGAATCCAACGGTTTGCGCCTCGCTTCATAAGATTCGCCCAGCAGGACGCACACGAGTTTTAATGCTTCCTGCTGAGAGGGTTGAATAGAAACGTCAACAAGATTTCAGATCTGAAGAAACTAATCACCCAGTCTTCTAGTGAGCCAGACATACACGGCCTATTATAGATATCCATATCCAAATGTTTGGTTTGAATGTAACGATTCTCGTGTTTCTTCGTTGATTGTCGATGATTTTCGATAATTTTTTAAATAAGCCAACGCTACCTATCGGAGTTTTCGAAAGCTGTCAAGGTAGTCTTCAATTTGTTTTCATTCCATTAACTGCAAGTTGAAAACTTCTAAAGGGTGACCTACGTAGTTCATCCTGTTGGATTTTCTTGAAAAATAATCGAAATTTGTCGAACAAACAAAATGCATATGCTGTCTGTAGGTTAATGGAGGAGGTGGTACATTCATTATTCCAGATTTTTTTTTGGGATTTTCTCTCCTCGTCTCTATGAAATATGAATACTATTTCAATATACGTGTAGTGAGGACAAATCAGATGACTTGCCCCAAAATGTCACTGCGTTTAAAGAATTTTTCTATCAGAGAGCCTAAACGAGAAATTCAGTAGCTTGTCAGCGACAATTTGTATTGAAAAAGGTTTGGAGAAGAGGAATAAAGGTATATAGAAAAAATATAGAATTTTCACTCATCATTGGACGTTTCGGGAACGAATCTGCTCCCGTTTTCAACATAAAAAATGTATTTTTCGTATGGAAAATTCGTATTTGTCTTGACACTTCTCAGTTCTCAGTGAAAATTGGTGATGTTGGTAATCAAATGAGTTACCAGGATGTTTTTTTCAATTAATCTTGAATTTACCATTCTCATTTTCAAATTTCAGTAAATTAATTGATGAAAACACCCTGTAACTCATTTGATTACCAACATCACCAATGGCACTGAGAACTGGGAAGTGTCGAGACGAATACAAATTTGTCATACAAAAAATCCATTTTTTGTATTGAATACGGGAGCAGATTCGTTCCCGAAACGTCCAAAGATAAGGGATAATTTTTTCTATATACCTTCATTCCTCTTCTCCAAACCTTTTTCAATAACAATTGTCACTGACAAGCCAGTGATTTTTTCTCTTAGACTCTAAATTGTTCTTAAAATTGTTCTGAAATTGTTCTAAAATTGTTCTAAAATTGTTCTATCCGTCATTCGGTTGCCCCCTTATGAGCAACCCTCAGAAGTCCTCGAAAGTCTTGTGCGAGCAAGGAATGACGGGGGCCTTACCTTTCAACGTGTGATCCCAAACACTTTCTTAGGCCATCAGAAAACGTCTGCGTTCGTGGGACTCGAACCCACGATCGATACCTTGACGTGAATCGATATTGAAGCATCGAAGCACTGAGGTACGCCGGCTTATCTCTGATAAAAAAAATTTTTCTGTGACGGGACAAAAATTTTGGCATTTCATCTCTGTTGGCAGGTTATAAAATGTCACTTTTCATAAATTACTTCTTTCACGTGGGACAAAAGTGAGTACTCTTTTCCTGGATATTATATATACACTGTTGATGGCTCTTGTTGTCCTTTTTTATCTTCCGTTCGACATCGCGGTTACGTATATTACTGAACAACCACTAAATTCGCAGTTTTTTGAAATCAAATCACAGAAATAGACTGACAGAAGTGACATCAGATATTTGATTACTTCAAAAGAATGATAAATATGCCTATAACGCAAAGGTGTCCCTACTGTTAAAAACTCAAAATTTCATGTCGATAATTTTCAGATTTTAAAATAATATAATATCTTCTCAATATTGATCCGTCCTTCCTTCTGTCACAGAAAAAAATAGTGTATTATACACGGAAAAAATATTAGATTTTAGCTAAAATCTACTACTTTTTTGCCTTGTATAATAAATAACTATAAACGCAGTGACATTTTGGGGCAAATCATCTGATTTGTCCTCACTACACGTATATTGAAATAGTATTCATATTTTTATTTTATAGAGAGAGCGTAGCCTCGTGGTTAGAGCGTCAATGTTGGATTACCGGTAGTGGGTTCGAGTCCCACCACGACCGCAGAAATTTTTCTGATGGCCTAAAAAAGTGTTTGGGATCACACGTTAAAAAGTAAGACCCCCGTCATTCCTTGCTCGCACAAGTCTCTTGAGGACCTCTGAGGGTTGCTCGTAAGAGGGGTAATGATGGATAAGAACAATTTTAGAACAAATTCAGAGAAAATCCCAACAAAAAATCTGGGATAATGAAAATGCATATAATTGATGGAACAATAAAATGATTGTTGAATCAACAAAATGTCAACTCATGTCAACTATGAATATTGTTGAATGAAATGAAGAAGTTTTGCTCAAGTATGAATGAAACATTTCGTGTTTTTCAATAAGTCGCTCATTTATTTTGGAATGAACTATGCAATTTGTTGATTCTGCAAAATTTATTCAATTCCAACAGAACTTCTTTTCGTATAATTTTCCAGAGGAACCAACCATTGTCCACGTGGCTACGTTCAAAGAGAAGACCAAAATGGGCAAAAAGCATCTCCACATTGAAGACTACTCATTGAGGTTCACCATCAAGGGCGCTCGGTACGATTTCAAAAATATGTTCGACGGAGATGAAAAACTTTCGGGCGTGGTTTCGAAGGTCCTCAACGATAATTGGAACGTGATTTTTGAAGACGTCAGAGACGGATACGAGCAAACGTATGGGCTCGTATGTAAAGCCATAGCCAATCAGTTTTTCGATACTGTTCCCATGGAGGATATTTTTCTCAAATGATTTCGTGATTCATGAAATTGTATTTGATAATGAAATAACGAATAAATATAGGGCAAGTCGCCATCAGAGGTCCTCAATTGTGATTATTTTCGCGGGGGAAGACGGGGGGTGGAATTTTCCGAAAAATATATTCATTGGGTAACCGTTGCGAGTAAATGAGCTATACCGATACGAGTCCTTTTTCCGCAGATTCTACGGAAATTCCGCGATGCACAGTGGAAAGCTCCGTAAGAGTCAATGTAAAGCTGATGAAACTTTTCCCTAGATCTACGGACTTCTTCAGCGAATTTCAAGGTCTATTCTGCAGATTTTTTACTCTTTCAAGGTCATATGTCTCCGACGAGTAAGCTAACCGGATGCCACATCTGGTGATATATTCAGAGCGTCCACGCGTAGTAGCGTACAATAGCAGTAGGGCAGGACGAAAATCTCATGTTAAATAAATGAAAAATATACAGGGGGACCTAGAAAACCTGAGGGAGATCAAAAAACTATACAGCTACATACACTACACTGTTTCACCACTAACCAAACCGATTTTTTGAACGCCTCGACAAGTGTTTCGCTAACTATGTTAGCATCTGCAGAAACAGAATCTACTCCTGAAGATGCTAACATAGTTAGCAAAACACGTGTTGTGGCTTTTAAACAATCGATTTGGTTAGTGGTGAAACAGTGTAGTGTAATATCGTGCCAAAGGTTCTAGTCTTCGATATATACAGCAACATTACCAATACCCAGACGAGAACAATCGAAGATAACTCTATCAAAACTCGTAATGGAGCGACATATTATACCGTATGACGATGCCCAAGACGATGCCTTCCATATTCTACACGTGTAGACCTCTACATCTACACACTGCAAAGTGATACTACAAGTATACCAGCCTGCTGACAGATGGCACTGCCCGACTACTTGGGTTAAAGAACTACCAATCAGATCATTGAACGAGATCTCATAACTGGAAGATCTAGGATGAACAGAGTTGCCCTGATTGTCAGCCGGAGCGAGACAGTACTGTTTCGGTCCACTGGGCCTCATCAGCCGCTTTCGATCTGCTGACAACTGGGACAACTCTACGCTTCGGGTATATCACTCAAAATAATATGTCAACAGATTCCTCAAAAACTAGACATGATATTTTATAATTTCAAGACTCAAGCCGACCTACTTCAACGTTTTTGAGCATGTGAAAATTTGAAAGCAAGGTTTTCTTTTTTCGCGAGTAGGAGAAATCAAAATTCGATATCTACTTCCAAAATTCGGGAATCAGGTAATTCTCAATAATTCAATTAAGTAATGATTTTATTAATGATCAATAATTTTGACTGCTAGACATTCACGTTTTTATAATTCACTACTTTACCCTTCCCTAGCTGTCTGATGATATTTTATGTAATGAAAATTTGCTGAAAAATCTTCTATATATCTGTGTACTTACAAATATGTTGAGAGCATGCTAACAACATCTGAAATTTCAGCCAATTAATATGCAGAATTGGGTACCATTTATGGAATATTCTCGAAATTATGGGTTTTGGTTATACGAAAGTTATTCAAGGTCTAGGCCTCATTTTTATGATAGAATTGCAATATGAGTGATTGTGAATATGGTCAGTGATTTTTTCAACCTTCAATATTCACGATTTAATCACTGCATATCACCAGTAGTTTCGATTAAGATAAAAATGTCGAATGATCGATAGGCTGCATTTGTCAACTTTTCAATATGGAGAACTCTAATAGCTCAAAATCAGTTAATTTTAGGTGAGATCAATTTCTTGTCGACGGAGCATAGATTTTTTTCAAATAATTTCGAGCGGTAGTCAACTTGTTTAGATTAGAAAAAAAATTGAAAAATATACAATGCTATTAAAAAAAAAATGACAATCGCTGTCGTTAGAGTTGATATTGGGGAGAAAATTGTTAGTGTCACCTTGCAGCACAGTTCATGGAATATCTATAGATGAATCATTTCATTTGCTTCTTTGTTTTTCAAAATCGGATAGTTAATTGCGGCGCTATATACAGGGTGATTCAGGATTTGAGGTACTAACTGAAATGGGTGATAGATCTCATCATTTCGATTAAAAAAGTTTATATTAAGATGAGTCCGAACTCGATCAGTAGCGGAGATTTGTAGATTGTAGATGGGTCGTTTAGGCTGGGAGACCTCTCGATCACTGCGACCTAGAAGATCTATTGTGATTACCCTTATCTAGTTTTGGTCCTCGGACCCTAGACTTCTGATGAAGCCTACAATTTTCCTGACGGTTGAATTTTCCACCTCAGCAGGGGTGAGATAGACCTGTTCTAGGTGGTTCAGCCTTTGGCGGACTAATACTTCACATGAGCAAAGTATGTGTTCCGCGGTTTCGGTCACATTGTTACAAAAGCGGCGTGTCAGTCTCCGCCAGGCCCATCTTTTTGAGGTGGTACCTCAGAGGGTCGGGTCCTGTGAGAAAGCCTGTGATAAGCTTTAGCTCTGGTTTGCTGAGGCTGAGTAGCTCTTTGGCTCGGTTCTGCGAATGGTTGATGAACCTTTTCGCTTGTCGTTGACCTGAAGTTGCTCTCCAGTAGGAGAACTTTTCAATTTCTTCCCATTTCCTGAGTTCTTCCTTTAGGTGACATTTGCTTATCCCACAAAAAGGCTCAGGACCAAAAAGTGCAGATGCTGCAGCTTTTTTTGCAAGGCAATCAGCTGCCTCATTTCCTTTGATTCCTCCATGCCCTGGAACCCACATAAGTGTGACTTTGTTGTCCTTTCCCAGTTGCATGAGTGTTTCAAAGCAGTCCCATGTGATCTTTGATGTGAAAACGAATGATTTTAGGGCTTTTAGTGCGGCTTGGCTGTCTGAGCAGATATATATGTTGGCACCCCTCAGACCTTTGCTCAGGCATCTTTGGGCGCAAAGGTTGATGGCAAGTATTTCAGCTTGGAAGATAGTGGGGGAGTGACCTAAGGCTCCAAATAGCCTACATTCGGGTCCATATACACCCGCGCCTACCCCTTCTTCCATTTTCGAAACATCGGTGTACCTAACAAGAGACCCTCTGTCCAGCTGAGGCTCAGCGGAACCGTACCTAGGGCTGCTTTTCATAACCACTTCAAAGGTATGATCGAAACTGAGCCTGGCTGGCATTATGTCCGATGGTTTGGTTGCAAATTCCATTTGTACTTCTTGTAGAATGACCATGTGACCAGTGACATCACCATCAGTAGGGCACGTACTCATAGCCCCTGTGATCCCAAGACACGCGAGTCTCTGGATTTTTTGCAGCTTAAGTTGTGCTGTTTTTTCCTTACTTTTGGTCCACCACACTAGAGAAGCGTATGCGACCATGGGTCTGACCACCGTGAGATAAGACCAGTAGATCATATTTGGTTTAGGACCCCACGTTTTGCCAAACATCTTTCGGCATATCTAGAGAGCTGAAATTGCCCTATTGACGATTTTGGTCAAGTGTTGGTTCCACGTGAGTATCTTTTCTAGGATTACTCCTAGATATTTGACCTCTTCGGAGAAATTGATAGGCGTCCCATCCATAATGGGTTCCTTCGACTTGATCTTCCTTGTTTTGGTGAATGGAACGATGACTGTTTTGCTTGGGTTGACATTCAAGCCCCTCCTGAAAGCACCAGTCTTTCAGCAAGTTGACAGTAGCGGAGATAAAGTGACCCCCTGTCGATGCGTTGAAAAAACGGATTGAGTTAGTGGTGAAACAGTGTAGTTCGGAACAGTATATTTTAAAATAAAAGTATGGTTGGAAGCCTCTGATTCCAATGAGAAGTGGAATTATTAGTTTCATCGATCATGCATGAATATGTATGGATCTTCCATATCAATTCATCGATGACAGCTGAACTATTATATTATTCCAATAAACTATAATTTTCACGCTAATTCGATGTATTTGGTGGTTTTGCGTGACGAGACAGATAATGTAGATATGTTCTAATTGGGATGGGAATCTCATTATCGAATTTAATGAGCATCCTATAATAATTAACATGATGAAAATCGCATGAAAATCGACACGAAGGTGTACGCCAATTTCCCGAATTTGTATACATACACATATAATAAAGTGTCAATATATATAAACAGTATGAAACCATTTAGTCAGGTCAAGTCAGGTGTAACACACTGGTTCAAATATGATTTTTGCTATAATCATTGACTTATTGTATCTATCAGTTATGACAGAAGGATATAAAATTCGTAAGTATTCAAAGGAAAAAATAGAACTTCATCATTATCAGCTCAATTCAAAATAACTCCTGTACTTTCGCTATTCTAGATCGATTAGAAAAACATTTTTTTTGAAATATACTTTGTCGAGCGAAAAAAAAGATCAATCACAAATTATCAACCTACTGCAATCACAAAATCTACAGCGAAATTGAATAAAACAGATTAGGCACTTTTTACAATGATTTTGATGATGGCAATCGGCTCGGACTAGTCACAAATACTCCTATATCATTTTTCAAAACAATATCTCATACGGGGTGTTTTCATCAACGTTATACAATTTTTGAATAATTGTATTCTTCAAGTCACCGTGTATAATAATTCTTATAATAATTTGAATGATACCAGGCATGATTGCAGAGTTAGATGAATAACGAATCAAATCAATACAAATTTAGATTTTGTTTCAAGAAACTCCACTAACTCCAATATTCTATTACTCAGGTTGCAATAAATTCAGATTTGAAAATGAGTACACCAACCCAGCACAATACAACTGTCATGATTAGATCATCTTATGGCTACAGAGTGAGATGAAAAACGGATACAATCAATAGGAATTTAGGTTTCTTCATTGATTGAACAAAAAGAAAGAAAAATACACAATATCTATCCAAAAAAACATAAAAAGATCAGACAATGAACAAGTCAGCAATTATTCCTAACGAGGTTCAGATTTTTGTATTCTCGATCAAATCTTCTTTATTCTCTATACACTTTTCATATCTCTTTCAACTCTCCTCGGTTCTTCTGGTGTTATCTTTCTGCAGAATGTTCTTTTTTATCACAATTCTTACGTATTTCTTGGCCAGAATTTGTGAAGAAACATGATGGTGATCATGATCATTGGTTGTGAAGTGTTCGGTGGCAAAAAAATAATGAAAAGGAAAAATATTGTCTGTATAGGTTAATCGAGGAGGTGGTACATTCATTGTTCCAGATTTGTTGGGATTTTCTCTCCTCGTTTTAATGAAATAAAAATATGAATATCATTCCAATATACGTGAAGTAGGGACAGATATGAAGAAAAGACACATCGACAAATCGAAACTATAGTTGAACATATCCTTACTGAAGATGGACAACATATGGCAGAGTGGAATAATATTGAAATCGTTGGAAACGAAGATAACAACGGAGGCAAACATCCTGTAACTCATTTGATTGCCAACGTCACCAATTGTCACTGAGAACTGGATAGTGTCATAGAACATTGAAAATAAGTGGAGATGTAAATATTAACTTTCATTACTTGAGAAAAAAAATCTAAATGTATAGTGATTTTAGTCGTTATCTATCTCACTCTGTAGCCAGATGATCGACTTGACTACAATCATGCCTGGTATCATTCAAATTCTTATAAGAATTATTATACTCAATGACTTGAAAAATCCAATTATTCAAAAATTGTAACGTTGCTGAAAAACACCCCGTATGATATATTGTTCGGTAATTGATATGGGAGTATTTGTGACTAGTTCGAATCGATTTCCATTATCAAAACTATCACAAAAAAATGCCTGATCTGTAATCGCAGTGAGTAATTGTGACCTAACCTAACCTAACCTGACCATTTTTTTGCTCCAAATAGTAGATAATTTTGAGTAGGGTATTCAAAAAATGAATTTCAAATCGCTCTAGGATTACGAAAGTAATATTTTGCAAACTCCAAAGTAGGGATTCTAAACTTCATTGAGGTTTCTTTAGTAATCTGAACAACTCCAAAGAGAATAAGATTTCCATCAGTACTCATTATTGAATATATATTTTTTCTACAAACGCTCAACAAAGTAGCCTTTGAAGCTTTCATATTCCAACACAAAATTTACGTTTCCCCAGAAATGTCATTCTTTGACAGCATTTGCGCTCATGAGCGGAAATATTGAAAAAACGCTCGCACATCGCTGTAACCTATACTTATCTATTCTTGAAAACCCCCAATTCTTTCATGATGGAAAATAGTGACAGTGAACTATCAAACACATCTCCTGATATAGCAGAAAGTGTAAAAGTTTGAATCTCTTACCGGAGAAATCAAGAAATATGAATTACAATATGATACATTCATAAAGTGCCACTCCAAGAAGGTGAATAAGTACTCAGAAAACGTTCTACTGGCTCATCTTAGTGAAAAAACGATGATTTCGAAGTCATCAACTCTAAATACACAAATAGCTATTTAATCACAACGGTTAGATTATTGCGTTTCAGACCAATTATTTCGTATATTCATGATATTGTGATTTTCATCTATAGCGGACAACTTCAATAGATGCCACATTAATGATAAAGATCTGGACAGATGTCTAGCGACTACAATAGAAAATGCTATCAAAACGATTGGCAGTTATGGTAAGTTTCGAGAATTTTTTTCCAACTTGTATTAGAGTCACTTTCATTTTGGAGATGGAAAAGTCAACAGGCTGAGTACAAATTTGTAGGTAATCAGATATTTCCAAAATTGCATGGAAATTTGTAGTGTCGGTCGCTTTGAAATTAAGTCTTAGGTATAAAACATCCTGTTTCCCCTATCATACCAAATATGAAATAGCGCGTGCTTAGTTTTCTCATCGGAATGATTTAGGCCAGACATAAATATATCAAAAGTTCTTGAAATCGGACAGAATCTTGTTCAACAGTGGATAAAAATGATATCTTCAAAGCACGCGATCCTGGTTTCGTGTTCATTTGACAACGAATTAGGGTAATTACATGAAAAATCATTTCGAGAATGCAATATACAGTCTTGGTGGAACCACGTTCACAAAATTAACATTTTCAGACACGAATAACAATAACGTTCGATTTATAATTACTGGCGATAATATGACAAAAATAATTATAAGTCTTCCACAAATTCCAAATCAGTACATATTGTGCTCAAATCAAAAGACCAATGTCCTCAAACATTTTTTGTATGACCAGACTATTTTGGATTGTGCGATTCAAAATTGTAGCAAACAATTATTGAGAAAAAGAGCCAATCAATATCTAATTGTTCCACCAGACTTTTTTTTCCAACTTGAATGCCTTGAGTTTTCTGAAATCGAAGCTCTTGTGGACATTCAAAAGAAATGATATACCTTTCTGGTAGCTTTTAGGGAAAGTTATTGGTGAATATGCACAGACTGATTAGTTTGATACACCCTGATGCACCCAATGCGAACATTTTCAACTTTCAGGTATCCCAACAATGAATCTTCCTTCAGTCGATCCAGTGAAAATTGCAAGTGTTGAAATTTCAGCAGGCACCACAGCTGTCAACTTAGTCCAAAAATATTCAGACGTGAAAATCTATGGACTTTCTGATATCTCAGTAGATAGCGCCCAGTAAGTAGAACTGATGTAATATGGTCCTCATCTCACTATCCCAATATCTCACTATCTTACTATCTCACAACTCACTAACCCACGATCTCACGATCTCACTATCTCACTAGCTTACTATCTCACTATCTCACTATCACACTATCTCACTATCTCACTATCTCACTATCTCACTATTTCACTATCTCACTATCTCACTATCTCACTATCTCACTATCTCACTATCTCACTATCTCACTATCTCACTATCTCACTATCTCACTATCTCACTATCTCACTATCTCACTATCTAACCAGCTCACTATCTCACTATTTCACTATCTCTCAAGCTCACTATCTTACTACCTCACTACCTCACAGTATCACGGTCCCACTACCCCACTATATCACAATTGACTATCTCACTACCTCACTATCAACTATCTGACTATCTCACTAGCGCAATACTTCCCTATCTCACTATTACACTATCTCATTATCTCACTAACGCACTATCTCACTGTCGCGCCATATCACTCTCACTATCTCACTATCCCACTATCTCACTATGACACTTCCTCACTATCTCATCATTTCCCAATCTCACCATCACCCTATCCCACTATCCTACTCTCACTTCTTCAATCTATCGTTCTTTCACTATTTCACTCTCTGCCTTTCAAACATCAAATTATCTCCCTCTCTTCTCACAGGAGTATTTCTTACTTTCTCACTACTCTCGTATATATAATATAAAACATTCGCCGTTGGATTTGTCTGTAGACTTCTTATGAAAATTATAAATTATGTTTGCGAACACATTTCGTGATCCGCTTATTGTCGAGAGTAATGCCATGAAAGTTTTCGTTTAATAGGGCAAACATTTTTTGCTTAGTGATGTGCGAAAGCAACCGACGCAACTTTCGGACAAGATTCTCAGTTATATTGGTCAGACAGGTCGAATGTTTATTCGCGGCATTCATGAACATAACATGATTTTTTTGCAAAAGAAGACAAATTCATCAACGTACGCAAACCTTATATTAGAACAAAAGCCATCATTTAGAATCATTAGAAATCAACAAACGCAAAAATTCTAAGAATTTACTTAACGATCAACTAGACCTCAATGATCCACTGCTATATTGAATTTTTTACATTAGTAGGCTATTATCCTTTTCAAGTTGATTTGGTATAGGTACCTACACCTAATTTAATGTAGATTATTGACGGTACTTTCCGAAAATGAAGACTCAATTAACCTTTTCACAGGTAGTTTCAATCCTTCAGTTTTGGAAGGTATGATATAAAAGTTAAGCAAGTCAATGTAAGTTCAGAAATCCCATCATTTGTAAAGTTTTTTAAAATTCACTTTGGATTACCGTCAAGTCAATTAAAAAAAACAGTAGTATAAAAACTTGCGTATTTTGTCTCCTGGATAAGCCGCCAAAGAATAATTGAAACCTGACAATTGGAAATGGACGTTGTATTATTGTATTTCTTTTTTTCTGAGGTTTCTCAATTTGAGAGTATTTAATGAAACCACTTTCAGAAATAGGTAAATAGGCATTGCTTCAACCGTTATTCTAAACTAAAGAGTGAAAAAAATCAGGAATTATTTCAGGAGTTTCTATAGTACAGAGTTCATTTGATTTCGACTAATAGAGTGCTTTGTTAATGCAAAACGAGTTTAGGCTACTGAACTTTCTAATGGCAAGTAAGTACGTTATGTTCTAAATTTTCGCATTTTCCATTAGGATGGAATAGGATTGAAAAGGATGGAATAGGATTCCATCCCATTTGCCATTTTAATTATATCCACAGTCCACAATTCAATTTTATTCAGTATGGTGCCAGTAGACCAACCAGGCATTATGAACCTTTATTTTGTCATATATACATATATAGGGTGTTCGGAAAGGTCATGTCGTAAATGTTAGTCTGATAGAGTGAATCAAAATGATCTCAGTACTTCATCAGAAAAAATGTCTATCGCACTTCGTTCCGGAGTTATTGACCTTGAAAGTCCATACAAGGCATGCTCATCATTACTAAACTAATCCATCCATGGTGATACCAACATTGAAACGGTTGGGATGTATGATTTTAAAATGCGCTTTTCTCTAGAACTGAAGGAGACATCGAATATAATAATGTGTACTATTTTTCTAGAAAAAAGATGAAGGCATCAAATGGTGGTCGCAAAATGTCATAATTGTCACCTCTGCCAAAAATGTTTGCATCAAACTGTGAAAATTTGACCCATCCTGTCCTGTCCTGTCACTGAACAGCCGTTTACATATCGAAAGGAGCTTAGTATGAGTTTATTAATCTATAGTAGCCCGAATTTCAGTTATTCCCATGGCAACCGTTTGAAAGGTATTTTTTTTCTTCATTTATCTATTCAGCAGAAGCTAATATAAAAGTCAATGTGATATAAAAACAGTCATAAGATCCAAACGAACAAGGAACATCTAGACACTTAATTTACAAACTTAAGATCAATACAAAAGGTACAATAAAAATAGAGGACATTAAAATCTTCAAAAGTTTGAGTTGCTTCGTTACAATAATAGTTATTTATGTATCAAGGGCGTAAAATAGGCTTAGTTACGCCCGAAATACATACAACATTTTATGCACGACCTGTATATATTTGATATCTCATGTAGGTATCTCTTCACCCCTCAAGCACAATAAAAATACATCACGGTTGCAGTGAGACTGTATTGTATCCATATCGCAAATACAATTAATCAAGAAGTATGGAATCAACGTTAGCATGGCAACTCAGTCAATTTTTCGAAATAGGAATTAATAGGCCAGTAGCCATATTAACTGTAAATTTGTGTAATCATACATAATTCATTAGTGATTTCAAAATGAATTCTAGTGATGAAGTAAGTGTGAATTGTACTCCACCAGAAATTAGTGAGGCAGCTGAGGAAGCAAAATCGAGTTTATTGCCAAGTAAATCAAAAAAAATATACGACAAAGTATACGAAGAATTCGTAAGCTGGTGCGATATGACAGTGACATTAGCTTTACCACCAGCTCAATGAATTTATCGCCCGCCGGGCGGAAAAGTAGTCCGCGGGCGGTAAAGTGCCACTTTACGCCCGCTAACCCGGGCGGTAAAGTGCTACTTTACGCCTGGTCGTGCATAAAGAATATTATTAACAGGATTATAACCCTCGGCTGAAGCCTCGGGATATAATCCTGGTCCGTGGGTAATACTGATATTATTTACTCCCGTGGTGTATGAATAACTATTATATGTAGATACTAACATTATTTTGATTCACTTCATCAGAACTTATCATTTAAGGCATCACCTTTTCGGACATCCTGTATTTATTCATTATATTACTTTATTTGTAACACGAAATTAGCAATAAATATTCTGGAGTTTGATTAACTTCTTCATCTTTTATCTGACGCTCCCAATGTGGTTCAGAATCCCCTATAAGCTGAAGGTCCCGCTCTTCTAACCCCGCAAAAGGTTTCCAAATTCGTAGTAATAATGTTCAAATTCAACTGATTATGGAATCATTATTGCATCATTCATAGAAAAAAATGGCTGCAGAAGAACAAATTTTCATGAAATGAATGATCAATAATATTAGCTAATACATTTTCGATTGAAGTTAAATATATAGGAGCATAATCCTATATTGGCTCATTTATTTTCCAGCTTAGATCTGAATGGAAAAATTCTTTCATTCACTACATACCATCCAGAAATCAGACAAGAGGCAAAGTATTCTATAAATGGCAAGATTTTCGTAGTTCCAGTTCGTGGAAAGGGCAACTCAAAAATTCTTCTATGTAAGTTACTCATATGGGCCAAAATAATAATATAGTCATTGCCACAAAATGTCAATTCGAGGTACAAAAGGTGTAAAACGATATAACCAGAGGAATCACCACGAGTCCTTCAAATTGTATCGATCATTTCTCCATTTTTCGCGAATGTTCGTATATTTGGCACGAATATGAAAACAAACCAATGATGGAAATCAGTCGTTTTGACGAACCCGCAATTGAATCGATCATAATGCTGCGAAATATTACTGGTACCGTGACCTCAAGCGAGGTATGAAGAACGATGTTGATTAGACAATATAAAAATACGCAATTAATTCCATGGGGTTTTTGAGATTTCGTAGATTATTAGTTATGTTATGAATATAGGTATTCTCACTTATTATATGAAATCAATATCGTATTTGTCGCTGTAAAATATCTGGCTTACAAAGCGACTATAAAATAATTGAAAACGGCGTTCCACAGGGAACTGTTCTCGGACCGCTCCTGTTTGATATATATTTGAATAGGCTCTTCAACTTAGAAAGCGCGGGTAAAATAGACAGTTTTGCGGATGACACTGCAGTTATATACAAGGTAAAAATTGGCAACAGGTAAGAAAGGTAGCCGAAAAAGACTTTAAAATAATAATGGAGTGGTGTGACAGCAAAACACTAACGGTTAGGTACTCACCTCACTATGATTTCCTCTCCTTCTCTCTGGGAACTAGTGATGTAAACATTCGATCAGTTCCTAGGGTCAAATATCTAGGAATTCACTTGGATCAACACTTAAAATGGGATAAACATCTCAAACATATGATGAAAAATTCGATTTGTACTATACAAACTCAAATACTACTTTAAATTTCCTCAATCAAATATCTGAAAATCTTCTATCACGCACTAGCCGAAACCCACCTAGCATATGGTATCCTAGCATGGGGTGCTGCCTATCAATACCATCTGTCGAATCTAGAAGTCTTAGATACAAAAATACTAACTGGAGACAATCTTTCAGGAACCTTGCTTTTATTCAATAGACAAATTGTTCATAGAAACAGAAATCTATGACATTCGTCAACTTTATTTAAGAAATACACTCTTGAAAATCAATAAAAATAAACATGAACTCGTTCAGATAAATCACAATTATTATACGGGGCATAAAACCACATCCGTACATGTTCCAACACCAGATGAAAATTCAATGATAAGTCCTACTTGCACCTAGCACCCAAATCATACAGGGTGTTTCAAAAAACCCTGACCCCCTTACTAGGGTAGGTAGAACACTGCAAAATAAGTTGGGTTTGTTCAGTGAGAAAATTTCGTAACGGTATCCGTTTTCAAATCCCAATCAATCTAAAATATGAAATCTAAAATATAAAAATGTAAAAAAAATAACTTACTCCATCTTTCCTGCCATACATTCCGAACCATTTTTAGTTCACTACTTCACAACCATGTACCAAATTCTAGAATTTATATATTTTTCCTCCATTCTCATAATGCATAATATATCAAGGAAATCCGATAAATTATCTAGATTAGATGTATATATAGGATGATGACTAATGCTTCAGAATGTTATATCAATGTTATTCTTTGCATTCGGGATGTTGATTTTGTAACGTATAAACATATCTACCTATCATTGTTGTACCACATATTATTTGTTATTGTTTTTGCTGATATTTAAGTCAATTAATTGCCACGCACAGGCTCGTCCTTCTATGTGGTTCTTCCATATTTACTTACTTACTGCCTCTTGTTATGTTGTGTGTGAATAAATATATTATTATTATTATTATTATTATTATTAAATGGTTGGTTGGCATGGTCCAGGCCAGCAAGTTTTTCCATGTGCTTTGAACCTATCACATCTACGTATTTGTGACCAAGTAAGCAGTATTAGCCAATCAGACGAACATTCACCTGATAAGTGCCCCGGTAAATATTTGTCACTGTTAAAAAATCGAGTCAGCATGGTAATAAGGTAGTTTGACGTTATAAATCAATCGAATTTTCAAAATGTCAGTCACTTCGAGTAGATATAGAAATATCGAAAATGATTCGATTTCAATTCTATGTAAACAATTTTCTTACTGAATATGCCTCGACTATTGATAAATTCTCATAATTTGTAATTTTCAGTATCTAAAGAAGTTCTCTACCCAGTAAAATGTCGCACACAGAAAAAAATGATTTGTTGCATCAACAAATTATTTATGCTTGAGTTATTTTTGTTGGACTGAGCAATTTTTTGTTGAATCAACCAGATACATGATTATTCCATGGAAGCAGCTTGTTCAAATCAAGAATGTAGGCTAATTGAATCAACAGTATAATATCAATTCCATCAACAAAATATATGGTTTCTCCAAAAACAAATTATGTCGATCCAAAATAATGTCGATGTTGATTCAACTATAAACATTTCGTTGATTTGATCAAACAATGATCATTTTGATGAGATTATATCTTTGAAACAACATACTAGTTTTCTTATTCCGATGTAGCAATAAACTCGTTTCGAACGGATCATTCGCTTGAATAGAGCAACGAAATATGTAAAATCAATGAAATATTTTGTTCATTCTACATCAACTTGAATTTTTGCCTCAAGATGGCGATCATTTCGCCTCGTCTATGCCTGCCTCGAATTCATTATATACGTGAAGCCTGATTCTTCGTGTTTGAAATATCAGCTGGATAATCCGAACTAAGGATGATTAGCAATCCGAAATAGTTTTCCATCCGCTAAGAAGAAGTAAAGACTTGAGATCTATGCTGGGAGTCGACTATGAAACTAGTTTTGTTTATTCTATTGATGTGAAATTTCAGAAAATTAATGAATATTGAATTTGGTTCAACAAAACAACTTGTCGAATGGATTCAAAGTTTCTCTTGAATCAACAAAATATTTCATTGAATTAACCAAATATTTAATTGAATCAACCAAATATTTTATTGATTCAACCAAATATTTCTTTGAATCAGCCAAATATTTCTTTGAATCAACCAAATATTTCGTTGAATCAACTAAATATTTGATTGAATCAAAATCTTGTTATTTTGAATCAAACGAAATGATTGTTTGAGCCAATTCAATATCTCCTCATAAACAATTCATGGATGTGCTTGATCGAAGAAGATCCAGAGTTCATGCAAAACATATTTACTTGATTCAAACTTCAAATTCGCTCGGAAACAAGATATAGATTTACTCATTTCAAGATTATATTTTGTCGTGCATATATGACACTTTTATTCGCTCCATTCAATTATATTTTGCTTGATTCAACAATTCCTTTTTTTCCGTGCAAGGTGATTTGTGTATATTTTATATTCATTTTGTAGATGAACCGTCTTTGAAACACACTTTGAGATTCAAAGGAGAGACGAGAAATAACATGGAGTACTTCAGCATAGCTAACTATACCCTCAATATTAGTATACGAGGTGCACATTTGGAGTTCCAAAACCTCTTCGATGGAGACGAAGAACTGGCCCAGAACATTCTGAAAATCATCAACGATAACTGGGACATGATGTTTGATGATGTGAGAGAAGACGTTGAAAAAAGTTCTGCAGAAGTGTGCAAAATGTTGGCGAAAAATCTGTTTGACAGTGTACCAGTAGACCAGATATTTTTAGCATAATTCATAATCAGCAGGAAATACTTTGGCAGTGGATTGATTCCTCAACCAAAACCAAGACAAAAAAATTCCTGATTTGGTCAAATTTTGTATGGAAATTTTTGTCGGAATGATATTATCCTGAATTCAAGTTCTCAAAAATTACTGATGCCTCGATCATTATACAGGAAGAAATAAAAGGCATTAGAATATCGAGCCTGTTTTTCTCGGCGATCCATTATGCATGTAATATAATGTCACGGGATCACTGCCAAGACAAGAAATTAAAAAAAAAATCTAGGAAGCGGCAAGAAGTGGGGTTGGATGGCAAGATATCGTAAAAATAATTTGATGAAGTTGCTTCGAATTCAATTTCGTACTCAATACAGAGTAATGAATAGAAATACTTCAGTCATCTCCACACAATGTTCATAACATGAAGGACAATGGTAGATTTTGGGAGAAAACCAGCTACTTTCCTGGCTTATGCCACACAGAACATTGAATAACATCCACTCGAAATCTATGCATCGACTCGTATAAACGAATACTGATACATGTGATTCTTTCCTGAATGCCTATTGATTTCGATTTAGCCAGGCCACGCTAAACACCTACAGACCATTTTCGAGCTCTTCGACTCTCATTAGTGCAGAGATGTCTCTAGCCAGCAGTCCTAAGACCATCGACTAAGCGTAGTCTAGCCAAACAAGAAGAGAAGAAACACTCCGAAACCAAAATTCTTAGAGCTTTTTCATTCCACTTTCAGCTATTTCCTGACTAATTCGTCGTTGAAATTACGCCAGTCGGGCAACCAGCCACTCCCGTTTGGGAATTTTGGTTTTGGAGTATTTCTTTCCTTCTTTTTTACTCAGATGGCGTTGCTTTTATATTGTCTATGGAGGACGTCTCTGGGGGAATACTGCCGACTTGATTTTTGTTTGATTAGGCTACGCTTAGTCGGCGGTCTTAGGACACTGATGGGAGTCAAAGAACTCGAAATCGGGTCTGTAGGTGTTTAGCGTGGCCTGGCTGAATCGAAATCAATCTTCTATCTATGATATTGTATGTAATTTTCATATTTTCAAGTTTGAACATTTCTTCTAATGAGAACGATTCAGTTATTTTACACAATTGATTAGTTGGTGTATCATATGGTGCTTCAATAATAGGAGATATTTTTTTCGTCAAAACATGTATATGTTTGTCCCACCCTAATTTATCATCAAAGCAAATCCCAAGATACTTTTTTTCTTTAGTTTGTTCCAAAGAATATCGTATTTTTCTGACAGTCATCGAGGATCTCACTACTGTCGACCTATTCAGGAGAGAGAAAAAAATATTCAATTGTAACGATATAGAAAAATATTCAAGAAAATAGCTATCATCAATTTTCTTGAATAATTGTTTTCAACTCTATGTGAATATGAAATTTAGTTCTGAGCAAGTTCCTCGACTAAGTTTCTTTCATATCTTGCCATCTGACCACAATTTCGGTCTCGTGACATAATATACATATTATGTGAAAATAGAATACCAAATTCCAAAATAAACAACACTGCATATTGATTTCATATTCATATTTTTATTTATTGAAGAGAGGTAACGAAATCCCAAAAATTCTATTCGAAGAATTTTAGAGATAAAAATAATGCGGATCCGTATTGAGGTATATACCTGTAACTTCTGAATCATTTGAGGTCAGATTTTGGAATTTGGTCGGAAACAATAAGTATACCAAATAGCATTTATTATCAGTAGTGATACTATAAAATCTTCAAAATATTCGGGTTAGACATCGATAACTTGTTGCATAATTACAAATAAGAGTGTCAGTTTAACAGTTGAAATAATCCGACCGCAAAGCGGAAGGATACTGACACGATTTGTAATTGTGCAGGAAGTTTAAGATGAATAACCTTGAAGATTTTGAAGTTCGAATTGTATTAGATGCGATTATATTTTGAGTAGTTATGAACGACCGTCAAATCTTGACGACGCACTATGTGTGTATGTAACAAGAAAAACTGGTTACTATGGAGATGATTGGTTGAGCTACTCTATCTATATCCACGTGTATTGAAGAAAATAATCGAAAATATATTTGTTTCATCATTATTATTATAATTCAAATTACATCATGTACGCATATGTGCAATGATCATGAGAAATATTCAATGTGCTCACATGATATTGACTTTTCCACTCTTGGTCTCTAGAATCAATCAGAAACGGTCATTTTCACGGTTCTTCTGTATCACAGCGATTTTTTTTGGTTACTGAATTTCATCGGACTTGCTCTACCAATACAGAAGCCGAATTGACCCACACGTGACCAACCTTCCTTGTCATTCAGCGATAAAATTTTGGACGTTTGAAACGTCAATTATGGTGGAAGCCAGAATGATGGATGCAGTGTGCGCAACTCTCGCAAGCCGCTCGTTTATTGTCTCAATCATGGAATACTCATACGTATACAACTCGTGATACAATTTTTCCTGGAAATATTCGTCGATTGACATACTCCAGCCTTCTGCTCTAATGTCGCTCAAGTTTTGATAAACAATATCATTCGGCGAAATAATCAAGCAACAAGCTGTAGTAACAATCGCCGAATATTTCCGGCAAAATAGTATCACTTGTGGTATTACATAATATGACTATTTCACTCATCACATAATCTGACCAATCACAAGCCAGAGACAACGTGTGCTTATCGCGAAAACATGAGCTGTCTTTCAATTCTGATTGGTCTGACAGCGTTCATGTTCTCAACTATGTAACCATGGATAGCAAATCAACGTCTGGATGACCATTGATAGCGAAGCGAAGATCAGTTTGGTACAAAATAATCATGGCTGTACTTGTCAGAATCATCTATGATTAATGCTTCTTATGCTTCGTGAACTTGAAATAGTCTAGCAAAATACCACTCTGTTCTGATTATCTCCTCATAATTCTGTATTTCATTGTTAACTCAATTGTGTTGCACATCGTGATATTTCTTATGAATATTTTGCGGTGGTTGTTCAATTATCGCAGTTTATATCACCTCACTTCCACCATTCCCCATCTCTCATGAAATATTAAAATCGTAGAAACCTTCGGTGTTAATCCCATCCACCGATATTCCTGATTATGCCACCCCATAATTCCATTACCATCCAAACGAGCAGAATATATCACGGACAGCGTCCCGAAGTTTTTCAATAGCTGTGCCAGCGTAAATATTTGTGCACTCAGAAAACGGAACAGAATATCCTCCTTAGCGCCGAAAACTCAAACTTGTTTTGTGTAATAATATTTTGGCGAGCCCGGAGGACTTGCAAAGAGGAGAAAACTCCGGGAGGTCGAACCGGCATCTCGGGACTCGCAAAACGTGGAAAATGAGCTTTCCATACACCGAGATTCTGATGTAAATTCGAGATTGCTAGAGACAAGAGGAATTCTTAACAGGGATGAGAGTATTTATAAGTCGACAGAGAATGATTCAAAGTGATTCGGGCAATCGTTTGAACTCTTGAACCAATCTGATTTTGGTTTTTATTTCCCAGCTGAATGCAGAGAAACGGCCAGTATGGTCAATTATTGTATTATCTCACATTCATTAAGGCTACTACTGATTCAACAAGGCCCTGACGTAATCACAGTCAAACGTCAGCAATTGTAGGTGCTAGTCCGGCGGTGATCAGTCATTTGTCCAGATTAGTTTTGTTTGCTCACGCTTCGAATAAAATTCATTTTTCAGAAATTCACCAATTGTCACATCAGAATAGATCGATACTGTTCCAAATTTAAAAATTCCGGGAGGTCGAACTGCCATCTCGGGACTATGAGCTAGAGACAATAGGGATTCTTAGTGGAGATGAGGGTATTTATCAGTCGATTCGATCGGGAGAGGATAATTCAATGTGATTCAGGCAATTATTTGACCTCTGGAACCAATCTCATTTTGGTGTTTTCCCCAGCTGATTCAACAGGACTCTGACGTAATCGTAATCAAAAGTCAGCAAATGTAGGTGCTACTCTCAGATTGTTTACGTGGTGAGCGGTCATTTAGTCCAAATTGGTTTCGTTCGTTAACGCATCGAATAAAATTCGTTACATCAAAATCGATAGGTACTGTTTTAAATTCAAAAATTCCGGGAGGCCGGACTGTCATCTCGGGACTTGTAAAACGAAAAACGGAATGATTTTTTCATGCACCGCGAGATTCTGATGTAAATTCGAGATTGCTGTAGAGACAAGGACGGTTCTTAGCAGGAAGAGGGTATTTATTAGTTCGTTTGAACTCTTGAACCAATCTTATTTTGTTTTTTCCCCATCTGAATGCGGAGAAACTGCCAGTGATGGGGTCAATGGTATTATCTCGCATTCATTCTTGATTCACTCACTGATTCAAGAGTCTGACGTAATCATAATCAGAAGTCAGCAAATGAAGGTGCTACTCTCAGATTGTTAACGTGGTGAGTGGTCATTTAGTCCGAATTGGTTTCGTTTGTTCACGCTTCGAATAAAGTTCGTTTCTCAGAAATTTACCAATTGTTACATCAAAATAGATGGTACTGTTTTGAATTCAAACATTTCGGGAGGTCGGACTGTCTGTCATCTCGGGACCTGCAGAATGGTATCTATGTTATTATGTTTTTATTGTGAATATGGATTGAAGTTTCATTTTATTGATGAATACAATCCATTGATTCAAAATAGTGACAAAATTAATGCACATTGAAATCAAAATGATTGTGCAGATTTATGTTTGACATGAAATATCTCGAAAAATAATGACTTTATCGCCATGAAGAGGGAGTACAATATCTACGTCAAAATTGTTGAAGAATCGAAAATTTGTGATAGAATTGCAATTCCGCCAGTGGCGTAGAATTTGGGAGGGATCAACCAGTTAATTGCCCCTCTCGTTCGCCTCTGGTGATAGCTAAAAAAGTTCATTTCACATAATTCAGTTGAGTGTATAATACCTACACTTTCCTCCAAATATGAAAGTGATACGTCAAAAAGTTTCGAAAAACTGGGCAAAAAACATTTCAAAGTTTTTTTATAGAACACCCTGTAACTCAGACAGGAGACATAATTTATCTAGGTGATTTGGGTTGCATCTTCATATTTTGAGTTCGGGATTCTATGGTTGAAATATTTCCAATTATTAATGAAACACCCTGTATATACTTTCAATGTGGAATTAATTAACGATTTTGAATTCATTTTGCCAAATTATGTAGGCCACTGGCGAAGTTAGATCGAATGGCAAGTTCGTGGCCAATATTTTATTCGACAATTCCTCTTTTTGAATTGTCGAATCATCAATGTAGCATATAATTTTCCGCACGCCAACGTATGCAGAAAAGTACCTACTACGTCGGCACGCTCATACACAGTTGAAAAAGGAAAGCAAATTTTAACACTACACCTGTTTCCAGAAAGATTACTATTAGCTCTAGAGTAAATGATTCACCTCTCTAGTTGAGTATATAGTGTGATTGCTTCAATTCAATTACTGTACATTTCCAATGCGAGCGGATTCAAAGTTACTTCATTGACCTACCTGTCTAAATATATTCAATAAAAACGAAAATACTCTTCAGGAACCTGAACGAAAGGGGTCTCTCATATTGAACGTGGCCCTTAATGAGTCTTACATGGTAAAATTGAAAACGGCATATATAGGTAAGAAACAATGGGCCACTAGGCCTTAGTGTCGTCGGAGACATCAGTCAGACAAGCCTACAAAGTGGGCATGTCTGGCCCACACTATTAAATGGGAGATCAGACCCAAATGACCAAAAAGGATTTCAACCACTTCGACGAAAAAGAGCCAAGTCAAATAGACATTACTTACTGTCAAGTTTTTATCCAAGTTAAGTTAATTATTCATTCACAAGTCACAGTTCTCATATAGGCTTGCGGCAGACATTCAGCGGCGAAGGATCTGCTCTCTCGGCAGCGCCACCTCTGATGATATGTACTAATTTCGCTACACAAACTAACCTCTCTACTCTATCAAAATTTCAGGGGGAGAAAATTCTCGAACAAAAATAACTCTATTTTGGAAAAATCTCTTTCTACCAGGGTAATATCTGAGCTACATGAAATTAATATCATGATCAAAGTATTATCGACACTATAATCAGTATTACTTATTTCACTATTCAGTGAACTAAACGATCTGAAAACGTATAGATTCATATTTCATCCAATGAAGTGAATTGAAGAATGATAAAGTGCCCATTTAATCGTCGATAGTGGGACATGCAACTTCAGTAGTGTCAGTCACGTTGACGGACAACGACGTCTATAGACGTTGTTGACAATGTGCGCTCCGTGACACAACGACGTCTTTGGACGTCTTCCATAATACCTGCGTAGTAAAGTTCTGATACTGTCACACAAACCACCTACACCATTTTGCATGTGTCCGTCAACGTGTTAACACTAGTATGAGTTCAATTCCAATTGCTTGTGAATGGACTCATCTGAATTGATATTCCATTGAAATTTCAGAAATATATTATGAATTCAATATGGGATTAGTGGAAATTCAATCAAGCATCAATTTTATAAGACACTACGCGAGAAATGTACAAAATATAATATAGAGTTGATTGCAGTATGGAATATTCAAATTCACTAGAGACAGTTAACACTAGTATGAATATAAAGTGATCTGAATTGATATTCTATTGAAATCTCAGGTATATATTGTGAATTCAATACGAGATTAGTGGAAATTCAATCTAGTATTAATTTCATAAGGGATAATCTGCAAGAAGTGTACATATACAGTTGCTTGCAGAGTCAGAGTGAGTTTGTCAGAGTATTCTAACTCTGAAAACATACTCTGCAAATTAAACTCGAAGCGTTTTTTCACTATGTATATAGAAATAGTTATTTAACCAACTAGTGTATTAATGAGGGCGATTAATGTTCGAGATCATTATTCGCCTTTTAATATACAAGTTGGTTACAAAATTTTTCCGTCGACTATATTCCTCATTTATCCTGCAATGAAGAAAAGTTGGTTCGCGAATTCTTCATCCATCCGGAAACTGCTAAGAATCACCCAGTAGCCTTGTTGCTGACATTAGTGACATTTGACATTTGTCGAAATGATCAACATAGGAAATAAATTCCTTGTGTTAGAAAACAGGGATTAAAATCGTGTCAGAAACTTGGAAAGGCGAACCCGTTAACGGAAAATCGTCGATGAAATCCATATTTTCGATTTAAATGCAGATTCCGTAAGTTATAGCATAAACAATGAATACGCGGTGTATGTTTGGTTGCCTATAAAACAATCGTGCATTAATAGACAAATCGTTTATTAATAGGGGTCATTAATGAACGATTTCATATACATTAAACTTAGTCGTTAATACGAGGTCGGCGGAAATAGTTATTTATGTATCAAGGGCGTAAAGTAGGCGTTTATGGCCTGTGGCGTGAGTAACGGCCCGATGGCGTTAGCCGAGGGCCATTACACGCTGAAGGCCATAATCGCATTTCACGCACGAGATACATACAAAATTTTATGCACTAGTGGTTTATTTTCTGACTCATAAGTAATGACTATAGATTTCGATAAACTAATATTCCCCAGAATTTAGTTTGTTACGTATAAATTCAGTAATCAAGAGAAGCGTAATGTTCATGGATGATTTACATATGAAAATTATCGTACGAATATTGCAATTATCGTAATAGTAAAACTTCTTCAGCTCTAGAAGAGATTCATTCTCCAGAATTTTACAATATGCATACCCAGTATATAAACCTAACTTATTTTGACGTTGTCAATCAATCTGATGGTTGTTGTCTATAGTCTATACATCCAATAAACGATCTGAATTGTCATTCTTTGATTGAAAAGTAAAATTAGTGATAATAATAATAGCGAGACTATGGAATCGGATGAAGAAGTTTATGATATACTGCTGGATATATCAGAATTTAGGAATATGATCATAGGTTTTTCATAAATTGATATATGGATATAAGGTGACTGAGAACAGCGGGCGGTAAAGTGTACTTTACGGCCCGTGGGCCATAGTGAGCCTGCGAGCGGTAAAGTGCGACTTAACGCCCGCAAAACCAGGCGGTAAAGTGCACTTTACGGCCCGCTAGTGCATAAAATATATTATTACTCACCTGTTATGAGACCTCCAACGATAGCAATCACCAAGGTCACGACCAAAGCCAACAGCTGATACCCAGCCTGACCTATCGCAGTCCTGGGTTCCAGCACAGATCCGACTTCAGGTTTTCTCGCTGGGAAAATTTGGTAGAAGTCCAACCCGTAGGTGTCTTCCGAAGCCAGGCCGGCCATGAGGGCGCTAACGATGGCCGCTAAGACACCTGGGAGGCCATGAAGGTTGTGAACCCCGCAGGTGTCTGGTGTTTTGAGATGCGACTCGATCAAAGGCTGCAAGAACAGATATTTGCGATGTATGTCGATATGCAGAGAAAGTACTTCAGAGGCACAGAATACCCAACAATCAGAATAGCATCTCTCGCGCGGCAGTGGGTTCGCGCATTTGAACGGCGCAGGTTGTCGGCCATCTTCTGGGGATACTTGTTTACATGTTTATCGAATTCTGAGCTATCGAATGATCGTGTGAAATATTCAGATATTTGAGTACAGTACATATTCTATTTTTGCTGTGTTGTGTTGTTGTTTGGGTTGTACTGTTCGAACTTTTGGTGTCTACCTAATTTGGTTGTGTATAAGAATAAGCCAATTATAAATTCTTTATCTGCTTCATCTGTAATTGTAGACATGAGTGCTAAAAAAAACTTGAAGGTGGTCATGTTTGCGCTGCTATAGTTTGAAAAAGCAATTCTAAGACTTGGTTTTATTCCTCATGTGATTAGAGTCAGTTGAATGAATATACCCTGTATACCTATTGACCGAGCAGAACTGCAATTGAGAAAAAAAAGTTGAGTTTTCCCAAAGAACAACTTGAAAAAATAATCTAATGAATACCTGGTCAAACCTATCAATTTTTATTTTAAGCAATATTTGTGTTCTAACCTGTCCTACTGAAAATAAAACTTAGCTTTTGTAAACTATTTTTCATTAAATTAAGTGTAAGTGTAATATTGTAGGAATTGATTACATTTTACTGGTATCGATAAATGACACACAAAGTGAATAAATTCAGTTATTACAATCCTATCATTTTCCTCAGAACGGCACTGCTTGCTAACCCAACAACATGGCGGATCACAGAAAGCAGATCCTAAAATATCAAAGGCGCCCACCAGATAAGCACTCCTGATTGTTTGGTATTCGATTCTCGAATCTACTACTATAGGTATTCGAACTACAGTCTCACTCTAATGCACTCTAGTAATATATTTTCGTCTCTTTCTATTCCTATATAAATTCAATTCCAGTGATTCGAGAATTGGGCATGTTGATAGTTATTTATGTACCAAGTTATATAGGTCCTAACGTCCGGAGGTAACATTCACCCGTAATAAAAAACAACACAAACTTGAGAACTTCATCACCCTGTATCTCAAAAGTTGAAACGTTTAGGTCAAATGTTCATGTTAAATTTTCTCCTTGAAATGGGTCCAAGAGTCGCCTCCTCAAATATTGTCATCCAATTAGGAAACACCCTGTATATATATCCGATTTTTCATGTTCATGATATATATCTGAGAATATTTCTTTTCAATAAAGAGGTTGAGTTGACATTCATTGACAGTGACCGTGACCCTAACAATGTACAATCTAGAAGTGACTCAAGTGATGAAAATAGGGCAGTATGTATTTTTTGCTTGTCACATTATCTAATATAAAAAATCCTCCTTTCCCAGTCACGGTGTTATAGTCGAGGTTATAGTGGCCAAACTCCTGCGATTCGTATGAAAATATTTGTGCGTATTCGGTAGGTATGAGAATAGGTTGTAATCTATTTTTGCAATCGAAAATTCAAGATGGCGGATCCAATATGGTGGACGAGTTTTGTAATCCGAGTTTATTCAAAATTGGTATCTCGGGAATTTCGGGGTCGGAGATTATGATTTATTCGTCAAAATTAGAAAATTCACAATGGCGGATCTAATATGACGAACAAGTTTTTTTGATTATGATCAGATTCTATTTAAAATTGGTATTAGGGGGTTTCGGACTCGGAGATGATGATTCTTTCGTCAAAATTTGGAAATTCAAGATGGCGGATCCAATAAGGCAAACGAGATGTAATTATGATCCGATTCCATTCAAAATTTGTATCTGAGAGATTTTGACGTCACAGATTATGATTCTATCATCAAAATTTGGAAATTAAAGATGGAGGATCCGATATGGTGAAAGACTTTTGTAATTATCTTCCGATTCTATTCAAAATTGAGGATTTTTGGGGTCGAAGATTATGATTTTATTTCTCAAAATTCAATTCATGACGGATCCAATATGGCGAAAGAGCTTTGTAATAAAAAAACTATAATAAAACACGCTTTCATAGATAGCCAAACTCGAGGCCAGACTGAATAGAAGTAGAAAATTGATAGCATAGTTTGAAAAACGAGAGATTCTCGAACTAAAAAGGAGTAGAATATAAAAATAGTAGTCTGGAATACTAATACAAACTGATTTTGTGGATACCCGAACTAAGAAGAAGTACACTACACTGTTTTACCACTAACCAAACCGATTTTTTAACGCCTCGACACGTGTTTCGCTAACTATGTTAGCATCTTCAGGAGAAGATTAAAACTGTTTGTAGTTTTAATCTTCTCCTGAAGATGCTAACATAGTTAGCGAAACACGTGTCGAGGCGTTAAAAAATCGGTTTGGTTAGTGGTAAAACAGTGTAGTATTATCGTGCCAAAGGTTCCAGTCTTCGATATAAGAAGAAGTAGAAAACAAAATAATAAAAGAGTGTTGATAAATATTTACTTACTACTAAAAACTATTTTCTAGAAATAAATGTATATAGCAAAACATCGTTAGCCGGGTACCATCTTTTGAATTAAATAGTAGTTTGAAAAACTAATGAAGCACGTTTTTATAGATAGTCAAACTAAAAAGCAGTGAGAAGAAAATAAAGAGTTTTTTGAAAATATGAAGGGCTGTAGAGTGCCGAGCTCAAAAGAAGTAGAAATAAATTAATTAAAGATTTTCGATGGTTATTTATTTGAGGAAATATTTTCTAGAAATAATGTTTATGGCAAAACAACGTTTGCCGGGCAGCTAGCTACCTTTGATAATAAATAAAGGGTAATGAAGTATTATTTCACTGGCATGTCACGTGGCTTTTTCTATATTATTGATTGGATATTAAAAGGAAAATTCAACGATATTTAGGGCAATCATGGGTAAGATTTTGAGTAATTGTTTTAAATGGATGATGTATATGTGACATTTGAAAAAGAAACCTATTTTTTGTCGAGTTTAAAGTATCTTCGTTAAAATTCTTTGTAACTATAGTCCCATAGGGCATGACGTAGGTATATACACAGATGTATATACCTATATAAGCCATTGAAGTTGTTACTGGACTTTATATAAATTTTTTTCAACTTTCAAGGTCAAATATCTCATCGTCACCTTTTTGAGGCTTGTCAGTTTCAAAATAAGCCCTTCAATTGAACTCACCGTCAGCCTGCTGAACCCGTAGACAGACACCGCCCCCGCCAGCACCCCCACCCCCACGGCCCCCCCGGGCCCCACCGCCAGGTTGGCGGCCGCCCCCATGGCGACGCCGCCCGCCAGTGTGGCGTTCTGGCAGTGCGCCATGTCGAGCTTGCGGTCGCGGTCGGCCAGCTGAGAACAAGCGAACGTCGTGACGCAACAGGCGGCGAGGGCCAGGTAGGTGTTGAGGACGGCCCTGCGCTGCTGGGCGCCGGCCAGCTCGACGGCGTTGAAGCTGGGCCAGTACAGCCACAGGAAAGCTGTGCCTAAATACATAATATTATATTTTCCTACAACTGTAGAAAAACTGCATTGGCAAATCATCAATAGTAGATTGTTTCATTAGGATCAAAAGTGACACTTTGTTTGACAAGCGAATTTTGCATTTGCGAGGCGGAGCGTTTAGCGAAGCCGAGCGAAAGCAAAATTTGCGAGTCGAACAAAATCACTTTTGATCCGAATGAAACATGCTATTTTTTCTGCAACCGAAACAATTAACTCAAATGAACATGTGAAGTAACCACCAATGCCGTGCCATATATGTATGCAATGCAACAAATATTGACAAATAATCCATGTAGTGAGAATATTCTACCTGCATTAACAGCAGGTCAGGTTTTCTAGGATGTTCGAATTGTAGTTTCAATATAAATTCAACCACAGAGTGACATATTTGTGTATGGACCAGGTGCTCTAATGGCAAATACCGCGCCAGTGCCATCTATAGGAACAAGACGTGGAAAATGTTAGGTTAGTGAACATATCAACAATGATAATAGTGATGATTATTTATTCCTCTCCATACTACACTGTGTATGACTTGATAATCAAATGAAGCTAAACAACATCGTTGTTTGAGACAAAAAAACGATTGCTTGCCGTGATTATTCAAAAACAAGTTAAGTATTTGAATCTTGAAGGCTTCCCTGATCAAAACAAAAATACTTAACTGAGATGTTTATAATTCCAGTACCACACTATTAAAATAAGGTGTATTTATATCCCCAGCATGGGTATGAAATGCCAAATCTGCTGAAATCGGAAACAAATCAGGTATGCGTCTCAACCCAAATAACCAACCGTCACAATGTTGTTCATTCTCGATGACGTCCAGTACATCCTTTTTAGTTCCTAGGAGCTAAAGTTCAACTTTAGCTCCTAGGAACTAAAATTCAACTTTAGCTCCTAGGACCTAAATATGTTGCCTAGCAACATACCTATTTTTGGGTCAGTAATAGAAACGTCAATTTAAGAGCTAATTTTGGTATCAAAATGGACGTCTTTTGTGTCGGTTGCAGAAAAAATATATTCATAATTTCACGGAAAAGTGTGACGGTTGTTGCTAGGCCATGGAATGAATGCTTGCGTGAACAGGGCCCATCGAGGGGCCCATACACTGCGTTGTTGGTAGGCTGTTTTGTTCGATGAACAAAATAACAAAAATGACGCAAAACCGAAGTGTGTGGCTGCAAAATGGTCGTTTTTGCTAGTCACACACCCCATACTTCGATTTTGCGTTATTTTTGTTCGAACATACTCGGCAAATCGCAAAATATGAAATTCCTAAGAGAATTCGACGTTCATACTAATGCGTCAAAATTTGCAGGGAGAAAGAAAATCTGAAAATCTCCTCCTTAACAACCCTTCATCTCTTAAACCAGCAATATTTTTATAAGGCATTTTGGGCTGAATCTTCATATTCGGGTGTTCACTATCTGTAGTTCAGAGATTTCCCATTCTTAATTTAATAAATAAAATTATTGAAATGTCATAAGTGGAAAATGAATATCTTCAAGAGCGAATAACACAAAAACCGTTGAAGTTAGAATTATCGAGGTAACAGAGTGCCACTAGCGCCCTCTATGAGCAATCACCTCGGCAATCACAAAATAAATTGCAAATTCATGTTTCTCATGTCAGAAAACCTAGAAATACAAGATTTCATGTTCATGCTGTTGAAACAAACAAAGTTATTGTGAAATTTTGAAATGAAATCTCCTCCTAGAACACCCTGTATCTCCTAAACCAGCAACATTCTCAACAGGCATATTGGGCTAAATTCCATTATTTTTGAGTTCACTATCTGTTGTTCAGAGATTTTCCATTACTAATGAATCACCCTGTATATACCCTCCTGAATGAAATTTTGGAATGATTTTATTTTCACTGCATTGGGCATGGTAAGTTTAGTTTTGTTTTGGTATCGAATTGCATCGTTTCATAACATGGCGTTACGGAAATATTCATGAAATATCATCTTCATCAGGAGCCCCTTTTGAGGGGGCCGTAAGTAGCTCCATTAGGAGACATTTTTTTACTCATGTTCATTTATTTATTTATTTATTTATTTATTTATCAATTCGGGTTTTCAACAGGTTGAACTAACAACCCAATAACAGAAAACCGCATATTACATTTTTCCATAAATCCATGAAATATCGGTACGATGAACTTAATAGATATCATAATGTTCAGAAAAAGCATTCTGAAATGAAAAATAATAATAATAACGTAATAGTAACAAAAATAATAACAATAACAACAATAATGATAATAATAATAATAATAATAATAATGATGATTAATAATAATAATGAAAATAATAATAATAATAATGATAATAACATTAATAATAATAATGACATGCTTAAAATTAGAGTCTTCCTATGATATGTGGATATGAATATCACCTGAATACTGAATAAGCAGCATGTTTAACTACTGAAAGTGATCCATGAAATATATCAATATGACAAAAAAACAGATCATACAACCTCTGTATCGCAGTTATTGGAGCTCTGACGCATTCGTTCTATTTCTTTGAGGATAAAACAGATTCGGAGATCGTAAGGAACGTCTTCCAACATTGAAATTCAATTTACCCAAAATACTTGGACAGTTAATGAATCCAGACACCAGTTTTTGCAAGAAAATTATGAAGAACAGTTCTCCTATAGAAGATAGTTTAAGCATATTATATTCTGCAATATTGTAGTCGTACGAATTGTAATGATTTATTCTGTTGAATCTAAAATTTAAGTACTTAATAAATTTGATTTGAACTCTCTCAACTCTCTCAATATATAGGGTTGTCAAAAAAAAACCGGAATTTTGTTTATGTCTGATAACTTTTTCATTCATTGGCCGATTTGATTGATTTTGGTCTTGTTCGAGAGAGAATTGATCAAGGCAGTCCGCTGATAGCAAATTTTTCATATTCGTTCAAAAAACAAAATGGCGGAGTCACCTAAACTTGGTACAATTTGAAAACTTGCTGGAACTTTTTTAAGTCGCACTGTATATCGTTTCGTGTAAGAATCTGGAAGTTTGGACATTTCTTAATAGAACAAGATGTCGAACTTGATAATCCGTCGAAAAATACCTGATATATGACAGGATATAGACATGTATGTTTTCACATTTTGTTACCAATTTTTCATTGAAATCGTGGCGGCGTATGTCAATCATCGCTTTTTGTGTTGTTGATTCTTGTTATTTGTAATTATTGACAGCTCTTGAATTGACTTTTTGAGATAGAAATCACTTCATTTTTGCTTTCTAAAGTGTATATAATGGCGCTTTCCAATGACGATAAAATTTTTATCAAAACTTTAATTTTGAGAGGATACAGAGTGAGTGATATTTTGCTGTCGAGCGGTATAAAAAAAGTACAATTTACGATTTCGTAAAGAAATTTAACTTAACACACTCCATTGCAAGACGCGAAGGAAGTTTTGAACGGATATGTAAAATTTGCTATCAACGGACTGCCTTGATCAATTCTCTTTCGAACAAGACCGAAATCAATAAAATTGGCCAATAAATGAAAAAGTTGTCAGACAAAAACAAAATTCCGGTTTTTTGGATAACCCTATATTTTATATAATGTGGATTCCAAATGATTGATTGAAACTTCTCTTCCTATATTTTTGGTCGCAGAAGTTGCTGGTAAAGTTTGGCAGACTAATTCCGGGACACCCTGTGCAAAAGCTGGTCTTCAGAGAGTTTTTTCTTTTATATTTCTTATTTCTTTCTTTGCACGAATTCATACAACGACGGAAACATAAAAACTCGTTGGGAACCCTAACATTGCTTACGGGCTGACAAACAGATCGAGACAAGTTCAACCCTACTTTATCCCGTCCTCATGCGCTACCTGTTTCCGGTGATTATCCCGCCAAAAAATAACTTCCGCCGGTTGCTTCGCGGGTATTCCGGAATGACGCTCGTAATCGGTAGTCCGGGGTCCGGGTTGTGCGGTTCAATGGGTGCGTCAATTTATTTTAATGGAAATCCCTATTGCAGAACAGGACTTTGTGTTCACGAGGAAAATCACGGCCTGATAATTAGATTGATCCATCTAATAATAATAAAAAATAAATTACAGATATACCTCGAAAGCAAGGATCTATTGAACAAAGATCAATATGGATTTCGAAAATCATGCTCGACCATTCAAGCAGTAACAAGAGTTGTGAGGGAGGTAGTGGAGGGTTTCGAGAAGGGGCAGCTAACTGCAGTCACTCTCTGCGACCTGACCAAAGCCTTTGACTGCGTCTCTCACGATATCCTCTTGAAAAAACTTTGTGATTACGGTATCAGAGGAATTGCACTTTCTCTCTTCCAGTCTTACCTTCATAATCGAACGCATTACGTTTGCCTCAACAGCAACGAAGCATTTGGATTTGAGGTGATGAAATCTGGAGTACCCCAAGGCTCTGTTCTGGGGCCTCTCCTCTTCATCATTTACATCAATGATTTTTTCTCATATGTTGCCAAACAAATGTGTAGTTTATGCAGATGATAGTACGCTAATATGCTCTGACAAAAACTGTCAAAACCTAATTACATCCATGAAATATGTAGAAAACCAGGCAGAAAAATGGTTCACTGGAAATCTCTTGAAACTTAACAGAGACAAAACTCAGAATTTGATCTTCTCATCCAACAGTAAAATTAAAAAAGGTGATAAAGTAAATCTACTAGGAATCACAATAGATGATAACCTGAACTGGCGCAATCATATTGATGACAGTTGAGATCTATAGTAAGTTTTAAGATTATCTTGACAGCATATGACGCATTTACCAATTCGCATCTTAGGTATGGTATTGTTTTGTGGGAAAACTCCTCATCTTCTGATAGAGTTTTCAAGCTTCAAAAAAAAGCAGTTAGAATAATTGCCAATGCAGATTATATAGACACATGTCGTCCTATATTCAAAAATTTAGGAATAATGCCCCTTCCTACCTTATATATTTACCAT